GTGTATATATCTTAGACGCGTGATTACACACCTCACTAATATATCACCTTTTCGTTAGTACTAACACTTAATCCTTTTCCTTGGCATCTAAATTATATTCCGAGTGGTAGTGTGATACTCTATTTAGATAGTCACTTTGTCTATATTTCGTTGGTTTCTAGAACGCGGTCATAAACCAAATATATATCTTGATGATTTTGATTATAACGAACTTTATCAAGTCGCTTTTCTTTGGTCCTTTAAAGCTGTTAATCATCATAATATCTTCTGCCTCATTTAGCAGATAGTGTATCTCGCTTCCAATCACATTATATATATATTCGCCTTTATATGGGCACTGCTTCTCATTACACAGGCGCAAGGTTATAGTGATTTATCCCGTGTTCAGATTTATATAAGGGCTATACTGTCTTCCCTCATTAGCTATTTAAATTCAATAATGTGTTTTAATGACTATGGTGTCTTGTGTTCTTTCTTCCTTAATGTAATGTCCCGCCACATCTTAATTAATTTCCTTCGAGGTGAGGTTGTATCGATCTTTAAACGGGAAGTAGTACAGTTGTTCAGTGACGATTTAATGTGTATATAGAGCGTCATTATAGCATCTAAAGCATCGCCATATTAGTACTGGCTTTTTTTCATTCTGCTTCTAAGTATAGTTCAGTTTGAGCCCATTATTAATTATATATATCCCGAATACTTCTTCCTTATAGTAGATCCAGTTTAGCGTTTTGATGACCGCGTAACAATATCTATAGAACAGCATAGTGTCACATTTAGGTTCAGAGTCGCTTGAGTCCGTTTCTTCGCCAAACATGAAATTGTAATAATTCTTCCCTAGCACGTTATGTGTATAAGTTAGTCCCTTATATATTTCTTCGCACTTCATCATGAATACTAGGTCTTCTTTATCCCTCAGACTTCCTCTTGAATCGAACCTTCTGTGTTCTATGGTGCACCCTCTCCTACACACCTAGGTGTATAGTGTGTTTCTCCAGTACCTTATTGTAAGTACTGCCACACTGCTGTGATTGGCGCCTATTCTGTATTTTTCTTCATGTTGTGTCCTTGTTATTAGTGTAGTCGCTTCCTAAGTGTTAAACTCTACTCAGGTGAATATTTCATCTTCTTCCCGGTCGCTGGGTAATTCACTTTCTTTGTCGGGTTTCTTGTCGAATAGAAAGTGATGGACTAAGGGTATTCCCTATATATTATGCGTGTATGGGTAAGTTCCCTCGATACAATCTGGTCTTTATTGACTATATATAAATCCTCACTATAGTTAGCGAGGCAAGGAACTAACCCCAGAGACTCAAAAGACTAAGCCTCATAACTATCAAAGTCCACAGCCTCGCCCAGAACTCTAACTGATTAATCACAACCTCACTTAGCCAGCTAAGTTAAGATCATAACTCACGAGTGAAGGCTATGACTCACGAGTAAAGGTTATGACTTATAAGTGAAGAATATAACTTATAATGCTTAGTTTCTTCATCACTTGTTAGCTATTTAAGAAGGGCTTAACCCACCTCGAGATAAAGTCCTTCAAGCTTCACTCATAATACTCATTTATAGTTATCTTTATATACAAGGCAATTCACGCTATTCCCTGCCATTATCTTCACCATTCCCCACTATAACCTGGTCCTCTTAACAGATTATAAGCCTAGGTTAGCTTTAAAAGCAATGAAATCTTTATATTAAAGGATCAATAAGAGTTATTAACTATTACCTAAAGAGATATAGTTAGTTACATAATAATAAAGACTTTCGATCTAAGGAATCCAAGATTTCTAATAAAATCACTGCATTATGGCGAATAAATCTAATCCTTTTAGGGTTTAATATTTAAAGAGCTTTTAGAATTAAGAGTTTTGGGCTCTAAGAATAAAAGTTTATATTATTAATAAGGGCTATAAAGAGACACTATATTTCTCGAGATCTCTCGAAGATTTTAATAACTCTAAGTTCTATAATTAATATTTAAGGACTAGACACTTAAACTCTATAAAGATATTAGTCCTAATTTACTTAGCACTTAATAATAAGTCTCTTTTATAAGTAAAGAGCCTTATAATAGCCATAGAAATATAGGATCGACTTAAAACTCTTTATAAATCTAAAGGGTTTAGTTTAGAATTTCTTCTATATAAGGAATTATTCTTAATAATCTTAACTAGATAAAAGAATTTAATTAAGGCCTATTTAACTTAAATTAAGCGACTATTAAATAAATTAACGACTCGAAATCTATTTATTTTAATAAAGATTATAGTGGCTTATATTCTAAACAATCTAATTAGTGAATATAAAAGTGTAGTGACTATTATCACTTAATACTTAAGAACTCAAACTAAAGATATCGATTTAATGGCTATATTTAGCTATTTAATTAATAAAAATAAATATCTAGAGTCGAAACAATCTTAAGAAATAGCTTTACTCTTTAAAGCACCTAAAAAGACTAAAAATAATAAGCCTAAATATGGCTTCTGCAAAAAAATAGACTATAAAGAAAATAAATACTAATTAAAAAACCCGCACTTAAAGCTTAATAAGACCCTTAAGAGAAAGAAAAAAGAAGAGACTCTCTTAACTTATGAGAAGTCTTAAGAGAACACTAAATATACTTTATTTAGTGAAAATATCTATAATCAAAATATATAGATACTAAATAGCGAGGCCTCTAGATATATATACACTAATAAAGCATTATTTAGTGACTTAAGACTATATAATATCTCTCTAAACTAGGATAAGAAATTAAATATCCCAATTAAGTGAATTAAGGACATTAAAGTTAAGTTCTTATTAACAGAACAAATAGACATAATATTTAACGCCTTATATATATCTAAATTAAGCTTAAATTTATTGAGCCTAGACTTATTAGTGCAAAAAGAGATAAATATTTAAATTAAGCCCACTAAAGTGGGTTTATATAAAAAAGATAAGGATATAATAATTAAAGGCTTCTATATAAGAAACCTTATAGCTATAGTTATAGAACCCTCTAAACCCAGGCCTGAGTACACTAATTTAGCGACTTAAGACAATATATAGTATCTAAGAATGGGCTATATAAGCGAGAAGGCTATAAATTAATTAGCTAAGGCCACCATAAAGTATAAAGAGATTAAAACCCCTAAAACAAGCCTAAAAAGGTGTGAAATATACCTGAAAATAAAGGCCACAGTAAAAATCAATTAAGAGCCTATAACTAAGGCCTTAGAAGTCCTCGAAAAGATTCACAATAATATCTATAAATCTATATCACTAGAAACGATCTCTAAAAAGCGATATTTTATCTTCTTTATAGACGATAAATCACGCTATATAACAGTCTATTTATTAACGACTCGAGACCAATTATTTAATGAATTTATAGTCTATAAGGCTAAAGAGAAACATTAACTATAAAAACCTCTAAAGAGACTCTATTCAGACAATAAATATAAGTCTCTAAAATTTATAGAATTCATAAAAAAGGAGGGTATAAATGTAATATATTTAGCCCTCTATATCTTAACTTAAAACGGTCTTAGTGAGCGATTTAATAAGACTATTATAGAGAAAGTTAGGTTTATACTAGTCGAATTAGGGCTATCGAAATCTCTATATAGAGAAGCCTTACTAGTAGCCACTTATCTCTATAATAGAACTTTTCATAGTGTCCTAAAAGGCTATATCACTCTTTATAAAGCCAAAATAGGGAAAAGGCCTGATATATTTTATATAAAGATATAGGGCTCTATTTACTATAAAAAGGAGCCTAAGGAGTTTCTAAAAAAACTTGACTCTAGAGCTAAGCCTTATTACCTTATAGGCTACTCAGAAGCACCTAACTAGGTGAAATTACTCGAGCCTAAGGGTAAAAAGATAATAATGGCTAGGGACGTCGATATATTAGAGGGCTATTTCCTTAAGGATTTATTCTCTAAAGTAGAAAAAAGAGTCACAGCCTTTAATGAGGCCCTGAAAGACGCTCAGGACACTTCACTAACGATTAATGGCCAAAACAACAATACAAGGCCTAATATCGACATTATTGAAGACCTTAATGACCCTGAGAACGATCCATGATATGAATTATTTATTCAATAACTGAAAGACGTCGCAACAGACAAGAATATAGACGACTTAGTATTATTCTCGCTAGACCTGATCTATAAATAGGCTATAAACTTAGACGACGCTGAAAAATGGAAAAAGGCCTGTCTAAAGGAAATCAAGGACCTGAAATCTAAAGGCACCTAGACTTTAGTGTTTAAACAAGACTTTATAAAGGTTCTCGATAGAAAGTGAGTCCTTAAAATTAAAGACCCTCATAAAGAGCCTATTTATAAGGCTAGGTGAGTGGCAAGAGGGTTTCAACAAGAGTATAGAGTCGATTTCTTCGAAACTTTTACTAATATAATTAACCCTATTGCCTAGAGATTGCTCCTAGCCCTGGGAGCCGCCCTAGACTGGGAGATTCAACAGTGGGACGTCAAAACAGCCTATACTAATGCTAGCCTTAAGGAAAAAGTCTATATAAGCTAATCAACAGGTTTTGAAGACCCCAAAAACCCTAACTATATATTGTGAAGAATATAAAAATATAAAGCTAGTCTATAAGTCAGAAAGAGAATTAATAATAGACTTAGGTCTATTATAAATCAGGGTTTCTAAGGAGTTCTATAGATTTTTATTATTTGCCACCTAAGTGGAGACTTTACCACTTAGGTGAATACTTAATTTATAAGCTAGTTGCTACCTTTATAGTATTTAAGGGGCGTTCTCTTCTTAGTAGATAGAAAATAATCAAGTCGATTAAGCATGTAATATATTTAGTTATCCCCTTGTCTTAACAGGTTATGAGCCTGGGTTAGCGATAATCCGGCGCAATAAGTGACAACAAGATATCTTTGATTCCCCTAAATATATAACGACTTCCGAAGCCTAGATATCGACTATCTTAGGCCCATACAAGACAGTCAACTATATTTCAGTTCAAGAAAATGGCGCCAAGCATGAAAATCGACCCCCTAAAAGGCGCAGAGAACTGGAATATTTGGCGAATAAGGCTAAAAGCCTTGCTAGCAAAGGACGACCTAGGCTACATCATTAGGCCTAAAAAGGAATTCTTTAAGAATACACCTAAAGATAAGATCGAAGAATATATAGAAAAACGAAAATCCGACTCTGAATAAGCTAGCGCAATTATTCGGCTCAATATCAGCGATTCACTATTAATTTAAACAGCTAATATTGCTGACGACAATGCTAAGGCTCTCTATAATCGATTAGAGACGCTATATAGCCCTAAAGGATTCAGCACAGAATTTATAATAGCTAAATAGCTATTCGAAACGACTCTCGCGAGGTGTTCTAATTTAATCGAGACCTATTTAGCTAAAATTTGGGGATATACTAATGAATTAGCTATGCGAAATAAGCCTATTTCAAAGGCTATTATAGTGGTGTTCGCGCTAAATAATCTTTCGAGTGAATATAGTCCTATTATTATGGCTATAATAACAAAATATCGCGACAATAATAATAACGATAATATAGATCTTGATGATTTATTCAATGCGATTATTAACGAATTAAGGCGTCTAAAGGACCAGGAACCTAAGGAGACAGTAATGATTGCTAAAACTAGTCTAAGGAGGACTAAGCGCGCTATTAAGTGCTATTCTTGTCGCCAATTAGGGCATTTCGTGAATAAATACCCTAATAAGCCTAGAGAGACTGAAAATAATAAAGAATTAGCTGGGATCGCTCTATAAAGGATCTTAGGGCTGTGCTGAAAAAGGCAATAATTAAGGTTTATCGATATATTGCGAGGCGATAGTCGAGATTTATTGACTTAAAAACAAAAGATAACAATCGAGGTTTATCAATATATTGCGAGACAATAAAATCGAAGGTTTTAATAGAACTAGCCTTATAGGGATGTGTGAAGAATATAAAAATATAAGGCTAGTCTATAAGTCAGAAAGAGAATTAATAATAGACTTAGGTCTATTATAAATTAGGGTTTCTAAGGAGTTCTATAGATTTTTATTATTTACCACCTAAGTGGAGACTTTGCCACCTAGATGAATACTTAATTTATAAGCTAGTTGCCACCTTTATAGTATTTAAGGGGTGTTCTCTTCTTAGTAGATAGAAAATAATTAAGTCGATTAAGTATATAATATATTCAGTTATTTCCTTGTCTCAACACTTCCTAATATCATTAATACTCTATCTATTTTATAACGCGGATCTTCTTGACTCTCTAGAGAACTCTAGACTTATAATAGCCTTAAATAGCTTTGTGGACGATATTAATATTCTAGCCTTTGATCAGGAGTATTCCATAAATATAAGGACACTCGAAAAGGTGTACACTATATACCTAGAATGGGCAAATAGATATGGATTAGCTTTCCACCCTAAAAAATCGGAGTTAATTCATCTGGATACTCAGTGAAAGACTTCTAAGATATCTATATAACTAGGAAGCGCTAGAATCACACCTTAGGCGACGACAAGAGTTCTCGAGGTTCTCTTAGATAGAGGTCTAACCTCGCGATCTATTAGGAACTACTTGAAGAACAGGCAGAGTGATAACACAATAGGGGTTAAGATATTCCTATCTAGAGATGCGCTCTAATACAAGACTCTAAGCATAAGGAAGAAAGGTTCCTTATGCGAGTAGCTTGCGTAAGAAGTGCGAAGCTCAGGAGTGCGCTAAGCTACGTTAAGATAAGTTGGCTTGACGCGCACTCCTGGGAAGTGTTGTTCCTCGAGCGCCTATTAAGCTGTCTGTCCTAAGTTACGCTCATGACACGACCTCAGTTTCGACTACTTCAGAAGAGAGCACCCACTCTCCTTAAGGCGTTAAAGAGCGTCATAGGGTCTAATTAGGGTCTATCCATAAAGGTTAGACGCTAGGTATATCTTATAGCTATTCGATCAGCCCTTATATATAGCGCGACGACCTGGTACCCTCTTCAAGAGATATATCGACAAAAAAAAGCGATTTAAGAGGGCCTTCAGGCTATTCAGGGACAATTTCTAAGAGGAATAATAGGCGTCTACAAAGCAACATTAACTAAGGCCCTTAAGATCGAGATATACATTAAGTCATTAGATCTCTATATCGAGCGCTAGGGCCTTCTAGGCCTAGAAAGACAGGAGGGTTATCTTCAAGCTATTATCCCACCCTGAAAAGAGCGCCTCGAGACTAAAAATCGAGATAGAAGAAATAGAAATAAACACTCATCAACCCTTAGACATAAGGAGGCCTTCAAGAGAATAGCGACGATTCAAAACAAAGCGCTTCTAGGCGTGAACTAGAGCCAAAACAGCGATACAAGGCTAAAGGGATATTTATTTAAGACCATCTATAAATAGACATAAACATAAAGATAATATATAAGTTAAAAGAACAAGACTATTAAGGCTTTATACTTAGTGCTAATAAAGAGGGCCCTAGGGCTAATATACTATATAGAGTAATAGCGTATATAGTATAATGACGCACTAAATCCTACTCCACCACCTTTAACTATTATTTCCATTAACCATGAGGTATAAGTATACATCAAAAGTAGCGAATCATGAATAGCGACTACAGAACACTATCTCAGTATATAAAAACCAAGAGTTTAGCTCGATTCGCGCCACTATTAATTATTTTTATGTCTCTAATCAAACTATATCTCGCCATCTTAATAAAGAACTATCACGCGCCTAAGCTAAAGAAGTCACTTAAATTCTTTTAAACACAGAGAAAAAGACTCTTATATAATAGGTTTTGCGATATATATACACTGAAAGTCTTATTATATTAGTGTTATTATTGAAAATAGTAGAATTAATTTAATATAAATATATTTAATATATATTATAAAATTTATTCTTTATTAAGATCCTTATATTAATTAGTTATGAATAACTTTATCGCTTTCTTAATTATTATTTTACTATTTAGAGTATCTATACTTATTAGCTAGAGATTATATAATATAATAATATATTATATAATAAAGTAAAGACCTAGTTTAACATAATTATTACGAAATTTTAAGAGCGTATTTACTATAATTTTAATATTTAGAATATAGATAAATTTAATTTTAGAGTTAGTGATAATTAAACTATAAAGATCTTAGTCTCTATTAATTATATATAATAGCATAAAACTATAATAAATAAACAAGAGTGAGTAATTATTATTAAATATATTAATATAGCGAGAGAAGCTCTCTTATTAATAATTATTTTTAAAGATTAAAATCTTAATTTAGAGTAGCTATTATTTTAAATACTAAAGAACTAGTATTTTATAGTTAGTGAGAATAACTAGATATTAAATATTCTTAGTTTATAATAATTAATAAAGATATTTAAGTCTTAAATATATAAAAAAGCGACTAGTTAGTTATAATTATTAATTATTAATGGCTATAAAAGTTATATTAAGGCCGATTTTATTATTCACTATATAGAGAATAATATTAACTTATTAATTATGTCTTTTTATTACTCTTATCTTCTTTAGTCACTTAATATAAAAATATTTATAGTCTTTAAGCGCGCCCACTTAAATAAGATTAATATAACTTTTTAACTTAGTATATAATATATTTCATATTTAGAATAAATAGAAATATTTATTTAAGCGCGCGCGAAGACTATTAAATTAAATAATATTCTTAAAGAATAAAGAGATATAGATTTAAGCGCTCTTATTTTAATTATATCACCAAAAAAGTGTAATCTTAACTTCTTCTTACTCTATAGCTCTCCCCTAAATAATATTAAACTTTAAGAGTTTAATATTTTATTAAATTTTATGCTAGTGTAGACACTAAAGCTATTATCGCTCATTAAGCAATATATAGCTCGAGTGACTTAAATAATCAAAACACTCACTATAAAGAACACTCTTCTTTAACAATAGAACTAAGAATAAAAGAAGTTACTTAAGGCTTGAAAGAGTTATAAATAAGGCAAAAGAGTTAGATTAGAAGGCGAATTTATATATTCAATAGAGAAAGTGTTAGAGGTCACGCGAGAAAAGAAGATAAGGCACCTAGCTAAATGGCCACGCCAATAACCATATCAACAAGTGATCATCAAAAGCGAGTCTGAGAATAAAGATAAGATCTCAGACTATTTATCTAGCTCGTTTGGAGATGGGATATCTGTCGTGGTGCCTCGTTAGAGACTTTTATAGGTGGTGAAGTAGGATTTGGTGCGTCATTATACCATATACGCCATTACCCCATACAGTATATTAGCAGAGCCCATGATCCTGGCCAGGTTATATAATCCCTGCTCCCTTGGTTTATGTGTATTGAAGGTAATAACGCCGAGTGGCTGTCGTCACAGCTTGGTCTGCGGCCTTATAAAAGGCCTGGTTTGTAACATTAAGAATAATCTTAAATAGATAATATATCATTAAGGATTATATCCTGAAAGTGTAACTCGTGATTAATCTTGAAAATATAGACTTAAAAGACTTTATTAGTCTTTATAATAGTCTTGCCTTGATTTCCTATAAGTAGTGTATTTAATACAACCTCTTTCACCGCGAAGAAGAACTTCGGTTATGATGGTATCCCCATTACATGTCTATATATAGATTTTCTTGGTTCGCTAGATAGAGAATTCGATTCTGAGTATCTAATTCATATATATATCATGATATTATGATATTATGTTGTTGTTGTTGAGTAATGACGCGACGAGGTCTCACCGCCATTGAGAAATGTTGTGTGGTGGGCATGTCTCCAAAGATTCTCCGATTTACGGATTTTTGTAACGCACCAATAGGTAGCAACCGACGGGCTTTCGCGCTCTGTCACTCCCCATTCGAGGCGGACTCGGATAGAAATGACGAGTCCAGGTTGCTAGGTGAGAAGTATTTCTGTGTAACACGCACTGGGAAGGCTCGTGCTTGCTCTATCTTGACCCAAGAGAACACCAGAATCCTGTATAGCCAATGCCTTTTTCCGCACCACTCTCCTCAATCTCGCCGTACGAAGGAGATATCCGCGAGTTTACTGGTCGGTTTATCGCTGTACCAGCCGCCTCGTAAAACAACTTCTGCACCGGATGGGTACATATTTCCTCGCCGCAGAACCAGCTCGCCTTCAACATTCTCCTCATAGGCACTCGAACGGCCTTTACTGCGTACTTACGCTTCAGAAAGTGCAAATTTCCCTCAAAGTCTTACGGCGGCGGACTTACACAAGCAACTTCAGATCATGCCTTCCGCTGCACCGAATCCAGAAATGACTGATGTAGTGATCGTTGGCGCAGGCCTCAGTGGTCTGGAAGCCGGCCGTCACCTCCAACGTGCGAACATCTCGTGCCAGATCTTGGAAGCAACCGGGCAGGTAGATGGCAAAACTCGAACTGTAAAGTCGAGGGAGACGGGCCCCGGGTTCAACGACGTAGGAGCAGCTTGGATCAACGACACAAGTCAGAGCGAGATGTACAAGCTCTTCCAACGCTACGGGCTCGGAGCCGAAATCCAGAGATCAACAGGAAACACCTTGCACGAAGAACGAGACGGATCTTTTGTCTCACTGCCATATGGCGAGCTACCAGTGAGTGTCCGCTTGAGGGGTCGTCGCCCTACGCTACATATTCCACATTTCGGTCCGAAAACTTATCAGTCGGTCCTTTAGATATCACAAGAGGAAGCGGCCTCCCTTGGTGCATTGCTGTCGAATTTGGACAAAATGATAGCTGAGTCTTGCCTGGAAAGACCTGAAAAGTCCCCAGGTGCCCAACAGCTAGATCAGATCACTTTTAAGGACTTCTGCATCCAGGCAGGTCCGTCTCCCATTAATGGTCATTTTGCCGACAACATCTCGCGGGGTTTGCTGGGTGTCGATGCCAGTGAGATCAGCACTCTGTACATGATCAACTATTTCAAAAGCGGCACGGGAATTGCCAATCTTTCCTCGGACTAAAAAGAGGGTGGTCAATATCTGCGTGCGAGGCAAGGTGAGCTCCGACATGATTCAGGTCCAGTTGACGGCGGATTCGGAACGAAAAGAAGCTACTACAAGCGGGCGCTGACGGTGCACATCTAGGAATGCAGTCAATTGCCAGAGGAATAGCTTCTGAACTAGTCCCGGGCACCCTACACTTGTCTTCACCTGTAGTGTCTATCGAGCAATTGGCGCCCGACAGCTGTACAGTGTCGACCGCCGCTGGAAAAGTCTCCCGGTGTCGAAAGGTGATTGTTCCAGTCCCTACTCCTCTCCTCTCCTCCATCAAATTCTCGCCGCATTTGCCAGAGGCCAAAGCGACCCTGAGTGCCAGCACTGCGTTGGGATATTACAGCAAGATGATCTACGTTTTCGACCATCCCTGGTGGCGAGACGCCGGGCTGTCGGGTGTGTTTGAGTCTGTCACGGGGCCAGTCTCCTTCACGCGCGACACCAGCATCCCAGCGGATGGCCAGTGGTCAATCTCATGCTTCATTGTTGGGGAGCCTGGTCGTCGATGGTCACAACTCCCCGACGTATTGGGACGTCAACGGATTTGGGAGCAGTTTTCGAGAGCCTTCGGGAGTGTTGTCGCCAGTGTTCCTCAGCCGGTCAATGTGATCAAGATGGAATGGACCAAGGAGGCATGGTTTGGAGGTGCCCCGTCGCCAGTGATGGGTCCTGGCATCCTCTCAACCGTCGGACATGCCTTGAAGACTCCATGTGGCGATGTTCACTTTGTGGGAACAGAAACAGCTGATGTTTGGAAAGGCTACATGGAGGGTGCTGTGCGATCTGGCCGACGTGGAGCAAGAGAGGTCATTGCTGCTCTACGAGAGGCAACTGTCCAGCAGCCTAGCAGGTAGGTGTATAGGAATCGTTGTGCAGGATAGATACATTGCTCTGGATACGCCGGAAAAGGTGTGAAGCGAAGAGGCCCTTTGCCCCCTGGGGAGGGAGACCCATCTTAGCAAAGCTTAGCGTACAAATAAGTATACGGCTACGCATCTTTCACGGCAAAGGAAAACGAAATCTAGCTCCCTCCCAGGGCGGAATCAGGCCTACGCGAAACATATCCCGCCCGTATCGATATTCTTTTCTTGTGTTAACGCACGGCGACACCGAAACGCTAACTGGGCCAAGGAGTTGACTCAACTGCGGCTGAAACTGCGGCTGAAACTGCGGCTGAAAGATCGCCCAGAGACAAGGCAGTGTTTATTGGCCCAGTGCTTCGACTAGGACTGGCGGTCATGCATGAGTCGGCTGCGAGTTGAGGAGGTTGTTGACTTCTCTCGGCCCAGTCAGTACTAGTACTGGCTTGCAAGCACTTAAGTCCTTGGGCTCATCACCTATTACGGCCAGAAACTAGGACAACGCATCCCCTTTAGCGCCGACCTGTGCTGCCCCCGGCCAGTCACCAAAGTCCCCGTGGGGGGTGCTTGATAGGGTTCTCGGCAAAAGCTGCATTAGCCCTGAGCTTGGTGAAGAGCTTATGTGTTCTAGATTTGACAAAGACGCTCGACCTCGGAGCGCCACAGACCGCTGACTGGTGGTGCCTTGTGCGAATCGCATCGAGCTCCCCGAAATGAATGGTCTGTAGCAGGCGGCCCAGGGGATCCGACATGGACTGCTTACGAGGGGAAATCATTTTCTACAGGCCGAAAAGCTTCTACGGTCGAAGGTACACTTCTTTTCTTAATCTATTTAGGTAGTCAATGTATACAGCCCGTGCAGGCCCTTCCCTCCTCCTCCTCCCACAACCGTATAATATTCTCCCACGCTCATTGTACAGGTCCGTTAGTAACTACTACTTGAGCACATACTTAAGTATCCAGTCGTCCCGGACCGCTAGTGGCCTTGGGCACCTTCTTTTCTTCCTCCTTTACCGTCACACATACCAGTACTACTTACTTACCGGCGGTACACGATTTCAATAGTACATACAACAAACAAACCATTCATCGCACAATGTCGTCTCCTCCTCCCACAACTCCAGCGGTCATCGTTCACATAGACGGCGCCGGTGGCATCGACAAGAGCTATCGCGAGCGTCACCCCGTCCTCGATTTCCTGTTCACGCACCAAGAAGCGTTCGACCACGGCACCATGAAGACCGAGCCGTACACCCAATTCCACACTTCGGACTTCGTCTTCACCAAGTCCGACGGCACCGTCCTGCCCGCGGGCGAAGAGTCCTGGAAAGGCTGGCTGGAAGGCTACGCCCCGTTCACCGAGCACCTCCACGAGGCCCGCTACTGCTGCGTCTACGAGCGGCGGCGCGACGACGACGACGACGCCGGCGGGTCGACAAGTTTTTGGGAAATGTTGGGCATAGCCAACGTTTTCGCCGACCTCCCCGCGCCGGGGGAGAAGACCAAGACGGATCTGTCCGGCCGCAAGTGGGACGTCGCGGTCCCCGGCGCGTTCCTCTTTACTTGCGTTGCGGACCCGGCTGGCCCGAAGGGCTTCAAGGTCAAGTCGATGACGCTGTATGGGGACGGGACTCCCGTGGTCGGCGAGATGATCAAGCGTGGAATGGTCAAGCCTGAGGATCTTCTTGCAAAGTAGTATACTGTCTGTACTGATCTAGTAGTTGGTCGGCGGTTGGTTGTTATTCAGACGGTTTTAACTAGTATTATTTACTACTGGCAGCTGCTGAGGGTTGGGACAGAACCATGCACGTCATTGACAAGTATGAAAGACTACTGCGGCGAGCGGCTCTCTCAGAGATCTTGGAGAATCGAGGAGAATGGTCGATCAACCAGTTACTTGGAATACCCCCCACTAGTAACAGAGCATCGTGTTTAATCGTTGCTGCTGCCACTTGCTTCCACTCCACTCACAGCTCCCGGTGTGCTAAATCTGTGTCTGTATCTGCTAATCAGTAGTAGTACCGGTATCCTTCGCCTTTGCAAAACCTTCTCTTGGGTCCACGGCCCATGGTACTAGCACAATCCACGGACTGCTCCAGCATGTGCCCTAGTGCACACCAATTATATAGTGCTTCGTTTTTCTGATGTATGTAGAAAACCGGCACTGCCGTTCTCTCCATCTCACCAATTGTCATTGCGAGGCGACTGACTGACCACATGCGAGATGGGCTACGCAAGTGGTGGCCATTGAGAAACTAACCCATCGAAGAAGGTCGGTTATGCAGGCACTGTCATGTCATTCCATGACTACCTACAATCCCTCCTCCATTTGTAACAGAAGGGGGGGCTCAACTATGAATACTGACTGACCCTTTTATACCTTCTCCCGAAGACCAACTGAATTTTAAAACCGCTGCGGTGTAACATTTCATGCATGTTATTGTTGCGTTCGATGACGTGGCGGTATTTACTAGTAGGCCGTAGAAAGAACCCACTTGAACCTTCGGGGAGCTATTGACGAGGATCACTCTAGAATAGTCAAACCCAGGCAGGCATGTTACCAGTACGGTATACCCAAGGGTTCCAGGAGTCTCCGGGCGCGATTTGTCTTGGGGAGACGTCTAGCTAGCTAGGTATCTTAAGTAAGTACAAGCAGATAGAATCAGTTTACAGTAGTAGCACCCCCAAATAGTTGTACAACAGTTAGTAGTACTGTACTAATCGTGTTTGACAATGGCCTTTCGTCTTTCCCCTCGATTTGAGTCTTCTTCTATCTAGACTGGGGGCTGAAAAAGAATTTGAATCGAGCAAAGTATTCTCCTAAATCGCTGGGATTTAATTAAGGACTTGGTGTTCATGAATCAAGTCTGTGAAGATTTGACCTTGAATCATGTGCTTGAATCACATCTATGAATCGCTAACTCGATTCAACTCCCAGTGCTCAACACCAGAGTTTAAACATGGTTTCAAACCTGGGATGGGACCTGGTTTTATCCTGGTGGCTATATGAAGGTCTGATACATAATCTTCTTCTACTGTCGTTGACTGTCCCTTGTGGGGGAAACTTTACTAAGTACTTACTAGGACTTGTAAATTATCTTTAGTGACAGCTTAAAACGTGATACTGAAAATACTAGAATAGGTTTAGTACTAGCCTTTTCATCCTATGTACAACTTCAAGTTTGTTTTCGAGTCTTGAATGAATTAATACCACCTATGGCATAGTATCTGCGACTGTTTCAGCCAACATACCTCAACCGTTCCATCCCAGCTGCCTCGGCATGTCGCTTGAAGAGAACATCACCACCATGGATGGTCTGCCCCACCAGCGAAATCTCGAGAATGCCAGCTTTGACCAGATCTTGTGCAAGTCTCACAAGCATTCCATCGCAGCCTTTTGCGGCCAGGATATCAACGGCAACAGGCAGGTACTCTACGTGCTGCGTGATGTTGCTGTATGATGGAACCTGGCCGATGGGGAAGACATGGTCAGGGACTTCTGCGAATACACTTATGTAGCCTGATGAGAGCCCAAAGGGGACTCTTGGAGGATCCAGATAGGTGTTTCTAGTTTAGGGGACGCCAGCGCTGCCGCCGTATAAAAACAACCCTGAAGAACATTGCGTCGGGTCGTCAACAGGGGGCAGAACCTCGGTGTTGAACCAATTCATGAAATTGGTCTTTCTATCCAGGGCGTCCTCCAAAGCCCCAGCTGGGAGCGAATCTCCCCATGCCCAGCGTGTGGTCGCCGGAGGATCAACAAACGGCTTTCGACCATCATGAACACCTAGGTAAACAGTAGTATCTGGGTCAGCTTATACTATCCAATCTTCGCCTCTCCGGATATGTCTGACAGTCTGACTTACTGGCATAGTCTGCGAAAAATGGGTCTCGCACCAAGGCTGCCTGTTGCTTCGAGATCAATGTCACATACGTGGTGTTGAGATACAGGGGCAATGATGTATTTTTCACTTGAGGCAGGCCAGTCGAGGCCCAGAGTTGCGTGATATTCAGGCTTGTCACATTGCCAGAGACGAACGACGCCAATGAGTTGGCAAAGGCATTGTACAGAGGCGCACTCTGGTCGACGGGGAAGTTATATGTCAGAATCTGGGTCGGATAGTGCATTTCGGTATTCTTTGCTAGAGACGTGTAGTTGGAACCGTACATGGTCGAGCATGCCGCGTCCCACAGAGAAGGATCTCGCACCAGAAAGCCGAGAGGCATGACGTGTGGTCAAGGCTCACGAGGTTGTGACTTGGTCGGTTGCCGAAGATTCCTTGTTTCCCAGCAGGGCCCCGGATAGAGCCACCAGTGTCGCTGCCGACAGCGATGTCCAGCCACGAATAGGAGCCGATGGAAGCACCCGCGCCAGAGGAAGATGAAGAAGGATCCTGGTACCCATCACCGCGTGGGTTGAAGGGCGAGTGATAGTCCACCCAATCCGCCGTTGCTGTTTCGCCGTTGGCGAATTGAGAAAGCTTCTGATGGCCCACGATGACGGCGCCGGCATCTATCAGACGCTGGATTGCAGTTCCCGTCTCATTCGCCGGTGGATACAGATTATACCACGCTCGGTTTCCGCACGACTTCTTGACCCCTGCAAGGTCTGCCAGGTCTTTGACAGCAATGCGGACTCCTGCGAGGGGTTTCTCCTCTGATGGGGTGTAGTAGAGTCGAGAGGGTACTCCAATGGTCAGAGTTGCCGACGTCGATGTCTGAGCGGACAGCGTCTGGAAGGTGCCTTCGGGCGTTTGAAGCAGTGCTTCGGTGAATGCCCCCGCGAAGTCATCGTACAGACGATACACCGGATACAAGGTTCCATCGGATCCATCCAAGAAATAAGGCCCAGGAGGTATGGTAGAAGGGGCCCCCAGAGGGAGGGCGAGAACCGATGTTCCATTTCCCGGTAATGTCTGCGGCGTCGAGACCTCTGACGACACAACGATCTCGGCAAATGCCTCCTGGAAGACGTCGTCCTTGCTTGTCCAACCAGCAATTGTGCTCCAGATATCGGTGATGCCGACGCCATTGTCAAGGACTGCGACAGGATACAGGCCATGTGCTGATCGATACTCTGTCAGGCTCTCAACATCCACCGAGATATTGCCACTCGGGTACGGAGAGACCAAGTAGTCAATGTCGTTAAGTTGCAGGGACGTTCCTCTCGAGCTTAGTTGGGCTGAACTCGCGGTGGGCAGGGCACACCAAAGCGCAAGTAATACTCCCAAGTACGAGTGTACCGGTGTGGATAAAGGAGCCAGCATATTGAATGCCTGGTTCGTCACAGATCGATTCTTCGCAAACCTCTGTTATGGCCCAAGACTCCCACAAAGAAGCCGCTTGTCATTCTAGAAAGCTTTCACTCTTATAGAGCGCCATCAACACCGATATCGCAGCATTTGTCTCTTATCAGTGGAAACATCCGTCCAAGGACCAGGAAGACATTGTACATACTATCTATGTACATTCTTCATAATTCGCTGATAAGCGACCGTAGGGAAGGGATCGCCACAGAATGATTGGAGGAAGGCTGTGTAATTCGCTTGCGGGGAATCGACGGAGGAAAACTGTATCCGGACGGGGCTATTTCATGAAGTATGGATGCTACTTGTCAAGTTACCAGGGCCTTCTCGGCTGCCATAGGCGCCTTTACTAGCCGGCAGACAGTCAGAGACTACATCAAGGCAAGCTTATGGAAGAGAAGAAAATAATCGACGACAATGGCAATATTTTCCACCTGCCGGCTGCGTCCCGTATCCCACTGATACAACTAACGCAGTTATACTTAATGAGAGCTTGGCACCCTCTAGCCAGCTAAGCCACTCTTACTTTTAAGAGTCTTGGGGGTTCGCCGGTACCGGCGGCTTGCCAAGAAGGCCTTTAGTATGTCGAGTTCATGGTAAGAATGTATTAAGTTTGGCTGCGATATGATTAGTGCTCCAGTACCTCAGGTTTCAACAACTCAGAGTCTGTCTGGACGGGGATGAGGACAATCGTAGATAATTTTTAACATGCCCAATGCAGTAGCTCCAATTCTCCGAAAGGAAATTTAAGTCGAGGAGAGATTGAACACGGTCCCATTGATGTCTAGAGGTCAAGTGACATATATATCGGAGACCTCGATTCCGCTCCCCCCCGGGACGTGCTAGTATTTGTTGGACGACATCTATGTAAAATTCTATCATTGACGTGCCAAAGGTGTTGATTTATTATCGTTTACCTCCCAACACACTTGTTCTGCTCCTCACAAGTCGCGACCTACACTCCAAAGCTTCTCTCCTACTTCCATGCTGTGTCTAACTTACCATGAGAAGGCTTTATTGTCTGACTTCTCCCCCATGATCGCAATTTGTTCAATTTCGATCATCATTCTATCCCATTCGTTCTTGTATGAGCAAGCTCCTTCGAAAACCTGGTGGGTTCAGGAGCAACTAGGACTGCTCCATCGGCTGGGACAAGCTTTGCATCGAAACTGGGTTCAACACCGTCGCCAGTGGATGATGAGTTGTCATCGAACACTCGTTTCGATGTGGCCGCATCCAGGGCGGAGTCCTCGGCCACACGGAACCATGCAACGTACAGCAGACCAGGAATTCCAACGAAAAAGGTAATGACATTGGCCCAGAGCTGCCATTTAAGCGCAACGTTCTTCGCGCCGATGATGAACGCGGCTGTCGACCCGGCTGAACCCATTCCAACTGCGAGTCCAACTAGTGAGGCAAGCTCGCCAGGAGGAAGGCCGAGAGATCCTGGTCAAGATTGTCAGCCCAATGTCATATAGCAGCCGGACCAAAAGTCCTGCAGATCTCGAGAGACCAACCAATGATCCAGTATAGAATTATCATGGACGAATTCTCGAGCAGGCCATAAAGTACGAACAGGAGGAAGGACTTGGCGAATACGGGGTCATGGATGTCGATGACCGTGGTAGGGTCGCGGTTGTCGTACTGATATTGGACCACGAGACCATATATCCCTGCGTGAGGAGATGAGTTTGGAACCACATGAGCATTAAAGGATCCGAACTTACATATCAGGAGCGAGAGCACTGCAAATAATGTGGTACCGACCTTTGCCCTTGACCGCCGAGTCCATACCGTTCTGTCAAGAAGGTATCCTTGAATTGGACCGATAATGGTGGGTCCGACTGCGAGGAATGTCAGTCGGTAAAGACGGCTTTTATGCCTGACAAGCTAGCTTACTGAGATAGAAGAAGGCGGAAAGAAGACCTCGTGCGCGGACGCTATGGTAAGCAGCATTCCAGGTCCACATGTATGCCAGGTCCCATTGCTGGAGGCACAGAGTCAACGACCACCATGTAGACAGCAGGGTGTATCGTCACTTACGCAGTAAAGGATATAAGGCAGCAGGAGCAGAAAATTGATGCTGACCAAGCTGCGCTTCAGGCCAATGAACTCCTCCTGCAACGACTGGAATTTGTGAGCGGCAATGTGGGAGCCATCCTTCCTCACCACTTGATCCGGGCGAGGCACAGTAAGTGCTGGTATCAAGCCGAGGCACATAATACTGGTGAAAGCGAAATAGGTCGCTGTTGGCCAAAGGTTAGGCTGGCTAGGGTTCACGAGAAGGACCAGCAGGAGAACGATTTCTTACCATCAGAAACCCGGCCTCTGGTGGATCCAGAGGCATTGATCCCAAATGATATGATGCCCCCAATGAAACCTCCGAAGTTCTGGAACACAAACTTGGTCGCAACAGCTCGCCCTCTATGGCGGACTTCCGGGACTGGTTCCATCTTTAGCGGTACCTCGGAGATGCCGTCGAGACCACTTACAAGTGAGATTGATCGCGCCTGTTGCGGTCCACAGATGGACACCGCTGATTCCACAAAGAAGACCTCCCAGGATTGGAAACCATCTACGTAAGTTAGCATAATATTTCAGAGTATAGGTCGATGGCCTGACGTGTTTCCGAACGCCGCGTTAGTGTACAATGCGGCTGCATCCAGTCAGTATCTATTCACCATTTGGGCTCGGCGGCATCAAGGGCTCACCGGCGTAAGGGGCGTATCCAAGAGAGCCGATGGTGAGAACCCATCGGACACCAATATAATTGCACAAAATACCAGTGAAGAATCCGCCCACTGTGAGGGACCCAAACACCACGGCGTTCACCGTGTTAGACAACGCTGGCGTTTCTTCTCCCGAGGCCTAAATCCGATGGGATCTGATGAGCACATATTCCCATCTGTCGCAGCAGGCAAACACCTACACCCAGACCCTTGATAGACCAGTCAGCACACAGAACCTTGGAGACCGATGAGTTGTTTCTCTTACATTGAGCGCAGAAAACATCCCCGGATGGCAAAACCCCAGCCACGCTACTACTAAAACGCTGTACCTATGCATTCAAGACATGGTCAGACGAAGTCCAAAGTTATGTGCTTGATTCCAAGCCAATATGGGTGTCCGAACGTACCATGGTCGGTATCGAAGGTTTCGCAGGTTTCTCGAGAGGAAGGGCATATCGAAATCACGCGTAGACGGCTACTTGTGTCACCCTGTTGGAAGGGCGATATCCAGACGCTGTGCTGGCCGGGTGTGGTAGGAAAGTATGGCCATTTTGCGGGATCTCGTCCTGATATAGGAGCGCCATTTCGATGGTTGTCCCTTTGCCACAGAAGCACCCACCGCGAACTTGCATTGGGGCTTGAAGATTGAACCAGACCATGCTTCGTTCAGTGCCGTGGCAGGACTGGTGTGATTGTCCACTTCCAACGCTACTTTGACGAATGACTGGATCGACATTAGCATGTACAAGTACTTCCCGCGCGAAGTTGGGAGTTGTCCAACCAGGAGTGTCCGGAACCAGTCCGAAATCCGACAAGTGATCTGCTTTGTTTACTTCCGTCCCTTTGTGGAACCCCGGTATGTGTATGTCCTGTACTTCGCGCGTAGGCGAAGCACGCAATTATGGAGCCCATATTCGCTGAGTACCTTTATCCGGGCGGAATATTGACCGCACCACTTAGAAGCTCAAGGATTAATAGCGTTAGAGAATTATCGGGAGTGTGAAGGACGGGACGAACGGCATCAAGAACTGGGTCAAGCTTTCGTCTACATACGGTTGTCGAAGTAGTTCATTCTTCTTTACCCTAGCGCGGAAGTCAATCCTTGCCTCGCGCCAGATGGAATGCTTCCAAACAATCACAGGGAACACGCTCCTTTGCCTCGAATCAAATGGGGCGCCACCAAAAAGTCGATCTTACTAAGGTTTCTATTTTCAATAAAAGTACGTGGATTACGACATCTTATTAATACCATAGTGCTGTAGCAGGATCTGTGTCTCACGCACACCATGTGATTCTGGAGCTACTCGAAGTCCTATCCCTCAATCTATAGCTGCTGCTACTGAGCCCCCTCTCTGGTTCAGTGCCCCTTGAGTTACTGTGGTCTCTCTGGACAGTTTCCTCGATTTCTAGAGCCTCAATTGAAACGAAGAAGCTTCCCTGCGGTCCTTCGCCTCGACAGTTTCCTTCCACACTTCTTGGACCTGGCCCAGAGGTTTAGCAGGACGAATCTAACAAGCCTGGACAACAGGGCGAGTCCACTTACATTGTAATGATATGCCCAACTGTGCTCGTACCCCCAATTGTTCTGAACCAAGACTTCGACGGCGGTGTCAAACGTTGGCTTGGGATCCAGAGTCTCCAGGTACGCCACTGTGTCAGCGAATTTTCCTAGAATGCCGTACTGTGGATGGTTCATCAGCGTACCTAGCCATGAGTCATCTTAGGTTGCAAAGCATAATACGTACCAGACGTCGGTAATGGGGCGACCTGACCTGGTCGAACAATTGCAGGGCATCTCCAAGACCAAGATGTCGGTCATGAGCCCATGCTATCGACCTAGAAAGCACAAACACGTCTTCAAGAGCAAAGCCAGCACCGGCACCTACACCACATGCTTAGTGTTCTACCTTTTCATAATTGTACACCAAATGACACTGCTTACCAAAGGCTCCTGAGAGCGCTGTGCATGGATGATTAGTTAGGTTCTAACAAAGATTGTGACACACTTACGATGAGAGGCATCGCCAACCAGGGCTATGGAGTCGTGTGCCACGATTGTTGTCAGTTGCGGTCCAGCGAACAATGCGTACTGTTCGACGCTGTCTGGTAGAGTTATGATGTCTGTGACTTTCTGATCGAATTCCTGTCCTGTGTCAGCAGAGGTGGCGGACGGACCAAATGTAATTGCCACCAACCTTGAAGTGCGGCGTGACTTGGTCAAACGAGGCCTCCTGGCCCCAGCTCACTTGGCTTTCGCTTTCGTCGTGTTCCGTGACCATGGTCGTGATTTCGTATACATTGTCGCCTAGTGGGCAAGTATACAGCCAGGCGTGCGGGCCGTGCCAGAAAGTCACAGCGTCACGAGGTACATCAGGAATCGAAGCCATCTCCTCGTACGTGACGAGGGACCGGAATGCTTTCTTGCCAGTATAGCTGATGCGGTGGTCAGGGAAAGCGAAACTCCGAGCGACCTGATGAGATTCATTAACTTTTGAGATCGACTGGATGATTCTGTAAAGGGGTCAACGCTCACCGAACGGACTCCATCTGCTCCCACAAGGAGATCAACTTCGTCTTCAAATCCATCTTGGAAGCCGAGTTTGACCCTGCCTGTCGGTGTTTGTTCAATGTGAACAAGGCGTGACCGTAACCGCACATGGCTGAGGTCCACCTCTTTCAGAATGGCCTGTTGCAGAACGGAACGCCGGGTACGGGCATGAAGATGATCTGGTGAAGTTTCTGTCACAAGTCAATACAACGAGTCAGTGTCTGGGGGTGGCCACAGGTAGAAAAGTACCTCGCTGCGTATGAGACGCCAGAAGTTCTCTTGTCCTCCCGTTACTGTAGAGAGATAAGTCTTCCTTCACCGAAATGCCAGTTGTAGTAACACCCACCGATGCTGAACGGAGTGCCCATCAGCTGCGCGGAAGAAACTCCCAGGCTCAAAGTTCTTCGAAGCTCCCAGGACGTCCAGAATGCGCCAGGTATTTCTCTGTATACTTATGCCCGCGCCCACTTCCCTGATTGCATTTGCTTGCTCATAGAGTCGCCAGCGCACGTATGGCAGTTTGTTGAACTCGACAGCTGCAGCGAGTCCAGCCGGTCCTGCTCCGATGATTGCCACCTCCAGTGGATGATCCTTCGGTGTCTCTTTGATCGCCATGACCTTCCAACCTTCACAAAATGATCCTTTCCGACAATGTTGAGACAATTCGAGTGACCGATGGTAAATTCTCTTCGTCTTTCCGGTACGGGTACTTGAATTTAAGACGAGGTACTCCCAGAGAGATTATAAAACTGAAGCCCGACTTGGCTACCTCATGAAACCTCTCACGGCACCAGTCCCAAGCCGAGAGCATGTGGCCTGATTGTCCATAGAGGATCGTTTCCCGGCTATGTTCCGTTCGCAGCCAATGGCTTCCAAGTATTCAGAGGAGCCAGAAGCACTTCCAGTAGCGCGGTAGGGTTTGAGAGTGGAAATCGAAAGTACCAGGCTCCTTCGTGGAGTCCACTTGACTATGGAGCTATGCGGTACTGACGGCTCAACGTTATCTTGATTGGCTGGACGAACCCCCTCATGTCCTCGCACGCCTTGCGGCTGTCCTTTTACGCCATCCGGAGTGGGATTGTAGACAATAAGACAAAAGCCCCATGTTGTGTAATCGTGGTCTTGAGTTATCACACATACTCAGCTTGCATGGCGGAACGACTTTCCACACCCATGCACGCCCGCCTCGTGGAACCACGTCCAAAGCTGCTACCACGGAATAAGGAGGGATCAGACCGTCGTGATCAATTGGCTTCTCACAGTTCTAAAGTCTCTCTATCACTACCGCTCAGCCAGAGACGTCGGTCGAGTCGCAATCGCGCTTCCACAGTAAAACATTAATTCTATCCTTGCTGCGCAACGTCTTACTGTGAGATAGGCATGCGAAACGTGTCGCATCAAAAAGGTCAAGTGCAACGAGGGGCGTCCAATCTGTTCGTTCTGTCAAAAACATGGAATGCGATGTGTCTATTCCATGCCAGCGAGGTCAATGTATGAACCAGGCCAGTATTCACTTTCGAGATAATACCGCTGAATGTGAGTCACAGGCCGGTTCCTACGACGTTGCTGTTGCTCGAGCGTATAGTGGCACTTGAAGACAGGCTCGACTCAGAATCGAGCCAACTATGTACCTCAAATTCTCCGCACGAAAGGTTCAACAAATACCGGTCAAGCAGTCGCCATGCCAGAAGTCCCGAGGCAGGCCTTGGAAACTATCCCGCGACAACAGCAACAACAGCGACTTCCTCAACCTCGACAGGTCTATCACCTGAAGATGCTGGCTCTGCACCTCCCGATCTCCTTGCGATCAGTGCCGAAGTACATCCCATTGTATCTTCAAACGCATTCGAGCTTGTCAAAGCTTCTGCATATCGTCTAGATATGACAGGGTCTGCTCTGAACGTGGATTGTCGGATGATGGAATCACCCGCGGTTAACGGTCAAGCCTACTTCGATGCTGAGTTGGACCAGACATCTGCGATACTTCCATTAGTTACGATCTTCTTGAACGTCGTCTGTCCGCTTTTCCCGATCATTTGTGACCAAAAGCTGCACGAGACCACAGCCGCAGTACTCGCGCAAGGGCTGAGAAATGATCTTCCATCCTGTATGATCATCCTGGTCGTGTCGCTTGCAAAGTTGTACTCGCAGACAAACATGCAAGTCCCCGACCTTCTGGCAGACTTTGAGACCGCCGCAAAGCTTCTCAGCGCGTTGCCAATGCACCTGACCCTTGAGTATGCACAGAGTCAGGTTCTCTGTGCGCTTTTCCTGCTCAAGAGGCATCAGGTGTTGGATGCATGGAAATGGCTTCACGCCGGATGCAGTACGCTGTACAGCCTGATAAAAAGGCAAGAAAAGAGTCATCTAATCCCCGCTGGAAACATTACTCTAATGCTGAACTACAGAGACCTGTCGACAAAAGTGTCCCGGCCTCAAGACGAAAGAAACACAATCCGTCGAATGTTCTGGGTCATCTTCAATTTGGAACGGTGAGCAGCTGCGCTTAATCCCATGATAGATCACCCCTACAGGCCGTCAACTGATACTTTGTTCCCACAGTGACATTACCTGTGAAATCGACACGTTGCCTCCAAGTCGTCTCGCCGAACTTGAGAGTTACATGCCTCTGCCTCTGGGGTGTGATGAGAGCTCGTTGAGCCATCTGAAAGCACATACACGTCTTATTTATATGTTTTTCCTGGCAGAGACGTCTCTGAAATTGATCCTGTTTCGAACAAAGTCGCTGTGGACTCATACCAGTCGTGGTCGTGAAGCAGAACCTGCCATACTTGCGAACTCGCCGGTCGTCTTGGAGCTCAAGAAGCAATTGGACGTTTGGGAGGACAATTTACCAGTATCTCTCGACTGGAAACGGGAGGCTACCAAAGGTGGAGAGCCCCAGCTGGCCATTCGGCTGAGACTGACTTTTTGGCTGGCGCGGTTCTACTTGTTCGAGCCCGTTATTCTCCACGTGCTGGACAATGTTGGATCACAGTTCAGTCTCGATGTTTGGACGTCCTTTACGCACGGCTTGTCGGCTGGTACTACCTTGGTGAGAGAGCTCCTGAAGGAAAGACTGGGTATTGATTGTATAACGGGGAAAAGGCAAGTCCAAGCAAGTCACCTTTAGAGTTGTTTTGAGGCTGACTATCGGTTACCAAGGATTTTGTACGTCATCACAACCCTTCAAATGGCATTTCAGAAGAAAGATATTGCATTGATTCCACAGTCTGAAAACCCGCAGGATTTGTTGAAGAATGGCCTGAGTTATCTGAGACAACAAATGGCTGGAGAGGATGCACGGTGGCCCTGGCAGTTCTGACCTGTCACTTGGAACAATTGAGGCCTGAGTAATTGCTGTGCCTTGGAGTATCATGTTCAGTTGTAACTTGACTCCACACTAGAGAGAAGCATGCATGACAAGTTAATGTGTTTGATAAGCATACTCTCGAATACTTCAACGTGCCAAAAAATGCCGAGGCCAAATCGCAGTATCCTGGCCGCGAGGGAGATACTGATAGCCGACTTCGAGCGGGGGTCCTACAAGGGATCTTCCTGCATTTCTTTCCCAATCGAGGACTCAACCGAACTACTGCTTCGTTTTCTGATATAACACAGCCTAGGCTCAGCGGACTGTATTCAAGACTGAGAAGACGAAACTGCGCGGGTTGCGGTACTACGAGCACATCAGATGTTAGAACAATCACCTATATAAGATGGTCTCTGAACACGTCCCAAACAAGCACTTTGCTGCGGTGCTGTACGCGGCTCAAGATCTTCGGCTGGAAAGAGTGAGCACGCTCCCTCCGCAGCCAAACGAGTTCCAAATCCGTCCAAGGGCCACTGGAATCTGCGGCTCCGACATCCACTACTACCAGCATGGGCGGAACGGCAGCTACGCGGTCCGCAATCCTCTGGTGCTCGGCCATGAGGCGGCGGGGCGATGTGGTCGCGATGGGCAGAGATGTGACAACGGTCAAAGTGGGTGATAGGGTGGCCATCGAGCCGCAACGGCCGTGTGCTTCCTGCCGGCAGTGCAAACAGGGCACCTACAACCTCTGTCCCGACCTCAAGTTCAGCGGCTCTGCGACCGCAGACCCTCCGGTCCAAGGATCGCTTCAACAGGTGTACAACCATCCTGCCAGTTTCGTGTACCGGCTTCCGGACCACGTCTCCTATACCGAAGGCGCCCTAGTCGAGCCTCTTTCCGTCGCCATTCACTCTGTCCGACGGTCCGGGCTACAAGCCGGGCAGTCGGTGCTGATCTTCGGCGGTGGGGCCATTGGCCTGCTCTGTGCCAGTGTCGCGAGGGTGTCCGGAGCGTCGACCGTGGGCGTCATCGACATTGACCAGTCCCGTCTCAACCATGCAAAGTCGCACGGGCTGGCGGACCATGTTTTCAAGATGCCCCCCCTGTCACGAGGGGAGGATTCGGACAATGTATCTGCCAAGTCCACGTGGGCCGCTGCAGAGCTGGCCGAAGAGATACTGCAACGCCCCGGGTTCGCGTTGGCGGAGAAAGTGTTCGAGTGTACGGGTGTGGAACTGTGCGTCAACGTCGGCATCCATTGCGCCGCCCCGGCTGGCAAGGTGGTTCTGATTGGTATGGGGAACCCTCTTCAAAAAGTCGACCTTGGAGCGGCCGCGAAGCGCGAGATCGACCTGCTGGGACTCTGGAGGTACGCTAACACCTTCGAGACCGCCATAGACCTTTTGGCGTCGCGACGCCTGCAGGTCAAATCGCTCGCCACGCATCAGTTCGAACTCGACCGTGCGACCGATGCTTTTGATCTGGTTTTGCAGAAGCCGCCAGGATTGGTCAAATGCATCATCACGTCGAAATAGGACGCCAACATCCCCAAAGCTGGCCGCTAGAAAGATGATTTGGTCCGACACTCAGATAGATGCACGACATCGTGCGATTAATGCTAACAAAGGCCAAACAATGGGGGGCTGCATCACCAGGTGCCATGTAAGATTCCCGGATCTGGGGCAAAGTCCTTTTTCTCTGTGGGCCTCGACCTGGCAAACATCGGTCCCGGCTCGCAGGTTATATGGCAATGAGATCATGATACAATAGAGCTACTTGGCTACGAACATTCTCCCGGCTCATGAACGTAGATCCTGCCACGAACAACTAGATGCACTAATTCCCCTACGGGTTGAGTTACCATGGCCGTGGTACAAGTCTGTCTCTGAACGCCGCGAACGTTCCGCCCCCCGAAGCCTTCTCTTCAAGGCTGGATCCCTAGTATCTGTGCCACGACTTTGGGTCTCCTTTCCTCCCTGATCCGGCTGAAACTTCCCGTCAGCCTGGTCGCTTCAAGCCACAAGCATAAGCCTGACCATGCCAGGTACATGTCCGTAGTGTGTGGACTTGCAATATGTGCGCACACCCCAGCTATTTGAGAAGTGTCATTTCTGCATTGCGATAGGACTCATTAGCCAAGAGCGCACTCTCCCTCCTTGCTCCTGGGAAATGACTTCTATGGACCAGGGCCAACTAACTAGACGGTACGAAAATACTCTCGGCGAAAGGATGGTTCAGCACACTTTGTTTCCGTTTCTTCTATACCATACACAGGGCTTCACAAATGTCAAAGTCGATGCTGTTGTATGGAATGGACTGGGTCTCAGAAAGCAATTGCCAGCCTCCTTGCATGCTAAGAATGACAAAGTCAGCACAAGACGTGGTCACCAGGAGAGCGTCAGGACTGGGTTGACATACATTTGTTCATGCTCCTCATCATCTTGAGAATGGGGCTCGCCCTGATTGATTTGCCCTACTGCTGTAGCTTCTCCGATTTGATTCATTTGCAGGCTGATCTGATACATCGGAAGCCTTGTGCCTTGCTGAGACGACCGAAGGCGAGATGGAAGCTGGACGTCTTTCGGCACGAGGCCAGTGCAGAGAAAAATATCCATGGTCATCGCAAGCCTCAAGTAACAGCTCGGGCGAAGGAGAAGAACGTCCCCCCAACCACATTGGCTGAGAGCATCCGCACGTGGATGTGCTGAACGGCGATGCGCAGGATCATGATACTGATCGCCTGACGGTTTGACTTCGTTGCTCTTTGCTGGATCCGAATTCTTCCCGGATGACTTGCCATCATCCTCGAATTTGATGTTACCGACGATTGTGGGCACCGAATCGAGCACGACGTCTGTGCCATCATACATACTCGAAAATACCTCCATTGACTTTGTGTAGACGTGCAAGTCCCTCTTCTCCGTCTCGTTCCAAGAGCCCGAGGAGTTTAGTTTTTTGTTTAGGGTGTGCAGGACCAAGGGGAAGGCGGCATAAGCGACTCTGCGTCAGCTGTCAGTGGGTCATTCGGTCACCGCGAAAGAATATGCTAAGGTGTTCATTACATGCTGATCGGCAAATACTGGAGGAGATTGCGCTGCAGGAGCCCGTCAAGGACCTCCGTTATGCCTTTTGCAGCCGTCTCGAGGTTTGTCTTGCAATCGATAATGTCCTTCTTCCATGCCCCATCCCTAGATGAGGCTATGGCAAGAAGACGCAAGTTGAACAGTGCCATTCGTGCGGACCTGGAAAAGGAGAGTAAGCCTTTGCGGGATCAAACAAAGAGGGTCTGTTGGGGCGGGGTGCTGACTGGTAATATATCAGAGTCGCATCCACATGTAAAAGCAACACCGAGTAACTTTCTTCGGCGTGTTCGGGATGCTGCAGATCTTGCTCAGCTTCGCTATACCAGTGTTCGAGTAAGACTTTGGCTGTCTTGATACGCGCGAGACAACTGCGCACTTCTGCCTCGGATTCAAAGACAAACGGTTCTTTGCGAGGGTATGCCAGCATTAGGAGATCCGTGAGGGCGACAGAAAGCTTGCATCTGCGCACAATCACCCCGATTAGAGCTCTCTGAGTCTTGGAGTCTACAACTTTCGATCTGCCCATGTCGTTTTCGAAATCGTCGAACGTGAGTGGAGGGAGAGTGAAGTCAAAATCATCGGAAGTGAGCACCAGCGGCCGGCGAACTCCAAGAGACACAATTCGATCTCGTAGAATGCATGACCACCAGAGGCGCTTCAGGGTCCGCCTCCGTTCGGGAGAGTTTACTCTGTGTTGGTAGTTATCCGCTTGAGCTTCTCGAGCGAAATGAACGGCTAGAGTCATCCAGTAGCTGTTCGATCGCAGCCTTACGGGCGAAGTATCATAGCTAAGGAGTAGGCAGGCACGGGCCATGATAGAAGCTTCTCTACCGTCATTGTGTTGATATAATGTCTGAAGAAAGGGTCAGCCGGCACAAAACAACGCAAATATGCCCTTGGCAATGGATGTACAACAAACCTTAGCTGCCTGATAGAATCTACTACGAGCTTCTCGAGTGCTCCACAAATTCAGTTGCTGGAGTGTTTCTCTAGAGACAAACTAAGGTTCTACACATCAGAGATTGTCTTTGAAACAGTTACAGGGTCAGGTAATTTCTTCGGCGTGACTTACACTGCTCGCAGAGAAGATCATCGCTTGGAAGACGAGGAGTGGAATACGGTTGTTTTTTCTCGGGCTCCGCTGACCGTAGGCATCCCAGAAGTCTCCTTCGTCGAGCATGGGTACGTTCGGGTGAACGTATAAAAAGTACTGCTGGATAAATTCATCAAGCACGGCTGGAATAGGGACGTGCAAGGAGTGGTTCAGTTCCAGAAACTGGGTCTCCTCAGGTCGTAGTAGAGATAGATTTTCCATCTCAAGGAAAGGATAGTAAGAGTAAATCACAAATCCTTCCGAAGCGAATGAAGGTTGCGTTGTGGGCTTTTCTTGACACTCTTTTACGGTCGGCTGTTTGGTGCTGTCGGTCTTCGCCGGCGAGTAAGAAGTTTCTCTCACAGGTGACAGGGGTGCCCAAGCATCGGTATCTCCAGAACCGATCCAGTCGAGCACGGGGAGGTCGAAGGAGCTGCCGACCTCGTCCTCATGTAGCGTAGACGGGGCAGTGAAATTCTCCCAGGAACTTGTGGAAAGATCGCTTTTGTTGCTCAGAAATGGATTCTGTGTGGCTGTCGGGTATGTGCTGTCGTCCATCCAGGTGTCTGCGTCCAAGTCGGTGGGGGCCAATACTTCCTCTGCGTGCGCTGTGGCTATCATGCTTTGCGGCTCGACCGTTGTCGACTTTGGCGCCAAAGAGGAACAGGAGGCTTCGACCTCTTCGGTGACCGGCTCATGTGTTGGGCTCCCTCCTCGCTTCTTTAGACTGCGACTGGGTCCAGAAGGAGAGGAATTAGCCAGCTTTCCTTTCACCAAGATAGAAGGAAGCATGAGCAATGCTTACTACCAAGCACTCCGAGGTTGGACAGAGCACGTTTCACCGTCCATGGCACAATTCGTGCATGGCCTCCCGCGCTTCGACACATCGCAGCGCACTTTTCGTGCCCTGCAACATAGACACGCTACTACCGCCCGTCGTTTCCCAGATCGTCGAGGTAGGCCCTGAAGCGACTCAGATACGGAGACTCGAGAGCAGCCTCCACATTCCGACGGTTCATCCATTTCTCTGATGTCAAGGAGGCGCGAGTGATGCAAATGAAGGATGCCCTCGTTGACCGCAAACTCCACGAGACTCGGGGGGAGGTGAAGGCGGGAGTGGAAGCTGGGGGAATCGTGGGGAGTGGAGTAGATGATCAACGAGTCAGTCAACGCGAGTAAGGCGAAAAAGTGGAGCGATCCGCCGAGGCAGCCGAGTTGTCCTTAATTGGATAGCGGATCTCAAGTTATGCACCGCGGACTGTACTGAAATGAATTGAGTAAATGCACAAAGTTCCCGAATCGGGGCGTTGCATGTCTCTCAATCTTGCCGCCGAATGCATCAGCATGTGGACGACTGTTTATGGATATGAAGCAGACGATTGTGAATGCATCGAAACACTACAACCCTTACAAGATGTGCTCGCACCACTCAATGTCCATCAATGTCCATTCCCACACAAAGACATGCTTTCGGAGCCACCAATCATACAATCTGAAGAGGCTAGAACTCGTTTCATGGCTACTATGCAGCGTCCTTCCTCGGTGTAAAGACAAGATCAAAACTTCCCAGTGCCACGGTGAAAATGTCTTCCATTCCGGCTTCTGGTGAAGTCTTGTTGCCAGGGCCTTGTTCAATATTGAATCTTGTGGTCAGTTGGGCAATCACATCACGCAGTTCCATCAAGGCTAGTTGCTTGCCGATGCACGAGTATGGACCTTTTGCGACATTAGTGTCTCTGTACCTCAGGTACGTCTTCCCAGAAGATCAATACTGACCGCTTGAAAATGGTGCAAAGGCTTCCTTGTATTTGATCATCTCGGGCCTTGATATCCAACGTTCAGGGATAAACTCTTTAGCTTGTGTGAAAGCGGCCTCGGCTGGACCATGTCAGCGTTGCCATTCATCAGGGGTGGTCTTGACATATAGCCGTGGGAACTGCATCAACTCACATCGGCCCATAGTGTAAAGGGGAACACTAATATTGATATCTCCGGGGATATAGATGCCATCAATGCTGATTCCTTCCGGTGGGGTTTTGCGATATAGCCCCGAAGGCACGGGTGGTTGCAGTCTCAGCGTTTCATTGATGATAGCGTTCAAGTACGCCGCTCCTTGAAGATCCTTGAAATGAAAGGTTCCATCCTCGAGCCTAAGGCCATCCAGTTCATCTCTAAGCCGCTTGATGTGGGATGGATCCTTTGTCATGTAATAGAAGGCATTCGTCAAGGTTGCGGCGGTAGTGTCACTGAAAGTTGCAACACCTTGTCAGCACGAATCGAGTTTCAGTGGATAGTGAAACTGACCTCCCTGCCACTATTATCAACCTGCAGTCGGCTTGAAGCCAGTTTCGGGCTTCTGTGGGATTTTTAGCGTGACTGGCAGAGTCAATGATGTATGACATGACATCTGGTTCCGCCATTTTCATCTGTCGAAGTTATGATACTGCTACGAAAACAGGAACTAAGTTTCTCACCTTCTGTCTCTCGTCAACTTGGAGTCCACACCATTTGATAAACTTGTGAAATGTCCGCATGGCGAATGGAAGTTCCTTTAGGATCAGCGCCAGCCATGGTGTGGGTGAGAAAACGCCCAACGGAGACTGGCCCTGGTGTACAAGCTGGAGAAAGAAGTGCTCTTTACCCGTTGTGAGCATATTGAACGACTTCCCAAACGCAAGGTCTCCCATCGCATCAAAGGAGTAATAGTTGAACCATTTTGAGACATCGAGAGGTTTACCGCTCTCACGAGTAATGGCGTCCACGAGCTGTTTGCTGTACTTCAGGATTCGAGCCTCGTAGCTTCGGAGAGCTTCAGTCTGACAGTGAGTGAAAGTCGGCCGATGAGATGGAACAGTCCCTTAACATACCTTTAGCATTGAAACCCTGGTCCCAGATCCTCCGTCGTGCGTCATGAACCTGTTTCGACCGTATGGTGTGCATTGAATCGATAGGCTTGCCCATATCGTACCAATCTGCCTTGGTGCACTTTGATCCTGGGCCCAAAAGCAGAGGCACCGCCTTTGGCTTGATAATCGAGAGCTCCGAAGGTCCTAAGGCAATCGTTACTCATGCAAAGATGACGCTTGTACCACGTCTCGACGTCGCTTACCAATTCTAACGATATCGCCATATTGCTGGTGCCATGAATCCCGCACCAACCAGTTGTTCTTGCGACGAGCAATGCGAGACACATGGTAGAACTTGCTGGTCTTGGCCCAACTCGGACCAGGGAACTTCCTCAAACGGTGGAAGAACATCCGATAGATCAGGATGGATCCAAAGAGGCCAGCATAGTAGCCTATCACTGAAGAAACTGTGATCTGCACGGCTTCTTTGTCCTCGATGACTAGGTAATACTTGCTGGCCGCGAAAATCGCAACGGGCGAGATGAGAGCAAGTATCAGCAGGCGGAAAGCTTCAAGATGGTGCTCGCCGCGAATGAAGTATCCCAGATGTGAGGCCACGCCTGCCACAGCGGAAACAATTGCGACATGTTGAACATCGAAGGTCAGGGCCATGGCAGCCATCAGTCACCGTGATGGTCGCCTCCAAGGTTGAGAAAAGAAGTGGAAAACAGAGGGAACACCACGAAAATCTGCATTGGGATCTATAACCTTCAATGATATCGCATATCCCCCATCTGACTCAGTCAGTCGACTCGAGACACCACCAAACCTGGGGCAAGGATTGACCCGAGGCTGAAAGTACCAGCCAATAGAGACACCTGCCGCGGCATTTGCGGTGGGCCTAGAAATCAAAGTGGAGCTGGATTCCCTGGGGAAAGAATCTGGAGCTACAATTTAACTTTACGTCGAAATAGTGCTGGCGAGTCATGCAATCTAAGCATAAGAGCGACTTTGGAAAGACTTGTCCGACACGGTATCAGCAGATTCGACGAAGTAAGGACTTCACAAAGAACACGGAGCGAAGCCGCCTCGAGAGTAGGTCCACGCCATACAACCATTTCAACCAGCATGTCTCCTCCGCAAAACTCCGTGCTTGCACGGGCAATTGTTTCATACGAACCTACTGAAGGCCAAATAGACTTGAGACTCGAAGATGTCTCGATACGAGACCTGAAAGATGATGAAGTGTTGATTCGAGTCGTTGCAACGGGCATATGCCATACAGACCTCTTGTTTGGAGCCATGCAACCTCCGTTCACGCCATACCCCAAGGTCCTCGGTCATGAAGGTTGGTATTTTCCACAACTTCGATTCTCGCAGGCAGAGCTGACGGGGAAAGGGGCGGGATACATTGAGCAAGTCGGGAAGAACGTCCAAGTTGGCAAGCCAGGTGACGCCGTCTTGCTTTCGTTCTCGTATTGCAGCACATGTCGAGACTGTTCTGCTCTTCACCCATCATACTGTGAATCGTTCTCGACGGTGAACTACGTTACGGACCCTGAAACATTTCTCTCTCCTGATGGGCAGAATATTGGCGGCCTTTTCTTCGGACAGTCAAGTATGGCTAGTTACACGATTGCAAGGCAGGCTTCCGTCGTCAACGTTTCCTCGCTCATCCACGACGAGTCAGAGTTGAAGATTTTTGCTCCTTTAGGATGTGGCTTCCAAACGGGGTTCGGAGCCATCGATCTGGTGGCCAAGGCAGGCTCTGGTGACGCGGTTGTCGTGATGGGAATTGGAGGAGTCGGCTTCTCGGCCATTGCGGTAAGGTCGTGCTGCATGTCTGCGTGTTGGTACACGGGTACTGAGGTCTGACAGGGTGCAAAACTTAACAAATGCCACACCATCATCGCAATTGACCGGGTTGAGCAAAGGCTTCAACTTGCCCGAGAGTTTGGAGCGACACATGTCATAAATAGCACTGAAACCGAGGATCTGGTTGCAGAAGTAAAGTCCCTCACGAAGGGCGCAGGCTCCACAATTACACTCGATACTACTGGCAATATGAGACTCATTGAGAATGGGTTGGCCATGACTGCAAACCGGGGACAGATGATAGTCGTTGGAGTTCCACCCATGGATGCTCAACTGATCGTTCATGTGGTATCTTTCTTGCAAGTGAGTAATCATTTCGCTGTCGTCCCGTCCAGTTTGCTCAACAAGAGACACAACAGACAGGGAAGATATTGCGAGGTTGCATTGAAGGCGATGCAACACCCGGAGAGGTATGTCTACAGTTCATTCCGTGAGTACTGAGATTAATGAACCCCAGTACATACCCACGATGATCAAGCATTTCCGGGCTGGTCAGTTCCCCATTGACAAGCTGGTCAAGCTATATCCTGTAGGTGATTTGCATCCACTTCCCCTTCCGTGTTGACATCAAGCTTCAACAGGCAAAAGAGTACGGCACAGCATTATCCGAGATGCACGATGGACGGACGATAAAGCCTGTTCTAGTGTGGTGACTGTAAGACGAATACCCGCAGGGGCACATCATGAAGGACGGAGACATTGAGGAGGACATCTCGGGGATGCTCACGCCTCTGGAGCCAAACTGTAGCATTGTGACAACTGTAAACGCTTGCTTGCGCTCTGCAAGATCGCAATTGGTGGTTTAGTATTCTTCTTCTGAGAGGGATACACGATCTGGGACCATTTCCGGGCTCATTGAATAAGGCCCAGAGTGAGCTTGGGGAACACGGAGCCGTTCCAGAAGGTGGCACCACCACTACCAACCTCCTCGGCCTCGACTCAGATCCAACGTTTTCGTCCTACAAAGCTGTCCAAGAGCCGAAACTTCACAGAAAGATAGAGTGTGTAGGCGCGTTAATCAGCCTGAGTACATCGGTGCCAATGTCAACGAACCCTGTCGAGGTGTCTAGACCAACCCTTCTCCATCTCAGATCTACCTTGTGCCGAGGTTCTTCACCAACCCCCCAGTCCGCATCACTTTGCATAAACGACTCGTACTGACTTCCTCAGTGCAGGAACCGTATTCTGCAGCATCTTGAACACCAAGCAAAAATTGATCTCTAGACAGAAGAGTAGCCCGGACAGAACCTGCACAGCATGTCGGAACTCGCCAACTTCGACAACTTTTTCAATCTCAGCGGCAAAGTCGCCCTCGTGACAGGCGGTAAGTATCCATCCATCTGGCCTAGGTGACCTGGTTCAAGGTCCGTCCTATTACACACAAATTACTATCCGGTCTCATTTTTCACCATCACATGGCGTACCTCTCGTGTCCGTGTCGTGTCGTGTCGTGTTCCAAGGTCATCAAATACTGAAGCTTTTTGCCTTTTTCCTTTTCAAATCTAGGATCCCGCGGGTTGGGCCTCCACGCCGCAACGGCATTTCTCCGGGCGGGCGCAAAGACAGTCTTCATCACGGCCCGCAAGGCCGAAGGAGCCCAGGGGATCAACCAGGCAGTCGACAGGCTCAACGCCCTCCCGGGCATCCAGGGCAGGGCGGTCGGCATCGCGGCCAACGTGGCCGAGGAGAAGGAAGTGCAGCGGCTGTGTGAAGAAGTGCAGAAGGTCGAATCGTCTCTACACATCCTCGTCGCCAACGCGGGCGCGACGTGGGGAGGGCCGTTTGATACGACGCCGGACTGGGCCAATGCGAAGATCCTCGATTTGAATGTCCGGGGGATATTCAACATTGTCAGAACGTACGTCTTGTTGTCTCCCTCCCACGAATTGGTTCCTCGTCCTCCTCCTCCTTCTCGTCCCATTCCATCTCTTCACAGCACACTGCCAGCTGGGCCATGGCAAAGCAGAACCGTCGTCCCTCAAAAAGAAAAAAAGGGATTGATGGGAAGTCAAACTCACTAAACTAACTGACCAATGTCTGGGCGTCGTACTAGCTTCGCGCCTCTCCTCGAGAGATCAGCGTCAGCGACACCAGGCGACCCGGCCCGCGTCATCGTGGTCAGTTCGACGGCCGGCGTCACCGTCCCGCACACGGGCGAGAACGGGACGATAATGTACTCTGCGTCCAAGGCGGCGGCGCACCATCTCGCGCGCAACCTCGCCGTCGAGCTGGGCCCGCGGAACATCACGACCAACACCGTGGCCCCCGGGTTTTTCCCGTCGAAGCTGGCCAACGGCCTGATCGAGAACCTCGGCGGCGCCGAGCACATCGGCTCGACGAACCCGCGCCGGAGGCTGGGCGTGCCTGAGGACATTGCGGGGGTGACGCTCTTCCTCGCGTCGCCGGTGGCAGGGTACATCAACGGCGTGGATATCGAGGTGGACGGAGGTGCTCATTTGAGTGTTGGGAGGTTGCCGCCGCCGCCGCCGCCTGTCAAGTCAGAGGCAAAGGCAAAGTTGTAAGAGCCATACAGTACATACCACCACCGCTGCCACACAAAAGAAGTCTTTCGCGGGTTGCCGACAAAGTCGAATACACTGTACTGACTGACTAGACATTTTTATACATTGTTTGTCCTCACAGCTATCTACACGTTACCGAGTGCCTGGGTTTCTTTTCATTCAGTGGCATCTAAGATGATCCGTCGTTGAGAAAATCACTCACAAACTCGGCCACCGCTTGAGGTCTCTCCACCATGGGTAAATGTCCAGCACCCTCGACGACTTTAAACGGTGCCGTCTTTCCCTCTGCGGACCCTAGTACCTGCGACAGCTTCTCCATTCCTTTTGGGAGGACACCGTCACCGGCACCGACGAGGAACGCACCTCGACCCTTGTACCCAGAGAGCATGTCCGTGTAATCGTAGTTGAACAGCGTCTCGACGCCTCGTTGAAATTCGGGGAGCGAGTTGGTCACCACCATCTTCTTGACTTTCTCAATCTCCGGAACAAGCGCAGGATCATCGTACGACTCCGGCACGAACCACCGGCGCACCGTCATCTCGGCCAACTCCTCGCCGACAACAGGTTGGGGGCTTGCGTCGGCTGACTCGTCGCCAAACAGGGACGACAGGCGGAGAGTCTTGGCTTCCTTCTCGGCCACGGCGATACGTTGGCCCCAGGTATCTTTGTTCCCCGCTGGAGATTTGGCCGAAGTGTCGCATGCTATAAACGACGCGATCCGCGACGGATACGTCAACGCCGTCGCGATCGCTGTCGCCCCGCCCATGGACACACCGACCAGCCCGGCAGCCTGGGGTATGCGGAGAGCGTCGAGGATCGCAATGACGTCCGCGGCCTGGACTTCGGTCGTCACGGGAGTCGTGGTGCCGCTGGGGATGACTCGACCGCGCGCAAGGAAGCGCACGACACGGTATTTGTGGTTTTGCGGAAGGGAGAAGAAGTGTTTTAGAAAATTGTCCCAGATACCCCACGTCGTGAGAACCGAATTGACCAGGACCAGCGCCGGCGCGTCTGGATCGGAATTACCTTCTAGACGGAACGGGAGAACTGCACCGTCGCTGGTCGTTACTGTCGATTCAATTGCCGACCCGAACGGGTCAACATTTGGTATCGTCTTCGTCACGCCGTCCGGCGACGTCCACGGCGCTACGATTGCCAGGTGACGAGCGGCAGTCCCGAAAGTGTAAAAGAGTTCGTACTTTCTCGCTACGGCGTCCGCGGTGGGTGCACCGTCGTACACGGTGTCAAGTGATCCCACCTCCGTTGACGGTGTGAATTCGTTGATCAAGACAAAGTCGAGCTGTCCGTCTTTGAGTGGCTCAAGATACGACGTCTTGAACCACGACGTCCTCCTCCATCCGGGAATCTCTCTGACCTTCGGCAGCACCTTCTTCTCGATCCACTCCTGCGTCGTTGAGAGCTGGTCGGGAGATAGGCGAAATTTGAACGTCGTCAACAGATTCCCCTCCTGGTTCTCCTTGAAATGTTCGGGCGACTCGAGTTTCAAGAAGGTCTTGTCGTTGATTTGCTCGCCGACGAAATCCAGCGTATACCGATCAACCCAGATCTGGGCCATGACGTCGATCTCCCGCTGTGTCTTGCCGGGCGGTGCGCGCAGGTACTGGTACGGCTGTTCTGTGAACTGGTGCATGTCGGTGACATCGTAAATGGCCAAGAACTCCGGTTTCGACTGTGTTCCAGCATCCGGCGACGAAAGGTCCAAGGCTCGGTATCGGAAGCCATTGGGCATGAACGACAGTCGCGTCCTGTTTGGTCCATGTTCGTTATTGTACCAGTCGTGGAAGAGCTCTGGCGACAAGGTGTCTTTGGGTTGCATGGTCACAAACAGCAACCCGCGAACCGGGTTAGATGAAGGCATCGTGGCGGCGATAGCAGCGGGCAATTCCAATGTCCGTCTGGCTTTGCGTGCTCTGCTTCGTTTGGTCTCGTCCACGCAACCTCTTCCGCCCTGGTGAGGAGAATTCCGACGTAAGACAGTGTCAGGCCACAGTCACGTATAACGGTATCAGATCTATCTGCCTCTTTCAGTCTCCGCAGTGTTTCGGTGGAAGTGCTTGGAGACAGAAAAGCTCGCAAAAATCTTGGAGGCCTCGGAAATGGTGGAGGGCAGAATTCCGGGTGCATCTGCCGTGCACAGGTGCCTCTGGACTGCATCGGAAACGAACCCCGCCTTACGCGACGCTTTTGGTTAGAGCGGGCGCAGGCGAGTGCGCTAAGCCCTGGTGAGACTAGAACACTCTGGATGCTCGGCGGAAAAGTTTTTATCCGCCTCTGCCGCCCGCGACCCCAGACTCCACCATCACCTCGAGCATTACGGGCAAGCTATTGTAACAATGTCATGCATTGGCTGGGCATCCTAGTCATACCATATCGCATTCATGCCAAACCCAGGCTCCTTGATATCCAAGTGAGCCACTCTGGAAAGATACTCATCGTGCCACCGGTAAATCTCTATCCAACCGTCCTGGTCATCCGTCAAAGCCAACCACTCGTCGGTCCACGGACACGGACTGACAGCATTCGAATGACCACCACTATTAGGCGTTGGACTGATACATAACTGACGCTCGATCTGCCCCTGCGGCCCCAGCTTGAAAGCGCTAATGTAGCCCGTCACGCTGGACGAATTGGATCTCGCCGTAGCGAAGAGATGTTTTCCACTCTGGGAACAAAACACCACGTCTGATCTGTACATCTTCTTGAGATCTCGAACACCTGGGTCAGGTCAGCTTACCGATATCTCAACATCAAAGGGCACCTGGAGGAGTCATACCTGGAGGAACCAACGGATAGATGTTGTGCGTAAAGACAGGCAGATGAGTCTTTTCGTCAATCACGTATTCACCCAGCCTGTTTCCAGCTTCCATCAACACATACAGATACTTCCCGCCGGGGTGGATGTCAACCCATCGAGGATGGTCGCCGGTGGAAGGTGCATCGACGCTGCCAACCAAGGTGAGCGTGCCGTCGCTTGCCTTTTGGTGTGTCCAGATTTTGTCCGCCCACATGTCGGCAGAGTACAGATACGTCTCGGTCGGGTCGAAGACCATGCCGTGGATGGCCGACTTTTCGCTGTACTCGTAGTTCTGAATGTTCTTGTCGAGCTTGCCAGTGTTGTCGACAGAAAAGACATTGCCGTAGCCTGCGTGCTCGTAGAATGGGTTGCCATAGACACAGTAAGGTGGCTGCTTGGCTGCCAGAACGAAGATGGCCCTGGTGCGGGTCTCAGCGCTCTGTGCCCGAGCTGTCCACGAGCAAGTCAGTCAGTCAGCACCTCGACTTGGTGGCGAGGAAAACTCAACCTACGGTCATGGCTCATGGGATGTGAGATCTCGTGTGAGATATTGTCCGGTGCGTCGACAGCGTGGCTGGACCACTTCTTCATGGAAGCTCCATAGATGTTCTTTCTTTGGTGCTGCAAGGTGCGAATGTCAGTGTTGAGTCTGCGGTCTCGTCTCGGTTCCTATTACCACTCACATCAAACGTCATCCATGATATAGGCTCATCTTCAGGAATGGCGGTTCGCTTGACCAATTTCAAGGTCCAGGCTTCGTCGTCGAATTCTACCGTGAAGATTGCTCCGGGAGGCGTCCACGTCCCTATCATCAAATGGTGCTTCATCTTGGACACCTGGTACACCTGTACACCTACCTGTACACCTGCGTGTGTATGCCTCAGTCACGATATGGTAACAGTCTGAACCAAAGTCACATGGCTACAGCAGAAGATGGCTTGGGTGTGGCAGCCTCATGCGCAAAACGGGGGGTGCCGAGGTGACTTGCCGAAAGCCGTGCACGATACGTGCCCGATACGTGCACCGAGTGGACTACGGTCGAGCACCAGTAACTAATTGTAAACTAGTACGGAGCGCTCGCCCCTTGGGAGAGCAATTATCGGGGGAAAATGGTGGTCTCGCTCGGGGATCGGGACATTGGGCGGTTTTTTCAGTACCGGCTTTGGCTGTCGAAGCCTGTGCCGGGCAAAACTGGAGAGGCCGCCAGGGGCCCAGGCTGCAGCGCCTATAGGCGGGAGTCTTTAGCGGTCCCCGTTAAGTGCGACTGCGGGCGATGTCCACGCCCAGTGGCCTGAATACCTAACAATACGCAAGGGAAGCGAGCAAGGTACAGAACGCCATCCACGGTAGTTGGAGGCGCCTCGATTTGCCGATGTGCAAATGCCCATCATGCTTAGAGTCACGGACCTCACAATTGGTCCATGGCATTTTTACTTTATTCCGAAGCGTGCGAGGTTCCCCAGAATTGAAGACTCGGGGCAGAGATTGGCGTTATGAGAATCAAACTCCTGAAGCCGATTTCCACTGCCGGCACCGACGAGGGCAGCCCTCGATTCAATATATATATGGGCTGGGTAGCCTTCGTCGAACGTAGTTCTGAATAGCTGTTTGTCTTTTCACGATTCTCCAGATCATCACCCTTTCTTTCCATCTTCATCGCCAGTCATAGTATTCGACTTAACACCTTGTGTGTGTGTGTGTGTGTGTGTTCTGAACCCTCGCCTTGCACTCGTCGACCCGCTCTAAACAAAATCTCCCAATCCTCACATCGCCACCATGTCTTCCAACGGTAACACCAACGGATCGACTCACAAATATGATCCCTACTTTACACAGAGCCTCATCGATGCCATGGGCCCAAAGACGCCCGACCGCGCACGATTTGTCCTCGGAAACCTGATCCAACATCTCCACGACTTTATACGCGAGACTGAATTGTCTCCCGAGGAATGGATGAGAGGTGTTCAGTTTATCAACTCCATCGGGCAGATCAGTGACTCCAAGAGAAACGAAGGCCAACGAATCTGCGATGTCCTGGGCATTGAATCGTAAGTTGTTTCGCCTCCCGAGAGAAAATTCGAAGTAGGAGACGCATGATCTTGAAGAGCTTGAAATCTTCTGCCTCGCATGCAAAACTAAAAGCACACCACCACTAACATGCGATATTTTTTTTTCTTAGCCTGGTGGACGAAGTCGCCAACAAAATCATGCTGGACAGCGACGAGACCCCGACATCATCCACGATCCTCGGTCCATTCTGGAGCCCTCACGCCCCATTCCGTGAGCTCGGCGACAGCATCGTCCAAGACCCCTACCCGACCGGCCGAGTCACTCGCATGCACGGCGTGGTCAGCGACTGCAAGACCGGCAAGCCCATCCCCAACGCCATCGTCGACATCTGGCAGGCGTCGGCGAACGGCAAGTACGATTTCCAAGACGACGACCAGTCCGTCAACAACCTCCGGGGCAAGTTCCGCACCAACGAAAAGGGCGAATACTACTACTACTGCTACCACCCGACCGCGTACTCTCTGCCCACCGACGGTCCTGCCGGCGTGCTCCTGAACCTGATGGACCGCCACCCCATGAGACCAGCCCACATCCACCTCATGGTCAGCGGCGACGGCTACAAGTCCGTGACCACGCAACTCTACCCCCGCGACGACCCGTACGTGACCAGCGACTCGGTGTGCGCGGTCAAGGATGACCTGCTGCTGGACTTCAAGCCTTCCACAGACCCCAAGGCCCAGTTGGACCTGGAGTACAACGTCACCCTGGCTCCGTTGAAGCCCGGCCAGAAGGCCGGTTGGGTTCACACTGTTTTCTGAGCATAGCAAGGAGAGAGATTCACCTTGCTCTTGATTTTGATGACATTAGCAGCGTGTATGTGTGTAAATGTTTTACGCTTTAAGGGGGGGCGTTTTGTTTTTGGCATATTCAGCTCGTCATGGGCCCGAGACTTCAACGTCTTGTAAAGCTGTCGCAGAATGGGAGACAGGCCATCTTAGCATACGAAGAAAAGAATCTTGAAGCACGAAAGCAAGTAAATATGGACTATCATCGTGGAACCGACATATTGTATATATATCTGGTTACACCAAAAATCTCGTCACTGTCGCATTGACTAGTTCACCTCTCCCATCCCTTCCCATTGCCCGCTGAAGCCTCGTGATGGTAAACGAATATGCGCGGCTCAGAATAAATGTCTCGTACGAGTGATTGGTGAGTAAAGGTACAACCCTACCCGTGCATCGGAAGCAGCTGCTGTGTGAGAAGGACCCCGCAGACGTCTAGAGGAACGACACACGTTTGCGTCCAACATACTGTAAATACCGTTCGTTGATCGGAAGCGGGCGCCCAAGATTTATTATATGTACCTAGGTAACCACTCCCTCCAAGCGATCTACCAGGTATTCCTTTGCTCTCCAAGGCTCTACTACTGCACATCACCCTCTTGCATACAGGTCCTTAACATCTTACCGCACGCACCCACCTCATTCATACCTCTTCGCAACGTGGGTGTTCCTCGACGACACAACCATGCGTCTCCCCTACGCACCCTCGACGCCGCCCGCAGGCTCCCCCGCGTCAGTATCCGATATTTACGCGCGGATAGCAGCGCGGCGCAAACCGCGGCCTCTGATCCCTCTCGACCTCACACTCTTACACTCGCCGCCGGTCGCGAACGGCTACAACGCCTTTGTGGGCGCGCTGCGCACCGAGACCATAGTACCGCAATCGCTTCTCGAACTGGCCATCTCCCGTGTCGCCATCCTCACGACGGCCGTGTACGAATGGAACATCCACGCCGCGCTGGCGCTGAAGGCAGGCCTGGCGCCCGGTGCGCTGGAGGTGGCACGGAGCGCGCCCAAGGGAGGCGTAGTCGAGGCCCTGACACAATCACCCGCCCACGACGGGACAACTACGCTCAGTGACAAAGAGACCGCCGTGCTCAGGTACACGGACGAAGCGACCGTGGACGTACGGGTGCAGGACGCGACGTTCGAGACGCTCAAGACCCTGTTCAACGACAGAGAAATCCTCGAGTTGGTCACCGTCGTAGCGGGGTATAATGCCGTCAGCAGGATTTTGGTACCGCTTGACGTCGGGGAGAACAATGATAAGAAGATGAAGACGGTAGAGGAGTTGGTCGCAGAGGGGTCCAAGAAGAGCTGAACTTGACTTGGGCTTGACCTTGGGCTTGCAGCTGATGCTGAGGCTTAAGCCGGAAACCGAAAGCCGAATCCTGATCCTGACGCTGAAAAATTTGCAGATGAAAATGGATACCTATGCATATGGATATGAATCCGTCCGTACAAGCGACCTACCTCCTTAGGTAGGTACCTTGTCGGCACAGACTCTGCAAGAGGACTACGTACCCGACTAACTAGGGCGTTAGGCCAAGGAGTAGGTAAGGTAGGTAAGGTGTCCAGGTAGGGTAGAGACGGAAATACTCGTCTTCGAAGTGGGAACGGTGTTTACCAGGTTGACTGGACAAACATTCCCAAAGCAAAGACGAGTAGCTACAATAAATGCCGTATTTCCCACAAAACACCAACGAATTTATCTCGCCGAGGTGCGTAAGGTATGTGCCTGGCTGTCCACGAAGAGCATTATCAAAATACCGATACATTGTCTCGGTCCCTACGTACGGCTGGCTATCCTCTACCCCTCCCCAAGGTGAAGTGAGGTGAAGCGAGGTGAAGCGAGGCGAGGCGAGTTGAGGTACAAAGTGCTTAGCTTTTTATTAATACCCCTTGAGGTGGTCACCGAATATCAATCGGATACCCATCACCCTTGACCAGAGCCTCGATGACGGCTTCGCAGACCTTGACGGCGTCCAGGCCATCTTGCCCGGAGCACCTGGGCTCCTCCTTCCCCTCGACGACGCGGACGAGGTGCTCGATCTGCAACTGGAAGGGGTGCTTCTTCTCAAAGTCCAGCACCTCCCTCGTCATGGGCACGGCCCAGCCGACCTCCTGATCCCTCCTGGCGGCTTCGGCGAGGTCGTAGGTCCACAGGACGTCATCCGGCACCGAGATGGTGCCCACGGTCCCGAAGATCCGGTAGCAGTCGATGGGGACGTCGGCCTTGGGGAACGAAGGCATGTCGCCGGTGGCGGCCTCCCACCCGTAGGGGCTCGCGACGTTGTCGTTCATGACGAACGTGCCGACGACGCCGTTGGCGAACTGCATCACGATCGCCGCGCCCTCTTCGATGTCGTCGTCGTCACTCGCGCCCGGTTGTTGTTGTCGTTGTTTCGCGGCAGCCCCGTCATCGTCGCCGCCGCCTTCGTTGGCGCGGTGGTGGCCATGGTGGTCCCTTCTCGACACGGTCCCCGTCACCCAGATGCGCACCACGCGCGCCCCGACGAGGTACTGCAGCACGTCGGCGTCGTGGATGAAGTTGGTCCACACGGGCCCGCCGCCCTGGGACCGCGACACGCGCCACCTGAGCGAAAAGTAGCCGTCGTTCTTCTTGCACGTCCACACGCCCGACATGGCCGTCAGCTTGCCCAGTCTGCCGCCCGCGACGGCCGCCTTCGCGGCCGAGATGGCGGGGTGGAAGCGCCGGTGGTGGCCGACCGCGAGAGAGCACCCCCTGTCCTTCGCCAGCTTGATCAGGGCCTCGCCTGACGCCACGTCGGTGCAGAACGGCTTCTCCACCAGGATGGCGCGCGGGGGTTTGGCAGCCGTGGCGGTGGTCGCCGTGAGGACCTCCGTTGCGAGTTTGACGTGTAGACCGGAAGGGACGCAGATGATGTAGACGTCTGGCTGTTGAGGAGACGCCGCGACGAGGTCGCTGACGCTCGCGTAGTGCGCCACGCTCAACGACTCGGCGAGCTTCTGGCCCGGGGGAAACGGATCGACAATGGCCACGAGTTCACATGTCGGTGACGACTGGATGTATTTGGCGTGCAACGGAGCGATGAGTCCTCCCCCTATGAGGGCGAAGGTGGTTTTTGATGTCATGATGGACGATTGTCGTCCCTGGGGGGTGTTGTAGATGTTGAGGGGAAGGGCGGTAACACAAGTAGGGGTAGTAGTAGTGGTTGTTGTCGTTGTTGTTGTCGTTGTTAGGGATCACCAGCTGACTGACATGAATGATTGACCGACGATCCTATATGCCACTATGCGACTATGCTTGCTCAAAGATATATATATATATACCTTTCCCCAAATGGTGACGCTCGATTTATTTTTCAGCTTGTCTGAGAGAGATTCGATGTCCGTCCTTCGTTGCTTGTGTAAGCTGCTTGGTAAAACACACACGTATGCGGCGTAACGAATCCGAATCCACAGGCCTTCTTTTTTTTTTTCTTTGAGGGCTTAGAGAAGGAGAACGATGAGGATGAGGAGAGGAAGAGGATAACGGTCAAGTCTCCTGCGTTTATGCTTACCTACCTACTGGGCTAGCGTTACTCCGGCCATGGAGAACCCCAGAGATCAAATCAGTCGGCTTCGTACTGTTCTCCGGACCATAATTTTGTACTCCGGGTCACCCGAGGGTGAATACGCGGAGTCGAGGTTTGAGGGTCTTCAACGTCGAGTGTTTCTAATTGGCCGTTGTCGTGTTGTCGAGGCTCGAGAGTTGGTCTGATGGATGGAGTCCGGATATGTATTATTCCGCGGACCATCCATTGGCAACACAAAGTTGTGACAGGGCGGGCGTACTGAACTCGAGAGGTATCTGAGTGAGTATCTGAGTATTTCCGAGTATTTCTACTTGAGATATTATTCATGGTCGTTGAAGGGGTGCGTATCGCACCCTGTCTATCGCTTTGTGGCCCGAGAACACGAACACTGACAGACTCTCGCCCACATCAACCCTACACACATCAGCCAGATACCCACATATCACTTAACCACGCACACACACTTTCCCCTTCTTACCACCTCTTCAAGATCACTCAAAAACCACAAGACAGGCGTCATGTATGTATGTATGTATGTATGCATCTGAAACGGTACAATCACTCGTATACCTAACTATACGTCTGCCATTTCCCGTCTCCCTCTGCTAACCAAAACAAAACTGCACAAATGCCCCCTCCATTGCCCTCCTCGAATCCAACTCTTCTCCCCACCAATACTCTTCATTCCCAGCGTCCCTCTCAGCCCACACGGCGCGACACACATCCAACACGGTCGAGTACATCTGATATCCAAATTTACCATACCACCTCTCACAATACTCTGCGACAAACTGCCTGTTCTCGTGGCCTTGGTGGGCCCTGATCTCCACGCCTGCCATGAAGACCGGGAACAAAGCCTGCTTCTGGATCATGCGACCGCTTGGTCGGCACGCATGCACATGTTCCAGGACGACGCGCGAGAGAAACGACAGTCTCGCGTGCACGCCCTTCTTCCTTTCCACCGTGCGTGTGTTTGGGAGGACGAAGATGCGCACAATGTAGATCAGCAGCGCGTACCGGAACGCTTCGCAGCAGTGGTACCGGTCTCGTTCGATGTGGAGGGCTTCTTCGTCAAAGTCCATACCCTCAAAGACCAAATCGCTCAGACCGTCGCCGTGGTATTCATAGCGACGGAGGGAGAGTTCGATTTCGGCCACGATTCTGGAGCTTACTTTTGCATCTGCAGTCGCAATCCTGTTCTGCTGTTTGGTTGAACTTGACGCTGCCAGATTGGCGAGTTGCATCATCGGAACCAACACTTCGCGCGGACACCCGTTGAGTTCGTAGAATGTCCAAGGTTGACGACCTTCAGCTTTGAGGAGGGCCTCGAAATACGAGTACGGGAAAACAGTCTGTTCTCGCGACAACAGAGAGACCATTGCGTCCCACCTGTGCATGTCATTGTTAGTACTTTCTTCGCGCGAGGATTCCAAACAACCAAATCAAGGTGTTCTGTCAGTAGTAGGTGCATGCACATATACGTGTGTATGGTAAGTACCCGAGAGTGCTCTGTGGGTGTGGAATATGTCATGGTCATGCACATCTGTCCAAGAAATGCTTGTTGGATGTGGTGTTGCTACTCTACTCACCAAAGGAACATGGCAACCTGAGTATTTGCCTTGATACCCGCAGACCATCTGCGAATACCACCACACAGTTCGAGCAATTTATACGCATCACCTAGATGAGTGCGCCAGATATTCAGGGACGAGAGGGCAGCCTTTTTATTTTCACCATGTGTCAGATCACCTAGTCCTTTATTTTGACATGAAGAGTACGTCAAACAAAGCTCACCTCAAACTGCCACAGTGCCATGGCCGTATCAAGCAGACTCAATCCATCGATGTGTGCATCTTCCTTGGACAAGGCATTCTGATAGAGCACCAGTGACGTGTTCTTGTGATCGATGGCGTCAGACGGGGGTAGTAACTGGTTAGGAGATCGTAGCTTGAAGTGGCACGACAGCGCTACAATGGCGTGGAGCAAGTGCTGTGACCCTCTTGTGGTTTCTGGTCTCAGACGGTACGGGTTGACTGAAAAGTCGTTTGTGATGGGATACCAGCAGAATTCTCGGTCGTCTATAAGTATCAAAATGTCATTTGGTGTCAGCGTTATCGATCGTTGGTACCTGAATCTCAAGAGCCACGGGACTGACCATGTGGACGAGGGAAGGGGTAAGGAGTGAGTAGGTAGACGACATACACATATCTAGCAACCCGTAGAATTTCTCCGTCAACGTCGAATACAGCATCTGGGGAACCGTGACTGACATCTCCTGTCCAACACGGTCTGATGTCAGGGATAGCCTTGTCGACGAAGATTCTGGAGTAAAGTGGCCATCAAGATCTTCGTCTTCATCTTGCCACAAGGTCTGAGAGAGGTCGAGAAGATTGAGATCTGCGCTGAAATTGGGTGATGGCGGATCTACCAGAGGCAGAGGCTGTCGTTGAATCTCCAGACACTGTTCTAGACTCTCGAGATCGAGATCTGCTGTGGTCTGCTGGCACGGTGGAGAGATCCAGTCGAGGTCCTGTTGATGCCACGAGAGCATGCTGGATGGATCGAGTCCACCTTCGAGGTCCGGTATGGCCGGTGGAGAAGGCAGGGGAAGTTGCAGAATGTCTGCAGTAGCCGCTGGTGCCTGTTCAAGACTCTGCGACAAATCTGGAAGTAAAGCTGGAGACATCTCGCCCTTTGCGCTATCAGACTGGTCTCCCATGCTCGCACCATTGCTCGTACCGGCAGCCACAACTGACTGTACCCTCAGCGAGGAGGACGCATACTCGGAATTGGTCGTAGTTGACTGGTGCTGGTGGCTCCTCTTTCTTCGCTTTGATGGACGAGCTGCCACGAACATGAAGGTCCTACCCTTGCCATCTGCATTGGTGAGGTCGTGCGTTTCTTTCTCATGGTTCTTCTGGACACCAGTAGTGGTGGCACGGTTTATCGGCCCCTTCGCCGTCGCCGACTTCACCTTGGGCGGCTTGTTCACCATGGAGTGACTCTGATGCCATGTCAGCTTCATCGAGTATCCCTGACACAGGATACCGGCGTCGAGACATGGTGTGCATCGTGGTCGCTGACGATCGCACCGGACATTGAGCGATGAGCAGGTGTGGCAGTCTGACTTGGCGAATGCCAGTGAATTTGTGCGGCGGAACTTGTGCAGGTCAGTCGAAGTCGAAGAAGTCCTTCGTGAGTATGACAACGACGCGGACATGATCTGTGGAGAGGGGATATTTCGACCCGACAAGTCTTCAAAGTCCTATATTACGAGAAGAGTGTTTTCGCTTCCTATCATCCGTTCTGCCGGGATAATAAGAGGGACAAAGAGCGTGGGGAGACCTTTGAATGTTGTTTGTGGTCTTCTGGGCCTTATCTCAGATCTCCACCTACCTGGGTCACTCTGTATCCACAACGCTAAGTCCCTATTTAAGGAGTGCACAATACCTACTCAGGCCTTATCGATGGCTCCGAACCCCCCGCACATTGCCTGGAATCCAGAGTGGCGATCGAGAGATTAGGTCTGGATAAACGAGAGCCGAGACGGCTCAACAGCCGCCATCAACAGCATACTTATGTGTGTGTCTTGCATGCCAACGTCAGAGACTACGGGTTGAATACCTCACGAGCGACGACAAGTCCATTCAACGACGCCACTTACAAGACCGTCCACAAGCTATAGAAGTCTACAGAAATGATGCATCTCGGATCAACTCACTTCAGTTCGGTTCAGTCTTTCTTTCCAGACGCCACTGAGTGATTTCGGAGAGCCTCGATAATAGCATCGTCTCCAGCCCCAACAGCCAAGCCCTCAATGGTTCGATGGCCAGCAAGCTCATCTTGACGAGCGGCTTGAAGCATCTCAAAGTTGATGTTGGGCCCCTTGAAAACATGCCTCTGGCTGACGTACCACGCAACGAGGAGGAAAGTAACAAGACCAACAGTGACCACGCTAAATGAGTCACGAATGGATCAGCGAACGGTTATCACTTCGGTGGACGTGATGAAGACATACCTTATCCAATTCATGTTCGTTGTGGTGACCGGATACGAAGTAGGGATGCAGTAGATGATGTCGATGAAAACGACCCACACACAGGCCAACACATTTAACGGCAACCCGAACTTTCCCAGGTCCAAAGATCTTGGAGGCAAGATCTTGTCCCGACCACGCCAGGCTAGAATACCCTGGGGCAGAACATACGAGGTTGTCATGAAGACGATGCAGGCTCCGACCATTGACGCGAATGCGGCAGAGGAGCCGATAAAGATCAGCCCATAGAGCTACACACGTATCAGCAAGGTTCCATTCCCGTTGGGGTAAACTCTCGGCGTGACCTACCGTCACGAGGGTTCCGGACAAGCACGCAGCATTCAGTGGCATTTGCCAGCGCGGATGTACCTGTTTCCAGTACCTCGACAGAGGAAAGCAATTATCTCTGGAAGCAGACCACATCTGCCGACTTGAGCTGGTGATGTTGGCCGTGGCACATCCGAAGAAACAAAGGGCGAACGCGAGCATGAGAATAGTTGTGCCGGCTTTGCTGCCTGTGGCTTGATAATAGACCTCGATGAGAGGAAGTCCAGTAGGGGTGGTAATTACACGTTCAAAGTCGGTGATGACGAAAGATAGCGAAATCGCAAAGGGGAACGCTGGAACCGAGTGTCAATAAAAAGGACAGGTCATTTGCAGAAGAAATTAGGACCCACCAGTTACGAATCCCATTAAAACAGGGTACATCTATTACTGTCTGTCAGTATCAAGTCTGGAGCCCGGACTTTTGTTTTGTTTTCTTTTCTTTTTGAGAATAAGAAGGGGAAAAAGGGGGTAAAAATGGAAGACTTACGATGACTTTGGGCACATTGACTGTTGGGTTGGGAATTTCCTCGCAGAGATGTGCACCGCAATCAACGCCGAGGAAACCGTACAGCGCATTCACCGTGCACAACAAGAAAGCAAGACCGTCGTTTGACCAGCCTGTCGAATTGGTCGTGTCTCCGAAGACGAAACTTGCAGGCTGGTAATTTGGAGCAGCACACGCAAGGATTGTGATCATGGTCACGACCATTGTCGTAGCAGAGAAATACACTAATTAGTCGCCGCCCTCGAATCAACCTTCATGTACATTCTAGCCACGCGCGGCTTTCCACGCCGGTTCGCTCCAAAAAGACAAGAGACTTACAGATAAACTTGTTCCACGCTGGCAACCACTTGGTAAAGAAGACGTTCATGCCAATCGCGGCCCAAGTCACAATAACAAACACCAGGTAGATATGCCATCTCTCGATGACATAATCCGGGTGGTTGAGCTGAGCGATACCGAGGATCATGGCGGAGATGAAGTTCGTCACACTGGCAAGACCAAGCCACCAACCGAGCGTGCTAATGCCTGCGGACCTGGCAAATCTGTCAGAACGGCTTGCTTCGTGGTATGGATGATGGAGATGGTGAAATAGCAGCAAACGCGCGACAGTCAACCAGTCATACATACATGTAGGAAGCGAACGGGGCCCACTCGGGAGTCGACACCACAAAGGACCAGTAGTACTGCGCTCCTGCGACGGGATAGGCCTGCGACACCGATCAATCAATATTTTGCGGTGACATTCAGGGTAGAGGCAAAAAGAGTCTTCAAGAAGAGGTGCATGACATACAGAGGACAACTCGGCCATCCCGATTCCTGTCACGGCAGTCATGGCTGCGGCGATGGTCAGAGTCCAAATGGACCCGGCCGATGAGGCTTCAATGAATCCAGTTCCAAAGGCGCTTCCGAACCCGTTCCAGGTCGCCAGGAGGGCGTACGACATGGACATCAGCGACAGCAGGGAGAACCGTCGGGGCATAGCCCTCGTGTATCCCTGTGCCTGAAGCTCGATGTCGTCGATGGAAATCTGGGCATCGTTCATCTTGCCTCCCTGAGGAGGCGTTGTGGCGGTTGCGTCGGCCGTCATCGTGGTTGTGGTCGGCGGTGTCTGTGCTGATCCAAGTCACGCAAAGTTACTTGACGCGAACACGCGATGAGAGTGTACCAAGGACCAGTGGGACTCTGCTCCCTCCTATTATACATGTCTCAATTGCCGCCCCTTACCTTCGGACGAGGACATGATAAGCAACAGTCGTCGACTCGTATCCCCTTTCGGCCATCTTCCAATTTGGGCATGAGAGATAATGGCGGCCAGGCCGACATGCAAGAAGTATGTTTGATGATAGGTCAGACTGCCTATTCACTGATATGATCCGAGGATGCGAGATAAACAACGCTAAGCACAGTTAAGACTTTCAGGGTTCAGGATTTCAGATAGCTGGAAACTATCGCCCTTCAGCCACTCGAAAGCGCCGACTTCCCGCCCCACGATAAGATGTTCCTTGCAAAACTCAGTTGCCTCTTTGGGCAAGTGAGTTTTGTCCTCTTCAGAACACATCAAGGCAGTCCATAAAAGGGTTTGTGTAGGATGATGATGATGGCTACGATGGCAGCAACGGCAATCGCGATAAAGAAGAACATCCTCTAAGATGGCGACTACCACTGTGACCGAGACAGTCGAGAGACATTTCATTCCTATCAAAGTTGATGAGCTACCTCCAGTCCAAACTTTTACAGTCGACTCCGACCCCGAAGATGTGATCAAAGCCTTGAAGATCAGCGGTGGTTGTAAAGTCAAAGGGGCAGTGAGCAAGGAAATCCTAGCACAAATCGAAAAGGATCTTCGTCCTCACATAGAAGCCGACGTTGTTTGGGAAGGGGACTTCTTCCCCATCCAGACTCGGCGTGTTGAAGGAATGATTGGCAAGAGTCCCATCTGTGCCGAGCACGTCATCAATCATCCCTTGTACCAGGCTGTCTGCAAGGAATTCTTGACGAAAAAGAACTGGTACTGGAGTGGTGACAAGAAGATTTTCGCCACGTCAGATCCGCAGCTGAACAACTCAATATGCTTCTCCATAGGACCTGGAGCGTGGAACCAGCCACTACACCGGGACAGCTGGTGCCATCAAACTAACGAAACCGAAGTGGCAGTGTATCCCGACAACTATGACCGTGAAGTTGGTATTGGTTGGTTTGTCGCGGGGAAGCCGGCGACAAAGGAGAATGGTGCCACAAGGTTCATCCCGGGAAGCCATCTCTGGTCCAAAGATCGACCACCGCAGGAGGAGCTTGCAGTGCACGCAGAGCTGGAGCCAGGTGTAAGTGTTCTGAGGACCGCACGCAAGTCGCTGTGCTGACCATGTCGTAGGATGCTTTCATGATGCTCAGCTCATGCTATCATGGTGGCTCAGCCAATAAGACCAAGGATCAGGAGCGACTGCTGTTTAGCTGCTTCATGACAAAGGGCTTTTTGCGACAGGAAGAGAACCAGTATCTGGCGATACCACGAGACGTGGTGCTGAAAATGCCGGTTCACATACAGCAATTGATGGGGTACAAGTTGAGCCAACCATTCTGTGGCTGGGTTGAAAGTGACGATCCGCGAGTCGTGCTTGACCCTTCCTTGAAAGACGACCCATCTGGACACTATGACGAAGATAAACACTGAAATGGGCTGGATCTGAGACGGCCAAAATTCCCAGGAGAGCTGCGCCTTGGCGAAGAAGTTCGACATGCTCTATTGCCATGGATCTGGGGATTTGTTGTGCCTGACATAATGTGTAGAGGTAGGTTCGATGCATTATAGTACCATCGCACAACATGGATCGACTTCATTCGCTAGAGCTTTCAGATGATTCCTTTCTCGAAGCCGCGTCTTGTGCCTTTATACGGTTGATACGGTTGGTGGCCTTCTCAATGGCCTTTCTTCTGGTGGCACTCCATTTCGCAGTCTCACCCCAGTAGTAGAGGCGGTAAGCAAGATCACTGTTGGTGATGCCCGGCTTCTTCGGGGTGATGGTGTAAACAGGTCCGAATTCCGGGTCGTTCGATTCCTGAACTATTTCCAGACCCTTTTTGCGAAGCTGAGTATTGAGGGATTTCATTCTTTGCGCCATCGTTGATCAGACAAAGGTGAAAGGCCAAGTAGGAAAGGTAAACATATATAGGCGACTTTGTTTGCTGGCATGCACGTGACCGGTAGGGTGACCGCCAGTGCGGCCGATTTTTCGCCGAGGAAAATTTTGTCATGCGACTGTTGGCAGGGCAGATCAGGGCGGCCCCGGAATACGCCTTTATAGCCAGGCGAGTGAAAGATCCGCAAACCATGTCCGGGAGATGGCGCCGGCCGATGACAGCATAGGCGCGTCACATATCAACCTGAATCTGCTTCATCGATCCAACGAAACCACCTGGTTACAGTCGTATGTTGGCGCCCAATCCATGGCCTTCGTACCATATTCGTTCTTGCCATTGACCGATTCTGACCCCGACATCTGCTTTGGCGTCTAGCTTCAGCGTGCCGCCCAAGGCGTCTCGAATGGTGCCCAAGGCATTACTCCCCCACGCAACAGGAAGCTTTGGTGTGGTTGTTTCACCTTCTTCGATGGCGAATGGGTAGCCCCAGTCAATCGTACCAACCTCCGAATCATTGTAAAACGCAGCGGCGGAGATATCGGTAATGTACATGGCGAAAGGAGACACAAGAACGAACGTTGCAGTCGACGATATCAGGTGCATCTACACTTGTCAGCCAGACTCGCAACTGAACAGGCGACATACCGTGGTTTCTTTCAAGAAATGCCCAAACATTTGAGGGGCCGGGACGGTCATCGCCAACTTGGGGTCTGGAAAATTCGGTATCGAGTCGGCGTGGCTTTTTACGGTTATCGTTATGTTGTAGCCAGAGACGTACTGAGAAAGCCACTCTCCCCCGACAGCGCCAACTTCCCATGCTGCTCTGGCGACAAGATCATTGGCGCCAGGTACGATGTTGGCAGCAGACATCCATGCGTAACCGACGTGGGTTTCGTTTACCCAGATGCTGACGTTGCAGTATGGAATCGTGGCCGAGTAGTTGGTAGGATTTGTTACATTAACCCTTGCCTGCAGCGTTAATGCGGATTCCGACGTATCGATAACTTCCATACCCTTTATTTCTGGCATTTTAAAATCTCCCATGATCGGCGGAACAAAAATATCTCCTTGTGCCGGCACACCTCGAACCACAAATTCTCCCAAAGCAGTAAGGGTGTTGACGTCTACCTTTGCGTGAACAGACAGGGAAACACCGCTGCCAAAGAGGAGCCCTTGAACGACATCGGAAAACACCGAATCGTTTTTAATCTCCAATGGTGCTTCATCGACGACTGACTGTATCAGCAAGTCAGTTCCAACCTGTGTCGCATTGGCTTTTTGCCATTTCTTCAAATCCAATTTTCCGAGCAAGTCCCCCTTATAGAACACGTCCGCATCCGCTCGAACTCTGTCAACATCCATGTTGACATTGACCTCTTCTGGCAAGCCCACTAGAACTTCTACCACAGCCGAGATCTTGGGCCGAGAATCCCCCATAGGGTCTGGCAGAGAGAAGTGAACGTCCGAGAGAGAAAAGTTCTTGATTAGATTATCAAAGGGATGACCTGGGAGGGAGAATGGCAGTACTGTGTCGTGTAAAATCTTGTCGATCCATCCAGGTGTATCTGGATCCTGCTTGCCTCCGCGAATGTAGACGGTCGTGTTTCTTCCAGCAAGATAATCGGCAATCAAGCTGTCCAAAGGCGAAGTTTTGGTTCCTGGACAGGCGGCCGTCAACGATGTGGGGAGTTGTCGGACCAGACCTACAACGCTTGCAGTGATATTCTGCCTGGGCTTGATGTGAACAACGTCGGTCTTTGCGGTTGCGAACAGTAAGTAGTCATCGTAGCAGTCTGGCAGGAGGATGTCAAAAGACAAAGCAGGCACGTCGAGGTTGAGTGGAAAGACATTCATCGCCGAAACGACTGCCTTCGCCTTCAGACCCTCGGGATGTCCTGGCATGCCATACTCTGCAAATTGAAGTCTCTGGATCTCAGCCTTGGGGACAGTAGGGACATCGTCACCCTGAAAGTCTAGGATCTGGGAGATTGTCTGCCTGGGCAGCTTGATCAAGCCACTGCGCACGGGGACCGACGCAACCGCATTGACGGTGAGCCTGTCTAGCTTGTGGTCGATAAAGTCCCTCACAATCCTTCGAACTCCGTCCACATCCCCAGGCTCCAGATCCGCCAGGATATCAACATGATTTTGATGATGATGGCGGATATTCACCTTGATTGGAGGTATTGTCGCCGTCCCGAGCAAGACATTGCCGTAGTCGGATAGATAGACCTTGACTTCTGACTCGCCGCTTTGAACTTCTCTTGCGATCCAAGTTCCGAATCTTCCCAGATCTCTTGTTGGTTTATTTCTGACTCTGTTCGCATCGAGGTAGAATGTCCCTTGAATCCTGGCCCGTACACCGAAAGATGCGAACGAGTCGATCGAGAGGTTTGTGGGCTCAAAAACCACTGCTTCTTTCGCATATTCTTCGATCACCGGAGGAAGGGCGAAGCCAAAACATGCGAGGACCGCACCCAGGCAGAGCACAGTGAGTGCTATGATCGTGGGCCACCTCTTCTGCTTCCTCCCGGACGTCTCCTCGAGGGGCTCTGCTATCGAGGCATCATTCGGCTGATTGGCATTAACCTCAGTTGAAGTGATGGATCCAGACGCCGAGTTCTCGGTTCGCAAGAGAAGAGGCGTGCGTTCTGAGGCATGCGGGGAGGACTGGCGAGAAGACATTGTAGCCTGGTCGTAGGCTCTTGCGATCAAGTCATGGAAACTCGGAAGATGTCATGCAAGGGCGTCTAAATACAGAGTACGGATATGGCGGTCAGGGAACGGAGTAGTCGTGCAACAGTGTCGAAGATGTCATGACTACCTACTACTAGGCAGATGAAACAATGATGAACTGAAGACTCGATGCAGGAACCAGGGCCCAAAGGTCCAGAGCCGCGCGGGATGCTTTATCGCCTATCATTTGAATTAGGTAAGTGAGCTTGGGCCGCTAGACTCAATAGGCTAGTGCCTGTGGGCGCCCCTGGAGCCTGAGGGGGCACCTGGGAGTAGCAAAAGTACCGCCCGTCTCGAGGTACGTATATAGGCACCTAGGCGGGCAGCTACAGGTACCATTACATTGTTCGTCTGTACTCCAGGAACAGAGTCACCAGGTCCTCGGTCCTCCTCACCCCTTAACATCCTTTTAATAGCCTCACGAGCAATGCGCATGCGCGATCTAAGTCAAACTGACGACTTTGTACCATCGCTCGGCCTCTGCCTTCCCTCCTTATGCCTACCGTGGAACCTCTCTCCTTCTTACCGACGACGCTCGCAACGATACATAACGCTCAATCTCGTAAAGACAGGGACTTAAAACTGACCAGGACAAGAGGACGTGGAATTCGCAGGAGCCATTTTTGTGAGGGCGGATCGAAGGACTCATTTGAAGTCAGGGGGACCACCCTCTTTCTCAGCCCGGGGTCCTAAACGAGTTACCATATCATCGAGGACTCTTTTCACATCCAACCCATGGTCCTTGGCTAGGTACTCTTTCGTTCTAATACGTAATACACAATAATCCTCTAAAGACTGAGTCATCTATGCCGATAACCGTCTGAGGCCCATATACCCATCCGGGACTCCCGCTTATGCAGCCTCGTATCTCGTAACAAATCAATCATCATATCCCAAGCCGGCTGATTCCGACGAAACAGAGGGAAAGACCATTTCCCTATTGTGGGTGCCTCGTGTTTGATCATCTAGCATGTCCATAACCTGTACAAAGAAAGAAAAAGGGTAGCCATGATGTCAGGGAATGGGCACGGGAAATGCTGCTAGCTGGCGTCTGAGTAAGCCCATGCAGCCAACGCATCGAGTGTGTTCGTGACAGTGAGACTAGAGAGCACGGCACTGGTATCCAGCAGGTGCCGCTCCGTGAGGAAGAGAAGATCGCAGAGGGGATGGATGTTCCCAGCAGTATCGACATCACCGGCGGCTAGGCTTCTGAAGAACTGTACTTGTAGGCTTGTTCTCTGGCAGTCGTGTCTGAGTTGACCCGTTCGGCCTTGAGGATGCTCCTGTCGATCTCATCTCGCATACGTGCAGTGTGAGACTTGGGGCCATAGGTATCCAGGTGGTGGTAGTATAACCACAGTATGATACAACTTCGGTGACTCGGTTAGTATCCTGAAGCCTTCGCAAGAATCACCAGAAAGATACACACTTACCTCGCAATCGTCCCAACGAGACCAAGCCAGATGAAGACCACACTAGCGATAGCTCGTCCATTGTCCCGGTATCGTAGGGGTGGATTGAGTGCCTTCCGGGCGATCTCTGCGGCATCCTCAGAGTTCGCCGATATCCACGCATTGCCCGTAGCCACGATCACAGTCAAAGCTATGGCATCAGCAAATGTCATGAGCGTAACGACCAGGGCGCTGATTCTCCACGCCCACCGGATATTGCGGGGCTCGTAGCGCTCGGGGAAGAACAGGTCGAAGAAAAAGGCGGCGCCAAATATGGTGGCGACAGCGATGCCGACAAAGATGTTGTAAGATGCAATACCGACAAAGTCGTCGTTGTGCACTGACGCAGACGAATGCAGACGTTCAATTCTTGACTGTTGCTTGACGTAGTCTGTCAAACAGTCAGCCTCTGAGACCCTCGTCCAGTTTCAGATGGGACTCACCTGTGAGAGCGGCGGTGCCGATGGACTCGGACACAACGCAGCATATCATGGCAATCTGGTAGACCACGAACTTTGTCCTTCGCAGGTGGTAGTCCTTGTTCCCGAACATATACGAGCTCTTGAACTTTCCCCATTGCAGGTCTCGAAGGTCGAGACCCCATATAACCGCCATCACTTACTTTGGACGGGATGCTCGAAAGAGATGAGGTGTACTTGAATAGACGTGGTGATGATGCGTTGCTTGACTCTTGTATCTGCTCAATAAAGGAGACGAGATACTGCAATGCCCCAGATCCTGCTTGGCGGGCGGTGAGGCTGAACAGGAACAGGCTTTCAGATATACGGAAGCAGTACGGTAAAGGCTCAGACGACATTAAAAAGCAGACGGTGGCGCTGTCCTTCGACTAAGCTTCACACCCATCCAGGCGAAGCTGCATAAGCATGAACTAAGAAGTCCTTGGTCTGGCCAGTACGAGCCCTCGCACTGTTCTCATAGGGGAGCAGGAAGCACCTCATGTCGCTCAAGAATTGCCCGAACCTGTTAAAGCCGCGGGAGGACGAAGGGATCAGGGCCGCACGATGTCATGGTTTGCCATTCTCACACAGTCCGCATCATCCGGCCACCACCGAACGAAGATGGTCAGTGGTTAATAATTCACAGGTGGGCTTGTCAGCTGGTATGCGCCGGGTTGATTGGTGATGAGATGTTTTCGGAATAGGAATCGGAGTCTGGAAGCAGTAATGAGTCGCCCGGGACGGATAGAGTGAGGTGTTTTCTGGATGGCTGGAGGGAGGCGAGGATGACGTATGGCGAAGGTGAAGCCGCTGTCCATGACCAAAGCCCGGGAGGCTGACAAGGCTGGCTGGCGCAGAGTTGGGTCCAGTTCAGAATGGGCTCACCACCCGTAGAGGTTCAGAGGCTGTGAGGCTGTACGAGTACTTGTTCGAGTACTGTACCTATCGAACGACTGGGGGATCATCCAGGTGAAAAGGCTTATGAGGGCTTAGGCCTACAACACGGATCTCTCGTGTCCGCGGAGAGCCCGAAAGCCCGAGGACGACAGGGCCGGTGACTTCGGTATCAGGGCTGGAGGGGCTGAGCAGTCTGATCAAGGCCCAAAGGACCCCAAAGGACGAGTACGAGTACGGGGAAGACGGTCCGGGGCTTCACGGTAAGGATATCCTCACGAAGCCCTTCGGTCGCTACAGGATTGATTCCTCTGAATGTCGCCGTTCTCACCATCGGTGCAACATAAATTCCAATATTGCTGGTAGAACTTCATTTCCTATCGTCAATTCCACCCCACGCTCGCCGTCCTCGCAAGCGTGATGAAGCCTAGGAAGCCTCGGACATCCCCACTACCCATCGTCCTGTCGCCATGGGATGGGGACGTTCACTGCCCGTACAAGGTTGATATCCATCGACCTTATCACCGTGATCAGACTTCGCCGATACCTCCCTTTCCCTTGGCCAGCGAGAACCCGGAATACAGTCTGCTCTTATCCGGGCCATAGTCGTCGGTCCCTCTACAAATCCAACGACCTCGATCGCAGTGTTGGCAAAGTGAGAGCTGTAAGTAGGATCAACATGGCGAAAGCCGACGAGGGTCACCTCCCCTCTGTCGAGGCGGTAAAGCCACTGCACAACAGCATTCCAGATGATCTAGCCGCTGGCTTTGACCCGACATTCCTCAAGTACTATAACAAATACAATGCCGGCCGTCTGGCCACCCACCAAGTGCCCATTGAGAAGTATCGAGCAGATCCAGCCAAGTACACTATTGTCTATGGCAGGGACCGAGTTCCCAACGACGGTATCAAATGGTCTGACCTGAAATGCCCTGTTGATGGGGGAGAAATCACAGTCCGAGTTTTCGAACGAGTCTCGTCCACTGCAGGCCCGAGGCCAGTATACGTCAATTACCACGGTGGTGGCTGGGTTTTTGGTGGACTGGTCACCGACTTTGACCTCTGCAAGCGGATTGTCCACTCGATCGACTGTGTCGTTTTCGATGTCGACTACCGCTTGTCACCAGAGTACCAGTTCCCGATCCCGGTCAACGACGCGATTGCAGCTCTCCATTGGGTAGGAGCGTTTCCTGGAAGCCCGAGGGGAAAACTGACACGCGAGTCACAGATTCGAGATACAAAAGCCGACGAGTATGGCCTTGACCTTTCTCGTGTCGCCATCGGCGGTGCGTCAGCCGGTGGCCAGTTGAGCGCTGTCGTCGGTCATGTTTGTCGCGATTCTGGCATTCCACTCGCACTGCAGATCCTGGCGGTGCCTGTTACAGACCTGCACGTCTTCACTCCCGAAGGACCGATTCGCGAAGACCATCCATATGCGTCGTACAAGGAGTTGGCAGATACTCAACCATTATCTCTGGAACGAATGGAATGGTTTCACAAACAGTTTCTCGGCTCGCCCAGACCCGAGCATTTGGCAAACGAGTGGAAAGTGTCTCCTATACTTGCTCCAAACTTCGCAGATCTTGCCCCGGCTCTGGTTGTGACGGCAGAAATGGACGTTCTGAGGGATGAAGGTGAAGCGTACGCGGAAAAAATGAGACAGGCTGGGTGTGCCGTGGAGCTGGTTAGATTCAAGGGCGCGCCACACACTTTTATGCAACTGGACGGTACGTGGTCGAACGGATTTGGCATTTGTGTCGAACCGAATGCTGACATTGGTGAAAGCGATCCTCGAATCTGGCAAGGAGTTCAACAGGACTGCACTGGCGGCTCTCCAGAAAGCGTTTGGGCTTTGAGCAGTCTTTTCATGGTCGCATCGGCCAGCGGTGCCCCGCCGAATATGCCTGGATTGGGAGATATATCCATCCAGTGATTGATCTCGGGTTGAGCTTCGCTCGGCCGCCGAGAATTCGAAGGTGCCGTTGAGCTCCAAGCCCAGGTAAATACAGTACTCCAGGGAGTGATTAGTGTTCCAAGCAAGGCTGCCGGTCTGCCGGTGGGGCGCGGGCACCCGAATGTGTAGGTGAACCCACTCTCGCGCGGTTTTATACCTCACTGCACTCCGGACCCCTGCCTTTACTGCTTCAGTGCTTCCTTTCCATCCGTAAGCAGCCCCTGTCTATATATATCCGCACCCCCATGAGCTTGACCACTGCGACAATTCCTACAATCATTCGAGTCCACAAGGACTAGGCATGTCGTATGTATGTGTACATCTTCCGTCATTATACGGAGTGCATTTCCTAGGCGGCAACCATCCCCAAGCAGCGACTATGTACGAGTCGTACTAGCCAACCCTTATTTGATGGGCGCGGAATGATAGAATTATTTGTTCATGGCGGAAATTTTTGCAAGTTGTGAATCAGGCCCGCTGCATAAGGACGAACTCGGACGAAACCTAGTGCGCCCTGCGAGACGAAAGACACTTTCGAGGGAGCAAGAGCTTAGCAAAGCTTGACAAAACGAGTTATACCTATTGTGTAGCAAGATGTGCACAATATTGGCAGCATGCGTGACATGCCGGTGGTTGTTAGTGGTGGAGTGAGCTGTGATTCAGGGTTCAAACTGCCCGGATTTACCGGGCACAAACAGAGGCCGAACGTACATTAGAGTCGGACGGTATTGGCGGACTCTTTCCTCAGACGGCCATCAGTTAACTTTGATGCTACGTCCTTGGTCACGTAAGGCATCTAATCTCTCATATCATCAAGAAGCCCGTCGAGACATGGTTTGCCTGATTAGGCGCACTAGCCGGAAGCAACTCCCCAGGCCCCCCAAGGCCCACCGTGGTTGGTCCAACACACCTGCAAACCCCCCCATCGGCCCAGCAAACGTGCCGTCAAAGGGGCCATGGCCAAGTCGCTAAAGGGGCGGATAGGCTCGACCTCCGTTCCGGTGTACAAATGTCAAATTTCAACTGGGCCTTTGTGACTTGTCCTGCTGTCCTGCTGACTGTGAGCACGCAGAACGGAACCACAATAATCACCCTAGAGCCTCGCCATCCCTGCTTCTCCTCCCAGGCGAGCGTTTGGTTATTTCCGAATGGTAAGCTTTGATAGGCACTCGAACCAACCGGTGCCTTTCAGCCCAGCCCAGTGGCAATGGGTGTTAGAGCCTCCTGACGGGTCCATCAGATGCCGTGATGATCAATACGTCTGGGGCCTGCGCTGGACAAGGCTGTCGGCCGTCTCATTCGTCGCATGATGTCCAGACGACCAGAAAACATTCGGTAACACCGTCCTTCACATCTCACTCAAGCGTATCGTAGCCGCTCACCAACGCAAACGCCCGACGTTTAGTCCCCGAGAGTCCCGGCCGATTCCAGAAATCATGAATCTGACTCTGGTAACGTATTGCCGGTTCTCTTCTTCCAATTGTCACTCCAGTCCTATGGTTCGCTGTCGCCCATGATGAAGTCTTCATTGCTTTTCGCCGCCGTTTCCGTGCCCTGGGCGGCCGCATTCGCGTTCAACACCTATGACCTGGGCTTACAGGGCATATACCCCCGCAAGCGCTTCCATTCTGTTGATTTCGAAATACCAGACCTAAAATTCACACAATGGGATTCGAGGTGCGACTCAGGGAACCTCTTCTTCACGCCCAGAGGCCCGTATGTACAAGGGGCGGCACGTGGTCCCATCATAACGGACCCCCGGGGTGAATTGGTGTGGATGAACAACAAGAAATTCGAACAGGCCATGAACTTCAACGTCCAAAAATACAAGGGACAGGACTATTTGACTTTCTGGACCAAGCAGAAAAAGAAAGGCAAGCATGGGAAGCCGGCAAAAGGTTCCAAGAAATCATACGTGATGGTGAGAATGATCCCTCAGCCCGTCCCATCTCTATCTGTCTTTTCTGAACTGAAAGTTTCTAACCCCGTCACCCCCCAGCTCAACTCTTCGTACGAGGTTGCCTACCGGATACACCCCATAGGCAAAGGACTGAAGGGAGATTCGCATGAGTTCCGGATCACGCCCCAAGGCACCGCCCTCATCACCATATACCACAAGCACGAAGCAGACTGCACGGACCTGAAGCTCGGGAAGAGCTGCTGGATCCAGGACGGCTTGTTCCAGGAGATCGACATCGAGACCGGGGAGCTGCTGTTCGAGTGGCGAGCCACCGACCACATCCGCATGACCGACGTCTTCAGCAGCCCCAACATGAAGGACGGGCACGGAAAGTCGAAAGCGGACGCCTTTGACTTCTTCCACATCAACAGCGTCGACAAGACGGACTCGGGCGACTACGTGATCTCTGCCCGCTACATGCACGCCGTCGTGTGCATCAGCGGCAAAACAGGCGAGATCCTCTGGCAGCTCGGAGGCAAGAACAACGACTTCACAGACCTCAACCACGCGTTGGACTTTGCCTGGCAGCACCACGTCACGTGGCAGGGCAACAACACGCTCTCCATCTTCGACAACCACGCCAACAACGTCTTCCACAAGCCGTCGAGCCACAGCAAGGGCATGATCATCAAACTCGACATGGACGGCATGACGGCCACCCTGGTCGGGAAGTACGTCCACCCGGACAAGATCCTGAACGTGTCTCAGGGGTCGGTGCAGATCGTCAACGAAACAGGCACCGTGCTCGTCGGCTTCGGCAACTCGCCAACCTTCGTCGAGTACTCGCCCGAAGGCGAGGTGCTGTGCGCCGCGCACTTTGCCCCCTACGTCGTGTTTGAGATCATCGACTTTGGCGCGGTCAAGTCGTACCGCATATTCAAACACCCCTGGGTGGGGAAGCCCAAAACAAAGCCCCACATCAAGGTAAAGTCCGGCAAGGTGTATGTGAGTTGGAACGGCGCGACCGAGGTATCGTCATGGCGCCTCGAGAAAGTAATCAAGGGCGCCGGCGTGGAGGCCACAGGCAAAGGCAAAGGCAAAGACAAAGGCAAAGACAAAGACAAAGGCAAAGGCAAGGACAAAGGCAAGAACAAAGGCAAGGGCAAGGACAAAGGCAAAGGCAAAGACAAAGGCGAGCATGCCGAGTTCGTAACCATCGCAGAGGCCAGACGCAGTGGGTTCGAGACGAGTTTCGACCTTGGCAACATCCACGGACACGTTCGGCTTGTGGCTCTGGACGGTGCGAGGAGTGTCATGGCGCATTCCCATGTGGTCAAGACACCTTCGCCGTCACACGTAAGTTTTGTTCTGGTCTCTTGTTCCCTGTACGCGTTTTCCCGGGTTCCAGCTGCTGACTGACTGCCGCGTTCAGTTTTTCCTGTGGTCGAGCTTTATCCTCGTCCTTTGCTTCACGGGCCTGGGCATCCTGTACCGCAGGAGACGACATCTTCCACATCTTCCGAATATCCAAAACTTCAACCTCTTCGACCTCAAGCATCGCCTCCACTCTATCACCACGACCAAGCAGGCCGTCGCCCTCAGCGACCTCGATGCCGAAGCGTCACCCTTGTTATTGGCCGACCGGGAACCAAACATGATGCATCTCGAGGGGGAAGCATGATGCATTCCGAGAGGCTCAACGTGTTCTACCACCTCCAAGTCTCCCTGGGGGGGGCATGGATTCTCTCCATGTGCATAAAGAGGGCGTGCGACCCCCCGGGGAGCAATATTCACATTATCACTTTCAATGGGCTATAATCCATACACCTGCTTAGTCCCGTGGCGTCGGGGGAAAGGAGGAAAACGTCTTGTCATGTCAACGCAGCGCATGAATGTAATATCATCCATCACCCGTCGAGACACGCCGCATGCCAGATAGCCATCAGAAAGGGCTCGACTGGATCATGCAGGTGGTCTGTTCTGGGTGTTCAGAACCCTTGATTGCTCACGATGCTGGGCTGCGAGAAAGAATTGTACGTTTAATACGGAGCACCAGCATGACGATGTTGCACCTTAATGAGACGAGGTGAAAATAAAGTATTTTCCAAACGTCAGCAGCCTTGCATAATCATATCGTATCAGATCAGATCAGATCGAGGTCTTCTCTCAGCTCTCAGAAGAACAAATTGTGTTGTAAGAGCAAGAGTTAGGTATGAAGAAGACTGTCCCTGGGGAGATACTCTTAGTCAATAATGACTCAGCTGCAGTTATTCGTCGTACTCGCATTCGTATTCGCATTCACACTCCGTACTGAGCGGTTCATGTTGCCAATATATTCCCAACTGTGACACATTTCTCCAGTCACTCGTCGGGCGCCTTGTGGCCCAGTAGGCTCTCAAACAAAAATTTGTTGCTGAAGCCCATCTGGGGAGGAAACAACTCTGCCGACCATCTCGATTCCAGCCTCGAAGCATCCAGCGGTTCGGCTACTGTTGATGAGACTGCGTTGATCAACTCGACAGTATCGATCCCTTGTGTTGGCCACCCAGTAGCCGCACTCGCACTCGCGCGATCTCTCTGGGCAAGAATTTCCGTCAACACAGTCGCCCCCCTGGCCGCTATAATGCTGTTTTCAAACCTCTGAAGCTGCTCGACGCATTCCAACACCAAACCCCTGTGGATCGCCAGCTCAGGGTCAGAGTCAGGCCGATGCAAGATGTCCAAGCAGAGGATGATGGCCGCGGCCACACAGAACGCCTTGTCGATCCATATGATGGGACCGTCGATGTCTTTGGCCTTCTTCGCTTCATTGAGGATCGTCTTTGCCGCAGCCGTGCATGTTGCTCGAGTCATTGAGTACATCGGATTCGCAAAGCTTTGTCGAATGTAGGCGCGATGGATCATGATGATCTTGTGCGCGAAACAGACTGTGAGACTCGACCGTGCCCAATGCACCCATTCCGGCCACAGCGTATCCACCGGTTCCACGACGTGAAAATATCGAGGCATCCCCTTGGTCGCCAAGTTCCTCATTCGTGTGTCATAGTCCAGGATGCTCTGGTACTCGGTGAATGGCGTGGTAGCCTGAAGGGTTGCCTCGTGGTGCCGCACAACCAATTTGGCGATATCAAAGAGATAATTGCCGTAGCTGATATACGTTGGGAACGTGGTGGGAAGAGATTCCATTGTCAGATAGTCCCGCTTCGACGGTAACGTCGTTGTGAAATGCGACGGGTTGATATTGTGACTTCCAGCAAACGGGAGCGACGTCCAATCTTGCACGCAGAGTTGTGACCACAGCTTCCTCCCGAGTTCACACTGGATAAGGCGGTGTCGTTGCTCCGGCGAAGACGTCGCGTCAATGGTCTCCAACGATGCATCGTAATCGAGCTTGTCCAAGCTAAGGGCCTGAGCGACCTTCACTGCCGCTCCCAGAAGGATGGAAAGTTCGGTGGACCTACCTAGAGGGTGTGCCGACATGGTAAGCGTGGTAACGGCCTGCACGGAATATATGTCGTGGTTCAACATCCATTCGCCCTGATTGAGACTGGTGATGGCCGCCTTGTACCATTGCATGGAAAGGGTGGCTGCTTCTGACTTGGAGAACCCCCATTCCTTCAGTCGTCGCTCAGACGAGCATGTCAAACTAGCGGCCATGATGGAGAACAGGAGAGCCAGCCACTGCAAATGGAGGCCACCGACATTCAAAGACGTCTTGTCCTCCTGTTCGGCAATCACACTTTCGAGCTCGGCCCTGAAGGTTGGTCCGTGGTAACAACAGTGATACCAAAGGAGGTAGGCCTCGTGGAAGTCGACGAGTTTCCAGATGTGGCTCAGGCTTGGAAGCAGCATTTGCAGAAACGCCTCATGTGCAGCAGCAGTCAAGTGGGGTCCACAACCTGAGCCTGTGGACGAGAAGAACAGCGGTGTCGCGCCCATGTCGTCGACGTCGGCCGTCTTCTTCCGAAGCTGTGGCAGCGCATAAGGAGCAAAGTCATATCTGGGACGCTGCGTATTGGACCTGGAGAGATCCCAGCCTTCCCCGTCTGCAAAAGGTCCAGTGTCTGTGGCGTGCCTCGCGACGGACGGCAGCATACCAGGGTCTGGAGACACGTCGTCAACTCTATCTCTCGGCGGAGTCGGCCTCGAGTGAGGCTCTGGCGAAGTGGGCTTTTGATATCTCCTTCCAGACCATTCTAACTGGCACTTATCAGGGATTCCTCGCTTGACGCACCGACCGCACGGTAGACGCCGATCGCACTTTTGTCGTCGCGAGCTACATTCCGTACATGTGTGCCTCTGGCGTACCTTACCCATGTGGCCAGGATGAAAGACGCTGTGCCACGGCGGAGACCGGATAGGGAGAGAGGAGAAGCGAAGGAGAAGCAATACTAATACTCAGCTGGTGATTCGACGCCGTCCGGATACTGAGTTCAGAGTTGATATCGGATTCTCTTGTCCTTATCGGTTCGTGCGAATCGTACCAACTCTGTATCTCGTACTCTGAACTCCACTTCCCTCGTGTCCGGTCTGGGCGCCCCCTATCTGGGGAATCTATCTCGACTCTTTCTTTGGAACTGTTTTCTTCTTGTAATAACTTATCGAGCAAGAAACTCAATCTGGCCCCTTCCCCATGCACCCCGACATGCCTTGATGTACGAACCAGCCGCAGTTATGTACGACTCACCCACCTCCAGTGCGCAGGTTGTACAACGACGTTTGGCATTTCGATGGATTGATAAACGGAGACGTCCGGCCTGGAATGAAACCACATGGTAGACTTTGCAAATCAACCTTGAGAACCAAGTCCAAGACCGCCTCTAGGGTCGTAGAGACGTTGAACCAGTCACACAGAGAGTTCAACACGAGTTGAGGAGCCGAAACAACATTGACCAGTATCGAAGAACAACAGAGACAACACATTATATCGATAGCCACCATGGGCTCACTTGGACCCCAGCACGTTGACTTTGAAGTGCCGACGATCGACCTCAGCGCATACTTGCAAGACCCCAATACACCTGAAGCGGACGCTGTGGTCGAGCAGATCCGTAACGCTTGTGCCACGAGTGGCTTCTTCCAGCTCACGGGACATGGCATTCCCAAGGCGCTGCAACAGCAAGCATTCGCCGCCTCCAGGAGCCTATTCAACCTCTCGGACGAAGAGAAGCTCAAACTCTGCAGCAAGCCCGGCCGCGGGTACGAGGTCATGGGCAAACAGTTCCTGGAGCCTGGCAAACAGCCAGACTTGAAGGAGGTGAGTCAATGAGTGCGTATGTGTTGAAGGTTTGAGTGTCGAAAAAGGGGGCCGTACGCACACAGATTCTAATGCTGACCACTTATGCACCCCAGGGCTACTTCATCGGCCGCGAGATCAGCAACGCCACTCCACCATTCCGGCCGTTTCAGGAACCAAACGTCTGGCCCAGTCCTGACCTCATTCCGGAGTCGCAGTTCAAAATCCCTCTTCTGGAGTACTACCGGTCCGTGTCCGATCTTTCGTTCGTCATCATGAAGATCCTGGCGTCGGGCCTGAGACACTCGAACCTGGACACGAGCGTCTTCACCGAGTTCTGCCACGAACCCATCTCGTCGGTCCGGTTGCTCCACTACCCTCCTCACCCGGACACCCAGGACGACTCACTGGTGGGCACCGGTGCGCACACGGACTTTGGGGCCATCACGCTGCTCCTCCAGGACGGCAACTCCGGCCTGCAGGTGCTGAACCAGGACACGAACGAGTGGCTGGACGTCGAGCCGCGCGAGGACGCGTACGTCGTCAACATAGGGGACATGCTGGACGTGTGGACGAGCGGGGCGTACAAGAGCACCGTGCATCGCGTCATCAACACCTCCGGCGGCGAGAGGTATTCTATCCCGTTCTTCCTCGACGGCAACGCAGACTGCGTCATCAAGCCTCTCGGTGGTGACTCTATGGGAACCGGTGCCGGTGCGGGGAATGTGAAGAAGCCCTTCACGGTCGAGGAGCATATGTTGTCGCGATACGCCGCCAGTTACAAATGATGGATGGACGTTTTGAACTGATATTGATCAATGGCACATGCGCTGATGGCTGACTGGGTGTGACTATCGAGGTTGGAGCGGGCGCCACAGACAATACCTACCCAGTCTTATGCTCCGATGGTAATAAAAATATGATTGATAGAGTTTTATTTCTATGGGCGCGAATTTCGATTGCTTTTCTCAACAGTATTTTCTCTTGAGCCTGTTCTGAACAGTATCGGTCTTGTTCCGTATTCTCCTGACTGCACGCTGTGCATCTTCTCGGATCTTCCGCTCGTCGAACTTCACCAGGTCCCCACTGTCCACCAAGAGGTCCCCGTCAACGACGACCTTGTCGACGTCGGCGCCTGAGCACGAGAACACGATCACGGTGACGGGGTCGACCCCGCCCTCCAGGACCTGCCGTGAATCAAACGGCGCGCAGTGAAGACCCGACGTGTCGACGACGACGAAGTCCGCCTTCTTGCCCACCTCCAGACTCCCGATGTCCTTCTCGAGCCCCAGCGCTCTGGCACCGTTGATCGTCGCCATTGCGAGGACCTGTTCCGCCGTGATGGCGGCCGCGTCTCGTCTGGAGCCCTTGTGCACGAGCGCCGCGACCCTCATCTCCTGGATCATGTCGTACGTGTTGGCACAGGGAGCGCCGTCGGTGCCCAGGCTGACGTTGACCTCCGCGTCGAGCATCTCCGGCACCGCGGCGATGCCCGAGGCCAGCTTACAGTTGCTGCTGGCGTTGTGGGCGACCGTGGTCCCGGCGGCCCTGAGCAACGGCAGGTCCCTGTCCAGGTCGAGATTGACCATGTGCGCGAGCACGGTCTTCTTGTCGCGGCTGACGAGGTTGGTCCGGGAGCAGAACTCGACCGGACTGCACCCGTAGCTTTCGCGGTAGATGGTCAGGTCCTTGGGCGCCTCGGCGCAGTGCATGGTGAGCCCGATGCCGTGCGCGGAACACGCGTCGCCGATGGCTTTGTGAGACGACTCGTCTGACCCGCGAGGAGTCCCCGCCGCCATCCAAACTTGGAGCCGGCCGTTGCTGGTCCCGTGGAATCTCTCGTGGGCCGCGAGAGCAGCCGTTATGGACATGCCTGAAATGTCTCGGTCTCGGGGGTCAGTCATTCCAAATTTCGTCGATTCGCCTTCCACCTTGACTAGCTTGCCCTGTGGTAGCCGCAGTATCAGTTAAAAAAGTATCTTGACGCGGCCGAGTCTTTGAGAAGAGAGAACCAGAAACAGAATCATGAGATAACCAGAACAGAGCCACACGTACCAGACAACCTCGAATCCCCATCTCATCCACTGCTCGAGCGGCGTTCTCAAACCCGCTGCTGTGAGTCAACAGGGCCTCCAGGAAGCACGTGGTGCCGCTCTTCAGCATCTCGGCGATCGTCAGTCGGCTTGCAACGTAGCCATCTTCGCCCTCGTAGTTTGCCTCGAGGGGCCAGATCGAGTCGCAAAGCCAGGTGTGGAGAGGCACATCTTCCGCCAGGCCGCGAAGGAGAGACTGGCCTAGATGGGCGTGTGTGTTGATCAGCCCCGGGATGATGATCTTGCCCTGGCAATCTACAATTTTGCATTCGGAGTGGGATTGAGACCGAGGGTTTTCGAGGAGCGAGTTTGTTTTCCCGATTGCTTCGATGCGATCGCCGTTGACCAAGATGGCCCCGTCGAGCCAGATTGTCCGCTCAGCGTCTACCGTGATGATGGTGGCGTTGGTGAACAATGTCGCGGCGGCGGATTTGGTGGTCTCTATGGTCGAGTCTAACAGAGGCATTCTTGGAAGCTGGGGTGACCTCTCCTTCTCGCCATACAGGGTAGGAGAGTGTTTGTATGAATCGCTTCAACCATGAATATCAGCAGAAAAGCAAATGGAGAGAAAACTTAGACTTCCGATTCTAGAACTCGGCATTGATAGATGCGATGGGTCTTCCGTATCATGCATGCATGATAGAGGTGTTGTTGGAGTACCGCGTACTTCGTACAGGGGGATATCGTGCGAAGCCGTACGACATTTGGTGTCCCAGATACAGTTACTCGGCCAGTTACTATAGTACAGTAGGTGAGTAGCCTCTCTGCAGCAGATCCTGCTCGGCTGCGGGACCAAATTGCTTCGTACTTGACGTTGTGACGATAGCTGGGCGAAAGCCTGGTTCAAGAAGACTGTCCGAGGAATGAGAGGCCGATTGCTACCTTCCATTCAACTTCGTACCTGTTCCATCCCGAAGGCGGAGAAGAAGTTGCTTATGGGCACACGGGGATAGAGAGATGCAATACTCGTATTGGCCAGAAGCCTTTATCAATCGCTCGTCGGGCCCGGAGTCCAATCACATCCACTTCCCTGGTACGATGCCAGTTATCGCAGATACGGCTGAAGGCTATATTGTATGAGACGCGCCGATGGACGAACCCGGGGGCCTCAATCACTGGCAATCTGTCGTACCGAGATCTTGATCGCTTCTAGTGGGCGTCTCCGTATCAGTTCTCGACCCTTGAGCATTCTAAAGTTGTTCATCCATGAAACAAGGCATGCTGTGACTGGCTGTGAGATCGAAGGCACATATAAAGGACAGTGCATCGTCCCACCTTGCACCTATATCTACCTCACCATCGAGAGAAACTCCAGACTCAGTACTTCCCGGACCACAGCATCCTGCCCAGGCCATGGAACAAAAGATCGCCGCCGAGGAGAACAAGATGGCCGTCGACAGCTCAACCACGTCGACCTACGAAGCAGCTGCTTCAGGCACCGCTGCCAAAGTCAGCTTCCGCGACAAGGCCACCGACATCTTGTCCCAGCTCGGTACACGCGATGCCTGGCTGGGAGACTACGACTATTGGTACCTCGTAACGCCAAACATTCCGCCGTTCAACAGGAAATACAAGCACAAGACGATGCCGTTCTATGGCCTCCACGACCGCGTCCCTATCCTCTTGACTCTCATCCTCGGTCTGCAACACGCGCTCATCATGATAGGGTCGGTGGCCTCGCCCCCGCTGGCCGTCGCATCTGGAGCGTTCCATCTCGAGCAAGCCCAAGTCTCGTACCTTGTATCCGCGGCCTTCATCACCACCGGCATCGCGACGGCCTTTCAAGTCACACGGGTCCATCTCAAAGGCACGCCGTTCTACATTGGCACGGGTCTGTTGTCGGTCGTCGGACCCACGTTCGACATCATCCCCATTGCCTTCTCGTATACCAGCATGCGCTACAACAACGGAACCTGCCCGACCGCTGACGATGGGACCCAACTCCCGTGCCCCGACGCGTGGGGTGCGTTCCTCGGTACAATGCTCTGCACCGTCCTCATCCAGATCTTGATGTCTCTTGTGCCCCCCAGCCTTCTCAACAAGATCTTCCCCAAGGTCGTCACAGGCTCGTTGTTGCTGCTGGTCGGTGTGTACCTGGTCGGCAACGGAATGCAGAATTGGGGCGGTTCATCCAACTGTAACGGCGGCGAGGGGTTTTATGCCCTGTGTCCCAGTGTCGCTGCGCCGAAGCCGCTGCCCTGGGCAGACCCGAAACTGATCGGCCTTGGATTCAGCGTCTTTGTCAGTATCGTCATCGTCGAGCAGTTTGGTGCTCCTATCATGAAGTCCATGTCTGTCTTGCTCGGTCTTGCTGTGGGTTGTGCGATCTCTGGAGCGACAGGCTATTGGTCCCGGGAGAACATCGACTCTGCTCCCGTGGTCACCTTCCTCTGGGTTCACACCTTCAAGCTATCGGTCGACGGAGCTCTGGTCCTGCCATTGCTCATCATGTTCATCTGCCAGGGCGTGAGCTGCATGCCCGACATTCTCGCCACTGCCGAGATATCCAACGTCGACGTCGAGGGCACCGAGTTCAACAGTCGGATCCAGGGTGGAATCCTCTGCGACGGGTTGGGCAGTTTGTTCAGTGCCCTGGGCACGGCTGGACCCATGGTTTCTCAGGCTGGAAACAACGGCGTCATCGTCTTGACGGGTTGTGCAGTAAGGATGAACCCTCCCCCTGATGTTTTTTTCTTTGCTACCTAACGACGCCAATGACTGACAATGATCGTTTCTAGTCTCGTCGTGCAGGCTGGGCCGCTTCGTTCTTTCTCGTGCTTATGGGCTTCTTCGCGAAATTCGGTGCCGTCTTCTCCGCCATGCCGCCGTCGGTGCTCGGTGGGATGCAAGTCTTTCTGTACAGCACCATCGTCGTGGCTGGTATCCGCATCCTCGGAATGATCCAGTTCACCCGGCGGAATCGGTTCATCCTGACCATCGCGCTCGGCATTGGCTTCATCGACATCGTCCAGCCAAAGTGGTTCAGCCAGATCCTCGACTACAGCGGATCGAACGTGAACCTGCAAGGGTTCGAGCAAGGTATCAACCTCGTCGTGGAGACTCCTTTCATCATCGCCGCCGTCATCGGAGTGTTTTTGAACCTTGTGTTCCCCAACGACAAGAGCGAAATGGACGAAATCATGTACGGTACTACTACCGACTCGAGAGGGGCACCTACGTCTCTTCCCCAGATGGAGCATCGTAGAGACGACTAGACATTTTTCAGACCTAGCTTTTTGTAGTCTTCACAGTTTGAAATCAAAGTATAATCGGACCCCTGCTTGCCCACGGTCGAATCTTGGATAGACATTCTGGAAGTCTGCTCCACTCTGCACAAAACCTAACTTGTTGGAGCTTCCAATTACGGTTCATAAGAAATGATAGAAACTTGCCGACACCGGTGCACCTGTTCAAACGGATCATGCGTTCATTTCTTGTTTGAGTCGGCTGCAGTACTGGATAGACGACAGAATTTTCCATGCAGTAAGTGAGAGGAGGAGACGATATTTAGATCATCCTACATCCTGAATGAGAGAAGTAGACGGTACCCATTATGGATCATTTCCACAGTCCACGTGAAACGAAAGACGACGACGCTCTCTCTCATCCTATGCTTATCACTTTGCCAGTTTTGAAATTCCCCATTTCGCTAATGCATCTACTACCACCATCAACCAACTAGGTTGCCAACACGACGGGCGCAGACTCCTCGAGCTTGGCCCGCTTCGCGCTGCTCTTCGCCATATGAGAATAATACAACGACATCGCGTTCCTGGTGAACTCCGCGCCCGTCACGGGCGGATAGTGCTTCTTGGGGCCCTGTATCAGGGCGTCGTGGCAAGGCTGGTTGAAGAAGGCGATGCTGTATCTCTCGCCGTAGTAGTCCTCGGGCTCGGTGGGGGCCTTGACGCGGTGGAAGGTCGACTTGAACCGGTCGTCGGACCAGCTCATCAGCAGGTCCCCGATGTTGCAGATGATGGCGCCCGTGGACGAGGGCTCGACCTTGGTCCACGTGTCGCCGTAGCCGAAGGACGTGCTGACCTCGCGGCCCGGGCAGATCTCGAGGCCCGACTGCCCTTGCTTCTGGAACAGGAGCGTGAGGAACGCCCAGTCCGCGTGCGCGCCGGACCGGTGCCACACCTCCCCCCCGTTCCGCCCGTTGTCGGAGGGCACCTCGAAGTAGTGGATCAGCCGGCACACGGTCTGCGACTCCGGCCGGCCGACGTCGTGCGCGCGGGTGAAGTAGCCGTCGTCGAACCCCAGCCCGCGCGCGAAACAGACCATGAGTTTCTCCGACACCCCTTGGACCCGGTGCATGAAGCCGAGCGCCGACGGTTTGAAGTCCGGGAGCGTCTCGTCCGGCAGCCAGAGTCCGTCCATGTGCGCGCCGAATTGCATCTGGTACGACTCCTTGCGGTCGGCGGCCCCGGTCGAGGGTCGGATCTGCGCGTTTTTCTCCCAGCCGGCGTTGTTGGTGAAGGGGACCGTGGCTTTGACCGAGTCTGGGAGCGCGAAGAATCGCGACGACCAGTCGAACATCTCGTCGATCGAGGCCAGCGGGATGCCGTGGTCGGTGATGCAGAAGAAGCCGACGTCTTCGGCGGCGGAGCACAGTTGCCGTGTGATCTCGTCGACGCGGGACTCGAAGTTTGCCAGAGAGATGACCGGAATCGGTCGATCCAGGTACTTGGTGGGCGCCATTGGTGACTGTTGATGCAAAGGAAGATTGGTGAATGTCTATGAACGTGGAGGAGCGGGCACTTCCTGTTCGTGTTGGAGTGCCAGGTGGAGTGGGATGGCACGTCGACGTCCTCGAATGGTACAGGAGAGAGTGTACGCTTGGTATGCGTGTCGAGAGCTTGACGACAACGGTTTCTGGTCACGTATTGAAACCCGGAACAATACGAATCTGAGTTCAGAGACAGAACACAACGAAGATATACCTGGGGAAGCAGTCGTTCGTTACCTTCTTGTGTACCACGTCGTACGACGCTTTCCACATCATCATCGGGGATGTGCGGTTGATAAGGAGATAGTGAGATTAGTAGATGTATTGTACGGAGTTCGCAGCCTCGTGATGCGACAATAGGGGGTTTATCGTCCAACTACATCGCGCCATTTGTCGTACGAAAGGAGGCACAGCCTTGCCGAACCAGCTCCTCAGTAAGTTGCACCTGCAATGGTATCGGATCTCAACAACAGCGACAGTGATCGTGAGATATCGACATCTCTCTATCTCTCTATCATAGTCTGGTATTCCCCTCCACGAAGAGCAAACACTATCTTGAGGACCCGGGCAATCGGTAACATTGATTCTGCGGCCAACGAGAGGCCAGAACAATGTATAAGAGGCGTCTAGAGTCGTGTGACAGCACACCGGCCCATCTCACATCACCCCATCAAGTCACTCGTAACTACATACACTCCTCAATAATGGGAATCTCCATTTCGACCGCGGTGCTGCTCTTATGCTGGTTGGCGAACGCCACAGCCGCCAAGGCCACCAAGGGACAAGGTCAACCTATCATCATTGACACCGACTTATTCGGTGATGTTGATGATGTCGGGGCACTCACCATAGCCAATGTCCTGCACAACTGTGGCCTAGCAGACCTGAGAGGCATTATGATCAACACACCCTCACAGTATGGTGCTCCCGCAGCAAGTGTATGTTGACACAGAAGGTTACCCAAGGATACCTGCCGTGGTTCAATCACTGACGCTACCTCAAAGGCTATCTGCTCATACTTTGGCAATAAAAATGTCCCAGTGGCCGCTCTACGCCCGATAACAAATGCGTCCTTCTTCGACGACTGGGAATACGTGTAAGTTTGGATTACCACACCGAACGATGGAGCGATTAACCGGCTTCGCAGGAGGGGAGAGTACGCCAGCAAAATCGCCTACAACTGGCCTGGGTCTCTTACCAATGCCTCTCTCGCTCCCACGCCGGTCGAGCTCTACCGTTCCGTTCTTGCCTCCGCGGAGAACAGCAGTCTTCACATCATTTCCATTGGCTTTCTCACCAACCTAGCAGATCTGCTTCGGTCTGAAGCCGACGACGTGAGTCCGCTGACTGGCACAGAGCTTCTGGAAGCCAAAGTGAGCGAGCTGGTCGTGATGGGTGGTCGTTACCCTTCTGGCTGGGAGTACAATTTCGGCGGCACGGACCCGAATAGCACCACCTATGTCATCGAGCATTGGCCAAAGACAGTGCCAGTCACTTTCTCCGGAGGCGAGCTGGGAAGCACCGTTTTCTCAGGTCAGAGGCCCTTGGAAGAAAGCCCCTCTGATTCTCTCCCGGTATCGGCGTATCAGTGGTACGTTGGCCGCGGATCAGTCACTCGCGAGGCATGGGATCCCATCACCGTTCTATACGGAATTCTGGGCCTGGACAACTTCACAAAACTCGGAGTATGGCCCATGCTGGCATACGCGAATGAGTATGGGTACAACACCATCACAGCTAGTAACGGGTCCAACGCTTGGGTCAATGACACGAGCGTCAGGAATCAACATTGGTTGAAATTGGCCGACGGAGTCACGAACACGAGTATGGCGTGGCTCGTTGATAATTTCCTCGTTCATCCTCCCGGGTTGTCGAGATGCCTTGTATAGCTAGGTTTGAGGAAAAGTCCGCTGCATCTTCCCAATACTTCCCAATGTGAGTGCATGCGGGAGTGTAGGACGAAAGAATTCATACGTCTGTCTCCGCAGACTCGTGTACAACAGGCTGGATTGAACGAAGTCTTGGTTACATATTTCAGCATCCCTGGACGCTGAAATATTCACTGAGGTTTCTCCAAGCTGGAAGATATTGAAGACTCAATGATACTTGTGTATGCCACAATACGACGAAGAGGCACATTTTCCAATTCTTCCCACGAGACTTGCACGTAGGGTCTACCCTACTTTGCTCTTCGCAAGAGCATCAGCGGATTGCCAGCCTGCACCACATCGTTCGGCTTCACCAGCATCTTCTCCACCTTTGCCCCGGCCATGCTCTGTTCTGCCTTGACCGGGATCTCAAGCTTCATAGCCTCGAGGATCGAGACAGTCTGCTCGTCCCTGATGGTGTCTCCCTCCTTGACCTCTACTTTCCACACGTTGGCGTTCAATGGAGCCTCAACGGCGATAATGTCTGGGTCTGTAACCGAGTAATCAGTTTTTTTGACTTCGTGTCGTTCCACAAACGTGAGCTGCCGAGCTTACCATGCATCAAATCATGCACCGTGTCTATGCTGATCTTACCGGCCTCCTTCTCCTGATTCCACTTGGCCAGCAGCTCCTTCTCGATCTTGTCCATCTCAGCCTGGGCTTCACGCTGCTTTGCTCGGATCTGCGCCACTTCGGCCTTGGTGTCTTTGAGCAGCTTGTTGTGTTCCTTCATGTCGAAAACGGTGTCCTCGTACTCGTACTCGTACCTTCCACTTCGGAAAGTGGCCATCATCGCTTCGTACTCCTCTTCTGACACCTCGTAGAAGGTGATTTGGTCAAAGTCCTCGAACAGCCACGGCCTTTCGGAGTTGTAGCCCTTCTTGTAGCCTAGGATGTCTGCACCGGGGATCGACAGGCCGATGTTCATGTACCCTCCTGGCGACTCGACGTTGTAGATGGCCATGCACGAACCGCCCCAGCCGACTTGTCCTTCGGGAGTGTGTACCCTCGAAGGATTCATCTTGGGACACTGCATCCGCTGTCGCGGGTCGATCGGAAGACAAATTGGTAGTGCGACGAAGAAACCCACCGCAACCACCATCAGGGACGATTTGGTCAGGATATCACGCAACTGTTGATTTGCAAGGTGAGCAATCATCGTCAATACTCAGACTGAGGGGGAGGGTTTGAGGGGCTGTGGACGTACCTGCTGCTCAGTGAAACCGTTGTTCTTGGCCACGAACTGTGCCGGGTCTGGCAGATACGACGCGTAAGGCCTCTGTGTCTCCATGTATCTCTGGAGGCTCTCCTTTTGTCTCTTGCTCTTGAATGTGATGGGCAGTGTATACTTGCGACTGGGGTATTTGGCCTCACTCAGATCCCCCAGTTCGTTCTCGAGCTGAATCAGGTATTGCAGCAGCGCATCCCGACTCACCTTCAACGAGTCGAAATACAACATCAAAGAATTGCCACAAGCCATACCGGTCAGCAACGCGCCGTTCGCAAAGGACACATCTCCTTTGGCCTCACGCAGCTTTTGATACAAAGCAACCGCCCGACATCGGTAGTTCAAATCGAACGATCCGTGACCATAGTCGATCAGCAAGAAGTCGTCGCCGCCCTGACGGTACGACACTAACGGCTGGTGTTTGCTCGAGTCCTCCTGGATCTGATGGATCAGTGCCTTTTCCCAGCCCTTGTTCGTCGTCGATGCAGGAAAACTGTCGTATACCAGTGGTTTGATGTCGTCGAAATTTCCGCTCCCACTACAAACCTCGTGGATCTTTGCCAGGAATGCCTCGACTTCGTGTCTCTTTGCGATGGCATCCGCATATGATATCCTGTTAAATCGTAACTTGTTGCCTGCTTTCATCTGGCCCATACGCCAGTAATCGGCTTTGACGATGGTGGTTGCAGACACAAAGCCGCCATAATCAGGCGCGTCGACGGGGAACAAACATGGATCATCACCTGTCCAGTTGAGCGTACCCACAGGGTAACCGTATTCGATCACGTTGGATGGGTGAGCACCTCCTTCACCTCCGTCGCTGCGGGACCACTTGGGTTTTGGACCCAGTAGACGGATACCGCCTCTGGAAGCGTTGTGAGAGATGGTGAAAGTGCTATTGTAAAACTCCTCGATTGAGTCATCTGTGATGAAGCCGTCGTCGTATGGACCAGGCATGGAGAAAAGATCCCATTCTTCGGGATACGTCGGGATCAGGTGCTCAGGCAGCTTCAACTCGCCTTGGATATCTGGTAGCTCGCTGGTGATCGCCAACAAATCTCCAGCGGCGAGCGCGCGTCCTTGGAGTCCACCTACTGCAGTCATGGGCGCTGTCGACTTGGACCCGAACCATGTTGCAATACCGGGGAGACCGCCATAGATGGCCAGGTAAGAACGACACCCGCCGCCTGTAGTTTTGCCAATGGTCAAGCGTTGGCCTGCTGCAATCTTCAAGCGTGTCCACATCGGGACAGGCTGTCCATCGACTTTGACGTCCATGGGCGCACCGCACACGGCAACGATTGCTGCGCCGAGAAACCTAAGATCTGGACCGCTCAGAGTGATCTCGATACCCTCCTTTCCAGTCGGGTTGCCGACCAGAGCATTCGCGATCCGGAACGCCACAGGGTCCATTGGCCCGGAGTGTGAGAAGCCCTTTCCGATGGTCGGACGACCGGGCCAATCTTCAACGAGTGTATAGGCACCGCCTTGCAGCACGTCTATCGCACGAGGCCGATATTTGAACGACTCAAGGAACTTCGTCATGGTCCGACCAGACTTGAAGGTCTCGTCTTGCAGGATTTCAGCGAGGAATTCGATATTTGTCGCGGGACCGAGGACCTTTGAGCCCTGCAACATTTCGGCGAGTTTTGTGATGGCTTCGTCCCGAGTTTCAGCGTGCATCATGACCTTCGCAAGGAGCGGGTCGTAGAAAGATGTAACCTTTGTTCCCGTGTGCACCCAGCCGTCGACTCTCGACCCGGGCATCTCCTTCCAGGAGACATGCTGAAGCGTTCCGGGAGACGGCGCATAGTCTTTCGCAGGGTTCTCGGCATACAACCGGACCTCGACGGCAGCACCTTTAGGTTCCCTCGGTTGAAGACTCTTTAGATACCCCCCTGAAAGCCCGCCCTTGCCGCACAATTCTGCGTCAGCTTGCTTCAACATCAATTCGACAAGGTCAACACCGTAACACAGCTCGGTGATGCCGTGTTCGACCTGTAATCTAGTGTTCATCTCGAGAAAGAAAAAGTCTCCGGACTCGTCATCGACAAGGTACTCGATTGTCCCAGCAGAGCCATAATTGATCGACTCCGCTAGGCGGACCGCCGCCGAGCCCAGCTTCTCTCGGAGCTCAGGATGCTTGACGACGAACGGGCTCGGGCACTCCTCGATGACTTTTTGATGCCGCCGCTGGATTGAACACTCTCGCTCGCCAAAGTGAATGGCTTGGCCCTGTCCGTTGCCAAACACTTGTACCTCGATGTGGTGCGAGGAAGGATAGTACCGTTCAATGAAGAGCCCGGCATTCTTGAACAGCGTCTCCCCACGAGACCGTACCGTCTTGAAGGACCTGCGCACTTCCGCCTCGTCTTTGCAGGCCAGAAGGCCCATGCCGCCACCTCCAGCCGTGGCTTTGAGCATTACCTGGCATCATCAGAATCACACTTCTATCACGGCGCCTTGACAAGGCAGGGTAAGTAAGCAAAGCAAAGCAACTTACGGGGAACCCCAACTTCTTGGCCTCGTCGACGGCCTCGTCCTCGGAGTTTACCAGGCCTTTCGTCCCTGGCACGATTGGCACATTCGCTTCCGCAGCCAGCTCCCTCGCCGTGTGCTTGATCCCAAAATCCTCTATGCATTTGGAACTTGGGCCGACAAAGACCATGCCGGCCTGCGTGACCTGGTGTGCAAAGTCGGTGTTTTCGGAGAGGAAGCCATACCCTGGTATCACGCCATTGGCACCTTTTGCTTTGGCGATGGCCACAATTTGTTCGGCGTCGATGTACCCCTTGGTGTCGGGACCCTCGAGGAGGACGGCCTCGTCTGCGGCGCCGACATGCGAACTCGCGGCGTCGGCGGGCGTGTAGATTGATATCGTGCGGATGCCCAGCTTACGCGCCGTCTTGCATATACGCACGGCAATCTCGCCACGGTTGGCGACGAGGACGGTCTTGAGTTTCTCCATGATCGTGATGTGCAAACGACGGAACAATATTCGAGGATACGAACCGTACGAAGGGAGAGAGATGGGTTACGTTTCCCAACAGGTGATCATCTGAGACCCCCAGGATCCCTCGCGTCCCAGGCGTCTCCGACAACGTGGGCTGCCATGGACGGCCATTATCTAACAACCACTCGTCCAAGTCGTCAGTCGAGTCGGTCGTCCGGAGAGCCCATCGCTGACGATCCGTTGTTGATTGGATGAATGGCGATACCTCCTCCTTAATACGTGCACATGAGGGGCATCGGCTCTTGAGTCTCCTTATCTCTGCCAGGGGGGTTTCTCCACAGCTCGTCGTTCTCCGTTTTGGTGTCATGGATTGAATCGATCACCAGCTGACTGACGTACATATGTTACAAGAATAATCTACGACTACACCGTCGCCGATCGACGCCTCGTTCTGCCTGGGTCGCAATACACAAGAGTAAACAGTGCGCTTGGGTGTATATATATACACTGAGTGTTGGAAGATTTGGACGACGGCAACAGAAGTATCGACCTCTGTGTACGGCATTGCATTGTATTGCATTACGCTGCAATTACGCCTTCGAGTTCACCATGACGGCCCCACCAATCAAACACAAGGCCCTGCTCAACGTCGACATGGGCGAAGCCGTGAGTATCTGATGCAGGGTGTGCGATGCTTGAGTGGATGGGTAGTGACGGGGTGACAGTATGGGAATTATGTCTGTGGTCCTGATCTGGAGCTTCTTCCTCTCATCGACCATGCGAACGTCGCGTGCGGGTTCCACGCCGGTGATCCGCTCATCATGCAGGAGACGGTACGGAATTGTAAGGAGTACGGCATCAAGATTGGAGCGCATCCAGGTCTTCCAGACATCCAAGGTAAGTCCTAAGTTTTTGTCGTTGTCTTCTTCTTCTTCTTCTTTCTTGTCTACGCAGTGGCGTTCCGCAGCCCCCTATCCGTGGCTCCAATTTCATGCTTTTCCTGTGCTGTGCTGTGCTGGGCTGTGCTGACTGCTGTGTGTGTGTCCGTGCCGACGACTCAAGGCTTCGGGAGAAGAGAGATCAAGATGTCGCCCGAGGAATTGACGGCGATAACGGTGTACCAAGTCGGAGCGCTAAAGGGGTTCCTGGAGATGGAAGGCGTGCCTTTGCATCACGTCAAACCTCATGGCATCTTGTACGGTATGATGTGCAGAGACTACGAGGTCGCCAGGGCGGTCATGGAGGGTATCCCCAAAGGCATTCCGGTGTTCGGTCTGGCCGGGACGAACATGGAGAAGGCAGCGAACGACCTCGGCATCACCTTCTGGGCGGAAATGTACGGCGACGTCAAGTACAACAGTGATGGCATGCTGGTGATCGACAGGAAGAAGAAGCCATGGGACCTTGAGGACGTCAGGAAACACGTCAGCCAACAACTCAACACACAGTCGGTGACGGCTGTCGACGGCAGCACCGTACAGCTCCCGGTCAAAGACTATCCGATCTCCATATGCTGTCACTCGGACTCGCCCGGATGTTTGGGCATCATAAAGACGACCAAAGAAGTCATTGACGAGTTCAACAAGGCTCATGGGAGATGAGGCACTGACGAATGTGAGTAGTAAGTGTGTAAGTTAGGAATAGCGGGCCATGTGTACACACTTCATGAGAGAAATAAGAAAGTCCCATTTAATCCATTCTATTCATCACCTCGCTTATCCCCTAGTATTGTCATCGAGGCTGTCTGTGCACTCATCGACGCCAAAAAAATCTGGCTGCTGACAGTCCACAACCGCTTCACTGCTTTTTATCGTCAGAGAATCCAGCTCTCATATTCAGGAGACTTCATGCTCTTTTGAATCCCTGCGATAGCCAACAACGCCGAGAAGTCAAGATGGGTCGCCAACCGGGTGTGAATGGTACCACGGTGTAGTGACCAGGCGTGCAACCGCCTGAGGGCTGTATTGGCGCTCGATCTCATTGACCATGTAAATGTTGGCTGTCTCGGATTGAACGTAGGCGGCGAACGGAGTGAGTGTACGAGTCCGGCTGCATGTAGATAAGGTCGTCAGATCGGATCTCCAACTGTCGGTGACAGGCGCTGGAGCCGTTGACGACGCTGGCTATATTCAAACTTGACGAGCTGTTGTTGGTTGGTCCAATGTGTCCCTGCTCTACTTGTATGACAAATGCCTTTTGTCTGCGGCAGATGCAGATTGACGATGACTTGATTGCTTGGAGGGGCAGCGGGGTCGATGTTCACCATTGGATGACCTTCTCGTTCTGCCAGAACTCCCCATTCGAATCCTTGATATGGCCCAGAGCAAGCAATACGGGCGTCTGTGCGCCCTCGTCTGGCGTCTTAACTCCTCGATGTTTCGTCATGTCCGTGGAAACGTAGCCTGGACAGCAACTGTTGATCAAGGTCTTACTGCCGGACTGAGCGTTAACGTGCGCCAGTGCCTTTGTCGCGCCGATGAGACCTGCCTTGGACACAGAGTACGAGTTGGCTGGCCAGTCAGCTTGGTATGTCCCGTTAGCCACGGCTGAGGCGTATTCCTCCATCAACTGAGAGACTTGTTCGGGTTTTGAAGCATTTCGGAAACGAGATTTGATAGTGTCTGAGTACTTGGATGTCAGATGACCTGACATACTTGCCACATTGACCAGGCGCCCTCCGTCGCGAATGTGTGGCAGAAGTTGTTGCGAGGCTTGCAACGTGCCATAGTAGTTGCAGCGCAGTGTCTGCCTGACCACGTTCTCGTCGAATCCTTCTAGCGCAATACCGGCATTGTTGATGAGGAAATCAATTCCATCGGGGTGTCGCTGCTTCAGTGTCGTGGCAAAGTCCTGGATGCTCTGCCTGCTTTCAATGTCTAGCGGGAGATACTCAACGTCTGTGAGTCCGCCTTGAGCTCTTAGCGCTTTGGTGTTTCGAAGCGCAGGATCATCTCGGATACTTTGTAGTGCGGCTTGACCTCGTTCTTCGTTTCGTGCGGTCAGATAGATCAGTAATGGGCCGTTGTTGAGTGCAGATTGGGGATACTGCAAGGCTAGCTGGCGAACTATGGCGAGACCCACGCCTTTGTTGGCGCCCGTAACAGCTCCTACTCGTGTACACTTGTAGACAGTCATGGCGGAAGGATGGGGGGTTGGTACTGTATCTTGTTCGAAGGGTGGGGGATTTCGAAGTTTGCACGTTGAAGACCTGAATGTAGCGAAGGAGGATTAATAAAACGGACACCAATTTTGTCGCTTACCTCACTGCATTGTCCTCGGGCCAGGATCATCATCGACACCTCTACGTGTCATCGATTTTGGTCCTGATTTCTTCCTTTGACTGGTGCAATCTTCAAATATTGTGCTGTAGATACCTGGTACTGACGACGACGACGTCGACGAAGAAGACCTTCGGATCCGAACATCTGGCCTTCAAGACAATTTGCACGAGGCTGGCCAGATCACCTTCGCCCGAGAAGACTCCAGCTCCAGACAGGAGTCCTGCATATCTGGCGCAGCTTTGGTTTAGCGACGTGTTGATTGGTGGACGATTCTCGCACAGCGCCCATCTTGCCGAACATCGCATTTACCCGTCGCCAGGGAACCGAGGCTAACCGCCACCATCAGCCCCGAGATACAGCAATTCTCGTAGAGCCTAGCACATCTCGCATAGTTGGTGACGTACAAAAAGTCTGCTCCGAGTCCCCGCGCCCTTTGGAGAGCAACAGCTTTAGATGTGTGCGATACTATAGCTCAAGCTTCTCGACGGTTCAACCTCCCTCTCCTTTGGTCCTCCCGCGCCACCTCTCCTTCCAATGGCCTCCAAGCACATATCTCGGCCTTTGTTGAGGCTGTCCAATCCGGCCCTGCAATGTCGTTCTTTCTCTAGACCTGCGGTACCTTTGACGAGAGCAATTCCTCGACAACGGAGAACTACCCTGAGAACAACAAGACCTCTCTTCGTCGCGGGCCAAAGACGGTCGATATCTGCGAGCTTACAGCGGAAGTATGCCGATGTCGACGAAGCATTCGATCCTGCTACAATCGACCGGGAGTCGGACGAAGTCGACGTCTGCATTGTTGGCGCTGGCCCGGCAGGCTTGAGTGCCGCCATCCGGTTAAAGCAGCTTGCCAATGAAGCTGGAAATGAAGAGTTCCGAGTGGTTGTGCTAGAAAAGGCGGGCGAGGTCGGGGCGCACATGTTGTCTGGCAATGTGTTGGAGCCACGAGCCATCAACGAGTTGATCCCAGACTGGCTGGCAGAGGACAACGAGAACAGATTTACCGGCGCTACACCTGCCGGCTCCGATAAGATGCGATTTCTCACAAAGTCGGGTGCCATTCCGATCCCGGCTCCTCCACAGATGCACAACAAGGGCAACTACATCATAAGCTTGAGCCAGTTTGTCAAGTGGCTAGGTGAAAGAGCCGAGGAGATAGGCGTGGAAATATACCCGGGCTTCTCGGCCTCAGAAATACTGTATAACCACGAGGGCGCTGTCAAGGGCATTGCGACCAATGATCAAGGCGTGGGACGAGACGGCAAGGCGAAGGCGAATTTTGAACGCGGCATGGAATTTCACGCGCGGGTCACCCTCTTGGCTGAGGGTTGTCATGGCAGCTTGACCAAGAGGGTGTCGAAGAAATACGACTTGAGACGGGACTGCCAACCCCAGACCTACGGACTCGGCCTCAAGGAGGTCTGGGAGATCCAGCCGGAAAAGTTCAAGAAGGGCGAAATCGCTCACACCATGGGCTACCCATTGAACAGAAACACGTACGGAGGCGGCTGGATGTATCACTTTGGGGACAATCTTGTCAGTCTAGGGCTGGTGGTTGGCTTGGACTATTCCAATCCCTGGATCTCCCCTTACGGCGAATTCCAACGCATGAAGCTGCATCCGTTCTACAAGTCTGTGCTTGAAGGTGGAAAGTGTATCGCATACGGCGCTCGCGCCTTGAACGAAGGGGGCTTCCAGTCAATACCGAAATGCGCGTTTCCCGGAGGTGCGTTGATCGGCGATACCGCCGGCTTCTTGAATGTGCCAAAGATCAAGGGAACGCATACGTCGATGAAGTCGGGCATTCTGGCTGCCGAGGCTACCTACGAGGCTCTCAACTCGAACAAAGAGGATAGCACGATATTTCTGTACAATTACGAAGACTCACTGCGGTCGAGCTGGATCTGGCCTGAACTGAAGCAAGTACGGAATATGCGACCGTCGTTTCATAATCCGCTCGGCCTTTATGGGGGCATCATGTATTCTGGTCTCGAAGCGTACATTTTCCGTGGCATGACTCCCTGGACCCTACGGCACAAGAAGCCTGATTGGGCCAACACCAGGCCAGCCGATGAGATGCCGAAGATCGAATACCCCAAGCCAGACGGTGAAATTACCTTTGACATTTTGACCAGCGTATCAAGAACGAACACAAACCACGAGGAGGACCAGCCTGTACATCTACAGGTCAAGGATTGGGATGCCCATGCTCAAATGGACTACCCCAAGTACAAAGGCGTGGAGAACCGATTCTGTCCTGCTGGAGTGTACGAGTACGTGGAGGACGAGACGAAAGATCTGGGCGTGCGCTTCCAGATCAATGCGCAGAAGTAAGTCTTTGTGAATTTCTCGGTCATGCATGAAGAAGACGATTGATTGCTAACCGGAGGAACAGCTGCATCCACTGCAAGACGTGCGATATCAAGGATCCCAGCCAGGACATCAATTGGCAGACGCCGCAGGGTGGCGAGGGGCCAAGTTACAGCATTACTTGATGTGGGAGAAGTGGTTGGGATGGGGAGCATTCGTATTGACTCCACGCAACCGATATTTGCAGCGCCAGCCTTGCGAGACACTCTATAACCTACTCCTCGTAAGTGGGACATATGTATCTCTATCTGGAGCTGAGTGACGAGGCTGAAGACCGCATTTCTTGCTCCTCATCGCGTTAGTAAGACAGATAAGCGTCGATATCGGCGGAAGCTGAGTGGCCAGGCCGGTCACCGGTTTTTGGGCGCAAAAGACGTATCTGCAGAGGTGGCCTGAAGCATGATTGGATGAGCCGAGTGTGAGTGGCGCCGGATCCCTGCCAAGCGGACTGATTGCGCGGCATGTGAAACGCAAAGGGGCATGCAAGGGCGAATGAGTCATGGCTCACTCTTCGACCTCTCACTCCATTCCCATATACGCGATGTCTCAGTCTCACCACCGTGCCATATCCTGCAATGAGAATCGATTCCATGTCTTCAACACGTGCATTGGGCATCGAAGTGCAAAGATGCTCACCTGCGACCAGCGGGCTGGTGACAGTGACGCTGGTCTGCGGCCTCGGCAATTCACTGCGCTGATCCGCAATGGGAGATTCAAATGGCAGAAAGCTAGTTCCAACTCTTTTGGCCACCGTTACCTTTCCGTTGATGCCCACCGCAGAAAAATTGGAAGCACGTGCTCGAGCCATGTAACTCTGTCGTGTCCCGCAGCGGCAAACCACCAAATTTCTGCTCAGTCCAGCTTGTCAGGTTCTTCGCACTCTGTTTGAGGCTCCCTCCGCTTTTGAAGCAGGGAATAATGGTACAAACCAAAAAGGCCCGGTGCATGCATGATCTAGGGGCTGGATGCATGACAGGGGCCTTGGACAGAAAGAAAGGGGCAGAGAAAGCGCATGCGTCGGAGGCAAGGTAGGGAGCAAATCCAGACTCGGCTAGGCCTCTTCCGGACTAGCCGGGCAGTAGTCACTTTTAGCGTGCCTTCCGATGGCGGGGTGCTGGGCCGCAGGCAACAGTATAAATACCGCCTTGCCCTCCCACCCGCGCGACTGCACCCGACCTCTTGCTTTCTGACATTTTTTCTTGGCTTGGCGCCACACCACTACCCTCGCCTTCCTTCCTCCGCATATCCATCCACATCGTCAGGCACCCCAAAGCAGCGCATTTCGCATTGCCGCATAACTGCCTGCGACATTCCTCTCCTCTTGTATCCGTTAAACGATCCAGTTCTCCCGCTGAATCGTGCTTCCCATAAACCCTGGGCGCTTTCGCTATCGGACCGCAAAAAGAAACCCCCCCAAAACCCCCCAAGAGGATTCCTTCTGCGATCGCCCTTGCCGTTCTCTACAAAAGAGCAAACCAGGCACAAAGAAAAATCCAATTAGACAGTCTGCACTTTCCGCAATAGTAATTCGCAAAAGATCTTGCTTCCTCTTGCTTCCTTCTTTCGCGCACACACGCACCTCATCGTCGCTCAAAAGTCTACACGAGACCTGGTACTGGTGGTCAACTGTCGATTCCAGACAAGAGATTCAAGTCGACGGTCACATCAGACTACAGCAGTTGTTGTTTGTAGGGGAGACATTGAGTTGTTCATCTCCCACATCTCGGTACGACTACCACACCCTCCAAAACCTTCCTCGTCGCGCGCGGTTACGAAGCCTGCCTGCGGTGCGGTGAAGTCACTTCGAATTCACTGCCCTCTGAGTCGAGCCTCACCGACTGACCCGACGAAACACTCTCCTTCATCAGCGTTCTCAAATCTCAAACTCGGCGTCGTCCTAACCTCTGTCTCTCAGACTGTTCCTATCGCTCCTTGGAGGTTTCCATCCACAAGGACATCAACTGCGACCGCTTGATTGCGCCGCAGTTTGGCAATTCTCACGTTGCAATCATGGAGTCTCTTACCACTCATCCCTCCACCGCACAACAGGCCAAGGCCTTCACCTCTCCTGCGTCCCTCTCGTTCCCCGGTGGCGCCGGGGACTTGACACCGCCCTCCTCTGAGAAAGACGGACACAACCTCAATGGTGGCTCCTACGCAGATGGAAAGATGAACGGTTCGCAACCAGGAGCAAATGCTCTACAGGCTCCTCAGACCCCGAGCGCAACGCCTGGTGCTGGAGTGAGTGGTATTGTGCCTACCTTGCAGTGAGTACTCATCCCTTTGTTGCCCAATTTTTCTTGGTCAGCAGAGGTTAACTTTGTCCGAAAAGAAACATCGTGGCAACGGTCAACCTTGACTGCCGTCTGGACTTGAAGACAATTGCACTTCATGCCCGTAATGCTGAGTACAATCCCAAGGTAGGTTCAGGTTGATGTCTAGCTGCACATTGCCGTGCTAATTTACTTCAGCGTTTCGCTGCCGTGATTATGCGTATTCGAGACCCCAAGACAACTGCTCTGATCTTTGCATCAGGCAAGATGGTCGTCACGGGTGCCAAATCGGAAGATGATTCGAAACTTGCCAGCCGCAAGTACGCTCGTATCATTCAAAAACTTGGTTTCAATGCCAAGTTTACCGATTTCAAGATCCAGAACATTGTCGGCTCTTGCGACATCAAGTTTCCAATCCGATTGGAAGGTCTGGCATCGAAGCATCACCCCTTCAGCTCGTACGAGCCTGAATTGTTCCCTGGTCTCATCTACCGCATGATCAAGCCAAAGATCGTCTTGCTGATCTTCGTGAGCGGCAAGATCGTACTCACCGGTGCGAAGGTCCGTGAGGAGATCTACCAGGCATTTGAGCAGATCTACCCAACACTATCAGGTAAGCCTCGCAATGTTGGACGAGAATCTACCAGACGAACTAACATGCTTGCTAGACTTCCGCAAAGTCTAGATGTGTCGGTCGAAATCTCTCCCTACACCGTGTATCAACAGCATTGCGTGTCCTCTCCTGACAACGGTCATATTGTCGAGGTTGAGTGATGATTGCATGCATCATCACCCACAACCTACCATCTTGCTTTTTTTTCTGCCCGTGTCACGACTATCTATGAGCATTGCAAGGCGTTCTTGAGCGAGATTCTTTCGTATTTTCCTTTCGGGCTTGGGCACCAAAACAGGCGGGGTGCAAGGCCTGTACATCAAATTAGACATGGAGGTTTTCATCGACTCTTAACGGGCATCATCGGACGGTATTCGGCGCGCTGGTCGAATTCTCGTTTACCGTCAGATTGCGGTTTTTCTCAGCTTCACCTCTGGATGTGTCACGGTCGTCCTCTTGGGAGGCACCGTCGATCATCATGTTTCGGCGAATGTTCCACACGTGGAATTTCGTTCGGCCGCGGGGATCCGCATCTTGATCTTTGATAACTTGGGGGTTTCCACGGCTAATGTTTTATTTCTCTTCGAAAGCCGTTATGGTCGTCGGTGGGCGTCCATCAGATTGTATTGATGAAAACGGGTGGGCTATCGGAACAAAAACGTGGCCGGATGGGCGGGAGGTGCCGGGTATCGTGATCGGTGCTGAGATATTGCTAGATCGAAAAGCATGGACAGCATTGCATGATAGCTCAATATTATCTTCATCCTTCCCCAAGTGAAATCTTTTTTTGTCTGTGGTATTCTGTGAACTGTGTGGCTGACGTTTTCAATGCGCGGAGAGAACAGAGGCAAAAAGTCTGAAGGTGTCGTAGGTATTTGCATTCGTTCTCTCATCTGTACTCTTGTTGGTTATTCAATAAGGGCAAGTTTTGAGGCTGACCTGGGAATTTACCATGGCAGCAAATATTGTGCGGTAGGTAAGGAGTCGTTTCGTCGTCTTTGATAACGTGAGGGGGGTGTGTGTGTTGTGAGTGTGAGACATGATGGTTCGACAGAAGAGGAGGGTGGTTGGTAGTCGGGGTTTATATAATTTTCTTCTTTTTTTTTGAGGACGTTCGTTTCCTAGGCGTCCATCCAATCCCCGTTGGGTACCTCGTTGGTAGGTACCGACCCGTAATAGTGAGGACCATCTGTGGTGACGAATGATGTGATGGGTATAGTTGACAGACAAAAGACACCCTTTCCCTCTTCCTCTTTTCAAGCCGCTTTAAGGTCCTCAAAAGAGGCTCGACGTCGGTTGGTGTTTATCCCCCCTTTTTGGTTGGTGTGTGTGCTGACCGTGCTGACTGTGCTGCTGCGGCGGCGGCGGCGGCGGTGGTGGTTATCATAGTCCGGTGTCAATGGTAGGTAAATGTCAGTAGGAATCATGCCAAGTTGACTTGACGGCGATCATGTTGACTTTTAACTCGTCCGTAGGGGGAGGGGTGTAGAGGAGTGGGTTTGTCGAGGAAGGGTTGGGCTACAAAATAGGGTAGAGAGACTCGGTCGTTCTGGTTGGGATTTTGAAGAGGTGGATTTCGGGTTTGGTGCAGGGTTCGTGCAGGGCTGGTGCAGGGCAAGGGTCTGTTTGCAGGAGGTACCCGTATTCATAGGATGGGAGGAGGAGTGGTGGTTGTAGTGGTAGAAGACGAAGAAAAGTGATTACTCGTGGAGTAGAGTAGGTCGTTTGATGAAGAGTTGTTGTGTGTGTGAAGTGGGATTTAGGTGATGTGTGTTGAAAATGCCGTTTGACACGGAAAAAAGAAGACATCAGGCAATCAGACTCACTGACAGATCAACCGACTGACAGACAGGCAGGCAGACTTCGGTATGGGATGTATGATCTGCAGGTTATGATAGGGAGACGTGTGGTTTAGTGACTGAAGTTCGTTAAACTCGGGGAACAATTCACCCTCATTGCTGTCGTCGTCATCGTCTTCATCTTTGTCGATGGTCGGTTGTCACGGAAGACTAGAGCGGTGTGAATTGTACTGAAGTTATCCGAGTTGAGTAGAGTAAAGACGAGTCGCGGATATTGGTTTGTACGTGTCGAAGTAATAAGAGAGGGCGATTGCTAGACACGTTCTTCAATTAAGTAGGTTGGTGGCATGGGTGAGTGAGTCGGAGAAGGTTAAAAATGCCGTCTCTCGACCAAACGCGCCTCGAGACGCGTTTTCTCACTCCTTATCAAGACATCTAAAAAAAGATATCTTTTCCTTCATACACGCCCCGTATGAATGAGTGATAAAGTGGGAAGTAGGGGGTCTGTGCATTGTTTACCGTGCCGCACGAAAGTACGGACAACCCCCCCCCCCCGGAGGCCCTGGCTGGCGAGACTTGCCCCCTTTCCTGCCCTCAAAACATAAATACCGGGTACGTACAGTGTGATACATCGCATGTGTGGGATGGTGTCGGGCGGTGTCAGAGGCTGGCTACTTTGAACAATTCGACTCTGACAGCGGATATTGTAGGATGATGGCTGCGGGAGTATTGTAGCTAGTACTTGTCACCATGTCAGGCAGATCAGGAGCAATGGTAGATCTTTGTTCGAGAGTCGAGATCTACAGATTTAGTCAATGAATCATGATTCCACACAACGGAGGACACAAAAAGGACAATCGAATCCCCGTAAAAAACAGGGGGGAACAGAGGAGAGAAAGCCTGATGTGAAACAGTGAGACACTTCGCATCCCGGAAATGCAGAAGTATCAAGTTCTCTGTGCAGTTGTGTGGCTAGATTTGTTTCGACTTTCGTCCGGGGTCCAGTAGTCATTGCCACAGTCGATTTATCGCGCTCCGCATCAATGACATGGATGGCGACACTGACAACATCCCCGGGTCGAGATCATATCATACTGGGAGTCGGCTCTTTCCTACATCTCTCCGGGACACGCGAACACCGCGTTCAGGCCGTGAGACACAGATCCGTCGATATTGTTGGTCTAGACCGTTCTTTCCACCAGACCCTTCGATTTTCCCCGTGGCCGAACTAGGGGGTTCTTCTCTCGCCTAATGCTGGAAGCCATCGAACAAGGTACGAATAGGATGAGCCAACTACAGTCTCTTCATGTTTCAACTGCAGGCCCTATCCCAGACGCACCCAGCCGTGGAAGCTGGTATTCACTTGCAGAAACGGCCCAGGACCATTCAGAGGTGTTTCAGACTTCCAAGATTATTCCGATACGCGGCTTGCTTGCAATAGCTAAGCGCACTGGGAACGCGCCGATTGATACGCCAGACTTCAACTTTCTCAACCTTCGTCATGATCCACCTGGGATATGTCACCCCGGAATCTAATTGGAGACTGTCAACGACAACTATGGCTCATCGACTGGGGATTTGCCGGTGCATATCCTCCGATCTAGATTACTTGTCAAAGGCAAAGATTGGTCATTGATTGAAGTTTTCCTATACAGGCTCTCTTCGTTATCTGGATACGCCACCGGGAGCGGGCGAAATCTCAAAGGCCTTGCAGGGTGCTGTCATAATCGCCATCAACACGTCTGATCGGTCCGTCCAGCAGTCATCACTTAGAGCGAGATCGTCAGCGCAGTGTACTGCTTCGCGACGGCGGCCTTGATTGGTCCCTCTATCGTCGTACGATAGAAGATGTAGCACGTCTTGGTGTATGAGAGAAATCCGTCGCTTTCGAAAAACTCGTCCGTGACAATAATTGGCTGCCCATCCTCGACTGTTTTTTGGATCCTGTCGTGCACAGTGTCACTCTCAACCAGTTTGAATCCGTAGACGACTGCGACTATGTACAGCTTCTGTCCGGGACGTTTGTCGAAGGTGTCAACGAGGTAGAATCCGGTGGCGTTGGCAGACCCAGGGCCCACCGTTGGCGTGATGTTGGTACTGCCATTGTTCTCTGTGGTGATGAGGAGGGATACATCCGTGGAACTGGAGTACGAGTACAGAATGCACAGTGTCTTTTTGGTCAAAGGCCAGGGGTCTGTGATGTTTAGGTTACCGGTATCTACGGTCAGCATGGTGCCGTCACCCGAGATGGACCTCGTCATGTTTGGCTTCACATTCAAGTCCGCCCAGTAGGCTGCCTCGATGGTCAATTTTGGCTTTGGTTCGCCCTCATAAGGGAAGAAATTGAAGTGTGAGTCCTGATCCAACAATCTCAGCGTGCTCAGTAGATTCGCCACATCCGACGTGGCCAAATCGAAAAAGTCGTTCATTATCACGCCCAGATGATCGTCTGCAAGGCGATCCAGGGCCTTTGTCGTCAGCCAGGGCAATGTCTTTGCATCGCAAATCGCTTTGGTCGCGAGAAGGCACTTGTTCCCGCCGGTGATGACCGTGTTCGCAACGACATCGTTATTCTCTGAAGCAGTCCCCTGACATTGGAAAATGGTGAATTGAGTGGGGTTGGTGGCTCTCGTCTGTTCCTCGATGTCATACGTCTCAAATTCTGCGATTATCCGATCGCCTTTCAGATCTGCGTGGCGATCGCTTGAATAATTATCGTAGGGCTGCGCATCTGGTTCATCATTGAAGAAGAAGATGAGGCGCTCGTCGTTAGATCGCAGCTCAGCAATCGTCCTCTCTTCGGGCGGGAAAGAGATGGTCTTGAGTTGGTTGCCGTTGGCAATCGAGGCCTGCAGCTCCGAATCGAGCAGCCTTCTGACAAAGTCCTTGTCAGGATGCGACTTGCTGTAGTGATTGAATTCGAGACGAATTACCACAATCTCTTGTTCATTCTCTCCGAGAAACTCGACCACGTCGTGGAAGAAGGTTTTCAGAGGAACTCCGGGAATCATGTTGTGGTGGAAATAATACTCGTCACTGAGCCAGGGGGGGCACGATGGAATCTTGGATGCGCGAAACTCGAAGTAGCGCGCCCCCAAGGCCAACTGAGTCTTGATGTCGTCCTTTTGAGTTCGGGACAAGGCTTCGACCACTTTAAGGATCAGCCCGGGCGAGAGGGCGCGGAATGGCTGGAGGTATTGCGGAGTCAGGGGAAAGACTGCTTCCTGAATCATGGACCATTTATCCATGCTGAGTCCAGCAAGTTTCTGGACAGTTTCCATCGAGAAGATGCCACAGTCATGCGCACATGGGAGCACAAATTTGCGGAAAGACTTCTGCTCTTGGGGTGAGCCTGAAGGAGCAACATCTCCCATCCAGTTCGAGCGTTTGGGGGCGACGGTGACATTTAATTGATGTGACCTTGGTAGACCTGCTAGGCCCGGGCCCGCATCATACAGGGTGAACTGAACCATGTGGTTTTCGAAGATAGTTGTCTTTTGAAAGCCTACATCTTTCATGGTCCCGCTGCCCAAACCACCCCAGAGGGAGTCGACCTCCTGCCACTCGAAGCAACACTCGGTCCCATTTACTTTGACCACCAGCTGGAGCTTTCCGACCGTCTCGAAAAGACCACTGATGTTGCTACTATCCAGGACCATTCGATTGTTTGCCCAGGGGCCTTTGGTGGTCCGTTGGAAGGTCGGCGTCGCAACAAATAGGCCAGCTTGCCATGTACCCGCTTGATCAGCCATCTTGTAGACAATTACATCTTTACCAAAGGGCTTATTTTTGTTGGTCAGGGATATCGACACCTCATACTGAGGGCCATTGACGAAGACATAGCAATGAATTGGTTTCTCCCACATAATGAGACCCTAGGCTGGTGTCCTTGAAGAGGGTTCGCTGGGGAAGCATACAAACGGCTTGTCTGTAGCGGGCGGCGACCACGACTTTATACTCGGCGCTGCCCATACTCGCACTGGCCGGGAGTGAAAGCTGACCGATGTAGATCAAGCCGAGTGGAAAACTCGTCCAGTAGAGCACATGCGCCTGGAAGGCATTGTTTTGATATTCAGCCAGCCATGTGCCGCTCAGTCTGGATGCGCAGGACTTAGCAGTGGTCGCTCTGTCGGTAGCATGTTCGGCCTGCAGCTCATGAATCTTAAACAGCTCACGGCGGACGAGTAAAGTGATCTAGGAGTGTTGCTGCAGCAGAGAAAGTTCGTGCGCGCCCATGGCTTGCGCTGCTTGTGCATTTGGTGGTTGGACTTGGACTCTTTAGGTAGTTTCAAACCGACCAAAGTGTGAGGAACTCGTATTGACGAGAGCCTCGCCCTAAATAGTCTTGCTGGAGATTTTGAGTTGTCGAGCGGCAGGCGTGATCTGCCGTTGCGCTGCGGCCGTTCCACTTGCTCTTGTGCACTAATAGTTCGAGTGACCTTGGAGCTGAAGTTCTCAGCTGGCCATCAGAGGCGCTTCCTGCAGCGAAGCGTTCACCGCTTCCTCGAGGTCCCCATCGCCTTCGCTACCAGCTTCAGCTTTGAGCCATGGGATCAGTTAGCGGGTGTGATATCGACTGCCCAGCGCTGCATTGGTGCGTCGGTGCTGTCCTATCGAGGAGCAGGACAACCTATGACGAAGACATTGAGAACGCACCGTTCTTTGGCAAGCGGATGGTCGAGATGTTGAACACGTTTGATTCGACCCGGAGAATCATGGGATCAGGGCATTTACGTACATACGAACACGTACTGTACATCGATGTGGGTCTTCATCCTGCAGGACTGCAGGACTGCATGAAGCTATTGAGCTCGATGGCGGACTCATGTCGTCCGGCGACGTTGCCCTCGCCCAACCCGCAAACCCCGCAAACCCGCCAATGGAAGGGCCACGTGCAAAGTCACGTGTGATAGACGTTGATCGGCCGTAGGTTTCCCGAGTGGACTGAGTGGTCCGCCGTAGCCCCTCCAGAGCACGGCCCGTAAAGTGTACGAGTCAAGGCACGTACGTAGGTACTCAGTGAAAGTACTGTACTCAATACTGCATAGCTATATATATCCATTGGGGCAGTTCTTTTCTGCGCTTTCCAAGTCATCGACATCAACGTCAACGTCAGCAAAGACAGTTTCGACGGTGCCGCAACGACCGAGCCTACCAGCGAGAGCTATGTCAACATTGACTTCGGTCCTGAACGCTCTCACTTCTCAGGGTTTCATCGCTTCTCTGTGATTCGAGATCAACCGGCTGCGGGAACAGACGGCAGTATCCAAGACGTCGATTTGCGCGCTGGAGGTGCTTCGAACCGCGTGAGAATTGCCTTCTCAGCTTTGGTGTGCAATCCAAGTCGAGACCAGCCGTCTGGGCCGAGGATTCTCCCCGCGTTTCACGAGTAATATACCATGTTGCTGTTCCGCGAGGACGTAGAGGAAGTATTGCGAGCATGATCCCCCTTGATCCTTCAGGGAGATCCGTTGGCTTTTCCTTCCTCGTATCTCAATGGCTCCGTGAGGATGTTTGTGTCGCAAGGCTCTCCTCTCCGCCAAGGCAAGCGACGTGGGCTTCGCGAAGCCCCCGATTCTGGACAATATGCAACCGAGTACTTCAGTGCTGTTAGCTCTCCGTTTTCCTAGACATTCATGCTGCCGCGATTGACCATGTCTGGTTCACGTTTTGGCCTAGGTTTCTCCGAGGACTCCTTATACTGGTCCTTGATTTTCACATCGAACCCGAGGTTGTCTCTTTCCAACACTCCACTCCGCTTGATCACCCTCAGAAGGGTCTTCGCATAGGAATTGGAGCTGGCGCTGATGTAGACGGTAGGTTGAAGATGGTCTCTGTCGGCGCCTACCAGAAAGCTTTGCAGGACCACGGATGTGCTTGAGTTGTTCGAGCGTCCCGGGGTATGCATGATGATGCCTCGTATCTGGAGCCTAAGCTCTACCCACGCGACAGTGCAGACGGTCCCTAGCGACCACAATTGCTCGTCGCCATATGTTCGCTCTAAACGCACAGTCTCATCCTTGTCCCAAGGTGTCCAACGAGGCCCAGGCCTGTCACGTTTGAGACAGCACAATACTTTTAAGAACAGACTATGTTCAACCTCTCGTGCCCGCTTCGTCGAATCCACACCCCAGGTGTCCCAGTCAGACCTGTAAGTGGTTGACTCTTCGACGGTCGAGACGGATGGGAGTGATGGAAAGGCAGAGGTCCCGACATCGGGAGATGGCTCACCTGGCGCGATACCAGGGGTCTCAGGACCGCTCAGGACATAGGCCGACTCGCCTTCACTGGAGGGATTCGGCATACCACCGCAAGCATCCGGTATATCTTTTTCTCCTATTTGAACTACAACGTCTTCAATGGATGAGGCTGAAGTGATGGAGGAAAAGAGGTGACAAAGTGGGAGGGTGACGACGGCTGAGACGGTGACGTGCTTCAGCCTCCCCAAAAACACACCCGACGTGTTTGATGCTGATTCGACTACTGCGAGCGGGGTCAAGCGTGTCTGAAAGTGTGCGAGGCGGTTTTTTTGTGCACAGCCTGATGCTGGGAAGTAAGAGGCTGGAAGACTGCAACGAATAGCACCCGTCGCCTTACACCACAACCTAGTTCCTGCTTATCGTTGAGATTTGTTTGGTGAGGAGCATTAGCCATCGCCAATTTGGATACGAGATTCGATGCGTCCATTCCGTGACTAGACATCCTAAGGCTGGAACTGCATGGACACCCATGGGTATATGGTCTCTAAAGTTCCCTTCAAGATGACGGCCAAGTGCGTCGCACGGGCACCGTACCTTAGCTACGGTACGAAAGTCAATTTGCTGCTAACACCATCTCTGGCATATCATCCTATACTACACTCAATGGACCACGATCCATTGCAAACCCCACTAAGTCCCGCGAGGCTCAGAAGATTAGTGACAAGGCTTTGGGGAGTGAATCTACACGCTCAAGGGTGGCGTAGCACATTTCGATCTCCCTAGAAGCCCATACTGATCGGTTCTGGGTAGTCCACAAGGGTTCGACAGCGCCGCTATATCGATAGAGACACTACTTCGCAACTTCTCACAACAGCAACACGCAATAAGCCGTTTCGGGGAATTGTACCAGTTGGTCGATTTTCTCAGGGATCCATATATCCAAATCGAAGACCGCATTCGGCTTCTCAATCTAGTACGACATCCACCAGCAGGGTTTGCTGTACAACCTCCTCCACTTCCTGGTGGCGTACTGGTAGGCACTGCTTTGAACCAGCATGTTTTGAATGGTGCGGATACAAGCAGATTTAATCTCTTCGTGACCCCGTTTGTAGTTTCAGACCCGACCTCTTGCTGACACCGTCTTCTTACATATAGAATCAGCAGATTTCCAACTCGATAGAGCTAGCGTGGAGGATATGGCTCATGCTTGGAATAGGACTTGCGGGATACGATGGGTGGGCAGGAGAACCAGACTACCATTGGCCTCCTGTTCAGGCCGGGGTGAGTCAAAACATCAACTTTGCCTTTACCCACTTCCTTCCGGAGAATGGACCAGGTCCTGAAACACATTACAACTTCCAAATCACAACGCCTGCTCTGCAGTCCCGGGGTACAATAGCAGGACTCGCAGGATTTAATCGAGCGTACGACCTCGACCTCAACACGCCCGCTCAGCAGGCTCTAGGAAGCATAAGGAGTCCAGGTGGTCTGTTAGATGAAGATCTCGATCGCACTTTCTCTCGTCTATTTTCGTTAAGGGACATGGAGCGACTCGCCGACTTTGAAATCCAGTTCACCCCGAATCTGCTCAACCACCTCTATGTGGAAAAGTTCAAGGGGGAAAGGTTTAGCTGGAGGAGCTTGAAATTCAGCTGGAAGAAATTTCGACCGGTTGTTTTCATCTTTCAATATGCCACGCTGTTGGATCAGTTACGCACCAAGTAAGTGGCATTGAATACTTCTGTACTCGTTCGATTTTCCTGATGGGATAAAAACAGCGATCTCCGAAACCATCGTGAACTCGTCGAGGAGACATTAAGCACCCTGGGCCTCCTTATTCCACAGGATGAACACTCTCAAGAATGGTTCACAGAACGGTGGGAGAAAAGCAGGCGGAGTGACGGTCTCTATGAGGTGGATCCATCCGCAGGACGCCAGACGGCAAGGTCTCGCCGAGTTCGCGATTTCCGTTACTGGAGGACCCGTCTTCTCATTCTCGAGAGGGAGTTCGACAACACCTCGCCACAGACCCCCGTCTGGATGGTGGCACGACCGACGCCGCGGACGCGATTGGGCGACCTTCTGGTGCGCTGTGGCCGCCACCATTTTCGCCCTTGTCGCTCTCATCGTGGCTGTAGTCTCGACGGTATACGGAAAGGGATCATGGGATCAGTCTGTCATCGCAAATGGATATGCCAGCCTCGCAAGTCAAAGTGCGGCCGCAGCTGCAACGTCGAGTTCCCTGTCCTCAGCTGCCAGGAACGCTTCCACGTCCTTCCTTGCGACAACCATTAACAACTGTTTCGTGGGATGTTGCTACGAGACCATGACAAGTGGTATAATCGTCGTCAACCCAACGTCGTCGTCGGCACGACCACCCTCTTCAACGTTGCTCAGTTCAGCGACAACTGATTCAGTAGTTATTAATTCAACATCCCCAGGTGCAACGTCCCCCGACCCGACGACTGTTAGTTCTACGTCTCTGGGTTCAACGTCTCTGGGTTCAACGTCTCTGGGTTCA